ACAGGTTGAACGGCTTGTTTCTGTAACATTTGGTGATTCCATGAAATGAGTTACTACTGTAGTAGGTGTGACACTGCAAGATGGAAACTTGGAAGGGTTTAAGAACATTAGAATTTGCCAGGCGAAAGAAGACAAACGTCCATCCAGTTCACCTTCCACCATCCTGGCAGTTGCTTGACATGTCGTGTCCCAAACTATATATTGTATCCCACAGACCATTTAACATAGATTCCAAATGGGAAAATGTTTAATAAGTAACCTGGAAAACCTGTACAGTCCAATACAACACATCTACCTTCCCAGATAAATACAATACACCTAATCCCAGTGACTCCTGGATTGTGTCTTGTTAGGTTTCGCACTTAAAATATTAATTAGAGTGAAAGGGAGGATTACAGTTGAACCTGCCCAGCTACCTTGCACTTCACAAATAACAAACGGATTCACTGTGTTCAACCATGAGGCAACATCAATTATATAGATTCGACATTTTTACAAGCTTAAATATTCATAATTTTAGGGCAGGAATTTTAAATATATACAATGCACGACTACCGTAGTTACAAAGTACTGTGGGAGTCAATTACAAAGATACACTGACAGAGAAATTCCATTAAAAGTTTTATCTTAAAAAGAATCAAGCTTCCCGAATATGTCCCTCGAGACGCTGACACTAAAATCTCTGCCAGCTGAAAGGAGAAGCTTTGGACAGCTGTGTGACTAGATAAATGTTAGTAGGCAGAGCGCAAGAAAGCTGTGACCTTGCAAAGCGCTGTTGTCATTGACAAATAAGCAGCAGCTTAACCATTCACTCTACCTCCCTATAAATTAAACCTGAAATTCATTTCACACTTTTTATTGTCGTTCTGCTAAGCCAGCCAAGTGCCTTCTTCCTTTTTCATTAGCCTGGGGCTCTCTGTAGCAGGGCGGGCAAACAGGCAATTCACTCTCCCATTTAGTCACCGAGGAGGAAACACGCCCAAAGTAGCTCTCTTGTAGACTATGGACAGCACTGACTTTAGACACATCCTGGCCTCTTGTTGGCAGCAGGCTTTTCACTCCCGGTGGGGCTGTGAGCCCACCTCTCTGGGACTGGGAGCCAGTCATTTGAGATAGAGAATTCAAATGGACTGAAGAATGCGACAAGTGGTTTGATGGTTACGTAATGCCATCCAACAGATCTGTCTTTGACCTGACCAGGAAGGTTTCACAAATCTCTTTGCGTCCCTCCAGGGAGAGAGCATGCATTGCATTCCAACAACCTAACTCTGGGTTTCCCATGTGGAGATGGGATGCATGGAATTCACAGTTATGTTTGGAGATTCTTAAGCACAGTGGCGGGTTTCCGCATGTGTCAGCCACCCAGCTGGGCAAAAAGAAACAGATCTACTCTCTTTGCTCAAATGATCCAATTAAGTCTCATCATAGGGCTAATTGGCAAAAATTTTAATGGAACAGTTAACAGTACTGGATTAAGATGCTTGTCCACCATATGTTAATGTTCTCTCCCTGAGGTTGAACTCAAGCACATTCCTTGGTACACAGTGCCCAATGTACAGCTTTAAGAGACGTCTCAAAGACGTGATAAGGCACTGTATTAAATACTATATCAAACGCAAGGATTATTATTAGCAGTATTAAAAGGCAAGAGGACACACAGCAGCTTGTTTGTTTAGATATGAAGGCAAATAACAATGGTTGAGAGAAGGCAATGTTGCACATGGTTCACTGTTCACTGTAACCTGCCCTGACCCACCAATTCTCTCAGGGAGTAAGTCTCACAATCTTGTACGAATCATGTCTAATCTGCAATAGGTCAAGATTACAGAACACAGTGGCAAAGGTTAGTGCTGTATAGAAACACCCTCATCATAACTAGAACTGAAGTCCCTTGTATGACTGGCAGGCACAACAGATTCCGTGGCCATTTGCTTGGGTCAGTTTCAGTTATTTCCCCAACACATTGCATCAAAAAGGAAAGATGCTCAGGATTGTCCAAGATTAGTCAGTGGCTAAAACTGGAGCACAAACACTTAACGAAAAGACTCGATTCATATGAGGCATAAATCTGTGTCTGCTACAGACAGGAGGCAATGGTTTTTGCCTCCTTGTATGGATTTTAGTTCGTAAATACTGTATCTTACTGTAAAATCCTGTATCAGATACTAGCAACTCTCACTAGCCAATACAAAGTTATTTCCACAAAGTTTTAGAATGGGGTAGGAAATATAGACAGAAGGAGAATATAATAATCCTTACATTTGATATAATAATAATCCTTGCATTTGATATAGCCCCTTCTCACGTCTTCGAGACCTCTCAAAGCGCTTCATAGAATATACTGTAAAGTGAAACGACTGTATATTTTGTGGGCGAAACATGGCAGCCAATTGCGCACAACAGTCGTGAACCAAATTATTATTTTTGAGGGGGATTATTATCCCCGGAAAAGCGATCCGCCAATTGACTAACAATCCGGTTCCTGCTTACTGCTTGGTAAACATAGGTGTGTGGAGTAAGGAACCTCGCCTAATGTTTTGCCCTGGCCAGGAATCGAACCTAGATCTTCTTGTGAGACGAGTGCTCTAACCACTAAGCTACAGGACTTCAAAGAAAATCGACTTTGAGCAAATATTTCTAAGCCAGTTGCAGTACACCTTAAAATCGGACTATTCCATCTTATTTCACTTAGAAACCATAAATTCAAGCGAGAGAAATCATTCATTGAGTCTGTCCAAGGTGCCATCACACATAGTTGATCAGAATCTTTCAATCTTTGGAAACTATGTCCCTCTCTTTGTGCCTTAGACTCTTCAGTTGATATTCACATTTGGTCTTTCAATTGCAAGAGAAAGAGAAGATTTTAAGGTAAAGATCACAAGATTATTTTGGATGATGGAGACTCCTCGATGCATCTGATCTCGTCCTTTCAGAGTAACCAACCTCCCATCGCAGCACATTGGAGGCAGACAAACCAATGTTGATCTCCACTCTATGCTAAACACGATCCAAGATTAAATAAAATCCAGCGGCACAGTAAATCAAAATATCTGAAGTGTGATGGTTTACCCGGAAACTTTGCATCATTGGTCTTTCAGTGTCTACATTAGCAAAGCCAAGTGAGTTTCCTCTCGGCCGTCTTTGGACACCAAGTAAACATCCTCCCAATCTGAAGCAATCAGACTGAGAGCTGGAGAGGTGGCTACTTACTAGCTGCAGGTTTCTAAGGATCACTGCATGTTGCTTTCTTTTAACAAGCTCCACAACAAAGGCCACTTCAATGGTTTAACTATCATATGCTGCTTTGTTTCATGTGGGTTGGTATATCAGTCTGATTTAGGGTGAGCACAAGAAGCAGAAACAGACAGGCGGAACAGACTGCTTGCAACAAGCGTAGACTGCAATGCAAAGAGGATGCCCAAGGCCATTAGTGTACCTTCATCTGCAGCTCTTTCATACAAGGAAAGATTAGGGCAGTGACTGGTCCTCAAAAAAAAAGCCTTTGAGAGCTCTGCAGGCCACGGCTAGGCCAAACACACAAGCAAGACTGGGAACAAAACCAGATCACCACTGTAGCTCCATTGAAAATAGTCCTGAAGCCTAGTTGTTAGCTACTGTAGTGGATGGAGCACTCGTCTCACAAGCGAGAGGACCCGGATTCGATCCTGACCTGCTGAGTGTTCCCTACAACTTCTGTTTTTAGTTCAGATTTCCAGCATCTGCCGTATTTTGTCCTATTTGCCTGATCAGAAGGATATTGAAGATTCTGTAACAGTATTGCAAAGAGATGAGGTTCTTGAGGAGTCCTGCCAACAATCCTCCTAATTTTTCAGTCGTTCACCTCACGGCTATTTATGGGGCTTTGCTGAGTGGAAATGACTACAGTATTTCCTGACAGTCAGTCAGTACAATAAATAATATTTAGCAACAGTAAATCCAACAGTTTTCCAAAAGAAGCACCCAAATTCTGTAGCTTGATCATCATTCTTTGACTTCTCTTTTTCTTTGGTCAGCCGGCTGTCTGACACATGCAGAAACCCATCACCATGCTTAAGAGTATCCAAATAAAGCTGAGATTTCGATGTGTCAGACACCTGAAAATCTTCACTTGGAAATCCTAGAGATAACATTGTTGGAATGAAATGCACAATCTCTCCCTAGAGGGACGCATGCTGCTTACCTATTCCGGAAAGCATTAGGCACAGGTTGGCAAGAACAAAGCTTGGGGGAGCCCAGAGTGTGCGTTGGAGTTTAACCAGCTAAAACCGCATAGCTTGCCATTGATAATGCTGGCTGGCAAGCTTTCCTCCGCTTGTCCAGGCAGGACCATCCTATTCATTAGGGCTTTGGCTTACAGGGTTAACAGGAGCTGAGTGGGATGACTCCTCCCTTTGAATTCTCACGGTGTCAGGAACATTATAATGACCCACAATACCACACACTGGGTTACTCAGGACAATAAGGTTCCTCGGAAGCCGCTCTTCACAGTCTCTCAATCAAAGCGACCCAAACAAGAGCAATAAAACCTGTTACGACAACAACAACTTGCACTTATACAGCGCCCTCTACCCAGGGTAGCTTCTCAAAGCGCTTAACAGTGGCGGAGACTGACTCTGAGCCTGGGGTGGGGGGGAGGTGGCCATCAGCATGGCCAGCCTGGGTTACCAGCCTAACCCTGCTCTCAGTCACACATTCATTCACACTCTGGTATTTGTCTTTCTTGTCCTTTGAAGGCAGCCTCAAGCTGTTTAAATAGGTTTCAATTTGTTTCAATGTGTTTGCGCATATTATAACATTGTTGGAATGGAATGCGCACTCTCTCCCTGGAGGGACGCACTCGGATTGAGAAAAGGCTTGGTGTCTGTACATAATGCACAAGCACACATGTTCCATTCGGAACTCACACACTGTCATGTTTAACTGAACTGTCACGTGTTAAGATTTCTTTCATGCATTTATTCGTCTTCACTAACAAACTGCAAACATGAAGACACAATTACCTGGGCACACACCTTTGCGGGTGATGCCTGGAGTCTGCTGGCGGAAGCTGCAAAGTTCTGAATGGCTCGGGGGATGAACTCAGGAGCCAGGGGGTTCAGCATGCAGCTTCTGCTCAGTTCCAGATTGTCGAGCTGTGTCCTGATCTCACTCAGAGTGGCTCCGTGCAGGCTGCCATGCTCATGGCAGAGGAATATAAAACGTTCCCAGATTTTCCTACAGGGAGGGAGAGAGAGAGAGAGAGAGAGGAAAAAGTCAAACCGATTCACAGTAACAGCTTCTCGTGGAGCGTAGAGTTTAGGTAACCCTAAGCTGTTAAATGTCCCCAAAGTGGAGCTTAGTGGTTAGCTATTGTAGCGTAGTGGTTAGAGCACTCGCTTCGCAAGCTAGAATACTTGGGTTCGATTCCCATCAGGGTAAAACGTTGGGAATGTTTCCTTACTCTATACGCATCTGTTTACCTAGCAGTAAGTAGCAACCCGGTTGTTTAACAATTGGTGGATCATTTTTCCGGGACAATAATCCCTTCAAAATAAATAAATAATAATTTGGTCACTCAATCCACGACTGTTTGTGGGACACTCCTGTGTGCAATTGGCTGCCACATTTTGCCCACAAAATATACTGTCAATTCACATTACAGTATATTCCATGAAGATCTTTGAGACATCTCTAATGCAAGGGTTATTATTATTATTCTGTTCAATGTGCAGTTAGGTGGTCTCACTAGACCAGTCCCTGAGCCAAGCGATTCAGCAGTACTTTAAGGCACTGTTGATGACAGACCTGCCAGCCTGGATTTGCATCCAAACACTGCATCTCTGACAGGTGCTCAACACAGCATTATGCCGAGAACCATTTGTGCAGCAGAAATCATGTGAACCCAAACACCATGCCACTCCGCGTAATATAGTTTGCACAGATTTGAAAAGAATGATTTTTATATCAGTTTCATATTTCTCACCGTTTTGGGACTGCTCCAGAGTCTCTCGATGTGCAGAATGACATTCACATTGGCATTAGGATTAGTGAATGATGCTTCCGGTCATGCGCAGTATATGTGCTAACTGGACAAGCAACAGGAAAGCTTGCCCAGAAAGAAATATCAATGGCAACTATGTGGTTTTAGCTGGTTAGACTACAGCAGTTACCCTAACGCACACTCTGGGCTCCCCCAAGCCTTTGCTCTTTCCAACCTGAGCCTAATACTTTCCGGAATTAGGTAAGCAGGATGCATCCCTCCAGGGGGAGAGAGAGAGAGCGCTTTCCATTCCAACAATCTATCTCTGGAATTTCCATGTGAAGGTGGGATGCCTGGAATTCTCAGTTTGGTTTGGACACTTTGAGCATGGTGATAGGTTTCCTCATGTGTCAGACACCCGGCTGACTGAAAAAAAATGCCCATAATATGTTTATCATGGAATTCCTTGCTGTGAAAAGCAAGGACATTGCAGTCACACTGTGTATTGTATATAATTATTTTCCCACTATAGTTAAGCAGATGGATCTGCAGGTTTACTTTATGTTACTCTTCTGGTGTTACTTCACTGTAAAATCTGAATGATTCAATGACTCTTTGTTCCTTAAGCTGCATCCTCTTCAACCCCGACACTCAGGATTCCAACCGCAATTTAAATCTGTTCCATTCTAACCCGAGAATTAAAAAGGCAGCGTCTGCCAATAAAGCAGCCATCAAATGCTTACAACGAGCTGTGCAAATCTGCATCATTGAGGAAAACATGGCAAAGTGTACCATTATTCTTACTCCCACAAAATATACAGGCAATCCACTTTACAATATACCCTGTGAAGTGCTTTGAGACGTCTCTACGACTTGATGAGGCGCTATATCAAATGCAAGGTTAATTATTATTATTGTTATTCTGTGTGGCTACACCAGCAGTCAAACTCAGGCACTTCACGGGCCGGAACCGTTCAGCTGCTCACTGGATGAATCCATATTAAATCATCAGGGAGTCAACATGGGCACTAGTTTGTGCCTCTGGTGATAGATAGCATTGATGAAATTGGGAAGTCACTGTGTCGGGATCAATAGGCATGAGATCGAGTTGTTCTCCTCTCAATAAGATGCACATCTTAAATGTGTGCTGCCCACTGACTTAAGTGTAATATATGAGTGTTAAAAATATTGTGGCGTGTGGAATCCTCTTAGCTGATCCAAACATTGCTCTGGGTGCTAATATTCCTGCACAAAAAGAGGCTTTAAATGCTTTCATGCTTTTTGTTTCCAAAAGCCGAATACTGATGTAAAAAACACACACAAAATAGCAATCATAACTCCTTAATTCTGCTTTGGAATTGCACACAGAATCCCTTCTTACTGCCTGGCTTTGAACGCACATTATACTCTGCAGTGATAACATCACAATAGGCTCTCAGTTTTCAATCACATTGGTTTGCTCGTCAGTAGACAGAACAAACAGCACAAATTGTAGCCGGCACAGAATGAAGATAAGCTGGGAATTCAATCAAGGGCTTCAAGTGGGATCCATAAATAGCTCAAGGTTTGCCCTCACGATGAGTGTCACCTGCACACTTTAATTATCAACAGACTTATGACTAAACTGCCCATTCAGCCCACAAATACAGTCAATCCACTTTACTGTATATCCTCTGAAGCTCTTTGAGACATCTCAACGACGTGATAAGGTGCTGTATCAAATCCAACGATGGGTATTATTAAATCTGCAGGTTTAAGTGGTGGACAGGGAAAGTGGGAAAAGCAACAGTGAGTGCAATAGAATTTGGGCCACTTTTCCTCCTAATTAACCACATCAGTGGCAGAACGTCTTGTGCAACGCTCCCACACCTGAACGCCTACAAACTCACCGGCATTTCCCCATGGAGCACAGAGCCACTGGATCCCCCACAACGGCCACGAGAGACTGCGCTCTAGTGAGGACGGTGTTCAGCATCCTATAGCTGGACAGAAAGCCATACTCCAGGTCCTCAGTGCTTTCCTCCTGCTGAGCCTCTTTACGCCGGGCAGAGTTCTGTGGCTCCTTGTATGTGTGCCGTGTCCTGACAGTGCTGACGAACAGCACGCGGAATTGTGTGTCTGTAAACAGGGGGAGAAGCAGCACTTTCTGTGAATAAACCATGGACCAAATAGAACCAACGTTAAGTTATTAAACTCACTCGATATTTCAGCAATCATTGCATCCACTTGGCAGCTTGGTGATAGAACAGAATTAACACAAGGAGCCAAAAGTCAAAATTCAGTCCTGTTAGGTTGAAGCACTCGCCTCACAAGCGAGAGGGTTCGATTCCCGAGCAGGGTGAAACCTTAGGCAAGTTTCCTTACTCCACGTGCCCCTGTTTATCTAGCAGTAAGTAAGAACCCGGTTGTTAATCAATTGGAGGATGCTTTCTGGGGGTTATTATCCCTCAAAAAAAATTGGGTCACTCAATCCACATCCGTTTGTGGGATGCAGAAGCCAATTGCGCTGCTGTGCGCAATTGGATTCTGCGTTTCGCCCACAAAATACGCAGTCATTCCACTTTACAGTACATCCTGTGAAGTGCTTTGAGATGTATCAACAACATGATAAGGCTCTATATCAAATGCAAAGATTATATTTTTATGTAATGCTTCAGATAATCCTGAGACTAAAATCCAGTTTTGGGTGGAAGAGAAAGTGCCATGCTCAGAGACAGCAGTGTGCATGGAAGCTGTGTGCTACACACACATACACAATCACACGTGTAATATCAAGTGGATGAATTTTTACAGCATTAGACATTCACAGCTGTTTAATGTCACGCTTGATTTTCTGTAATTGCTGGGCAGGTGCACATTCCATTAACATCACCACAAAGAAGCCTTTCTTTGTTGACTTTGTTAACATACAGTGGCCTGAGGCATTAACTCAAAGTTCTGAAATGAGCATTAATAGGTCGCACACTTTGAGATCTAAGGTGCAGCCCATGCTCAGCATGTAACTCACTCACCACAGAGATGCGATGCACCCTATTTCCATACTAAACTTCGTATTCTCACCACATCAGTCCTAGCCAGTTTCCACTGGCTCCCTATCGCCGAACGGATTGATGTCAAGATCCTCACACTCGTTTTCAAATCCGTTCATGCCCTGGCACCTCCCAGTTTCGCACCAGAATGGTCAAAGAGAAAAAATCATCAACATAATAATAATAATCATTGATACGTTGAGACGTATCAAATTGCTTCACAAAATATACTGTAAAGTGAATTGACTGTATATTTTGTGGGCAAAATGCAGCAGCCGATTGTACACATCAGCATCTCACAAACGTTCGTGGATTGAGTAGCCACATTTTTTTTTGAAGGGATTATGATCCCCAAAAAGCAATCAACTAGTAACCAGGTTCCTATTTACTGTTAGATAAACAGAGGGGTAAGGAAACTTGTCTAAGATTTCAACCCGCCCGGGAATCAATCCCGGGTGCTCTCGCTTGCGAGGCGAGAGCGTTAACACAACGCTACAGGACTCTACAAGAACAATGGAATAAGTGCTGGACACACACGGCAGGTTAGTCAATCACCACCTAAAGGACAGAGACAGATGAGGGGCATGAGCATGTGTCAGGACAGTGATTTCTCATCCATTTTCAGCTCCAATTAAGTTACACACCACACACACACACACAGTTTTTCCCTCAAGGTGTATTTGTAAAAATTCTCAGTGTTTCACCCCAAGCACTGCACTGGAGTGTCAGCCCACACTATAGTCCACCCAATGTTGGCTAGCTCTCACATCACCTACTCCTACATTTGAGCCAAACTCTTCCATCATCCATGGAAAGATGTCAATACTTCACCAAAAGGGTGAGATGAATTTACTGTTTCCAGATATGCATCTAAGTCAAATATTTGGCTGACTGCTCAACCCACCCCGCAGCTTAACCATATAAATCATTAGAGAGCATTTATTATCTTTGCATATTTATTAGCCCTTTGCAGGGAAGCTGCAAATTTCTAAACCAATCTAGTGAAAGACTAATAACTGGATGATTAATCTCCTGGTGGGTTTACTATAAGTTTGCTAAGAGCAACTTCATACATAAATCAAGGAATCAAATAAACACAGCAATCCTGTCTTTTGTAAAGATTCACAAATACAGCAGAACTGCAGCAGCAGCCCCGTGTACACAAATCCTGAGGTCAAATATAAAAACCCTTTGAAACAAATTATATATTACATATAATATATAATTATGTAGCAGTAAGTAGGAATCCTGTTGTCAAATGCAAGATCGTATTCCGGGGGTAAAAATCCCTCCAAAATAAATCAATAAATAAAATTGGTCACTCAATCCACGACTGTTTGTGGGACACTGCTTGCCCAATTAGCTGTCGTGTTTCAGCCACAAAATAGTCACTCCACTTTTCAGTATATCATATGAAGCGCTTTGAGACGTCTTAACAAGGTGATAAGGCGCTATATCAAATGCAAGGATTATTATTATTATAATAATAGACAATACCTCAATAGAGTAAAATTCTTCCTAAGCTTTTTAAAAACAAGAGGGGATTTGAGTTTTAAGAATCGAATCCCCTCGTCTTTGGTGGGCTTTAGGTGGCTTTGTTGGCCAATCCTAGAGACAGATTTTATCACAAGTGTGACAGATGAGAGATGACCCAGTTAATGGGGTTGTCTGAAGAAGCAAAGCAGACTGAGTGACACTCCTTCCTCTGACTTCCACGCAAAACACACCTGTGAACATTGGAAACCTAAACCTAGAATTAAAACCTAGATTTGATGAGCTATTTTATTTGCATATATGGAGAATGTTCAGGCAGCTACGTTGGAGGCAGTAAAATCTAGTTTCTCCCACAAAATACACAGTCACTACACTTTACAATATACCCTGTGAAGCGCTTTGAGACATCTCGATGAAGTGGTAAGGTACTATATCAAATGCAAGGTTTAATAGTATTATTATTACTATTCTTATCACTATTATTATTACTATTCTTATCATTATTATATTTACTATTCTTATCACTATTATTACTATCCTTATTACTATTCCTATCATTATTATATTTACTATTCTTATCACTATTATTACTGTTATAGTAATGTGTCTCTGTGATGTTCTGATGTGGCCTGGGCTGTTAAGAGTAGAATGACCCAGAGCCTGGGGAGCAGTGTTAGAGCAGTGGAGCTGAGATTCGGTCGCAGGATTGTGTGAGAGGTCAGGTGAGCTCAGCAATATGAAGCATGACGGTGGCGTTTACGGGAAGTCATTGTACAATGTTATGAAGAGATTTTTTTTAATTTCCGAGGACTTTTAAAAAATATTTCCACCTTACTGTATTTTGCATTGAAATGGAAATCTGTAGCAAATTGAAAGCTGGTTCTGCAGTTGCTTACTATTAGTCTGTGTCTCCATCACTCACACCCACACACAGTCAGGTGGGAAATGTGTCCACTTCCACACTTTTATCTAAAATTATATTAAAGGCTTCTTTAGAATACATAAATTGCTTCCAATGTTCACTGTCATGTTATCAGTCCTTTACAAAAACTTGGGCGTCACATGGGTAGTAAAGGCACTTGCAGTAAAACATCACAGCACGAATGGGTCATGAATGATGGACTCGGGAATGTGGCTCGATTGTCCATAAGACCTTCTGTGCTGTTAGGTTGGAGTCCAGATACACCACACAGGTGTGATAAGCAGCTCAGGGACCAAGAGCCTGGTAACAGGATCAGTTGAGAAGACTGGAGGAGAATCGCAGACCCACAAAACACAGAATCACACAGGCGGACATGGCTCGTCAGTTGAGGTGCTGCCTCACCTAGAATTTCCATGTCTGGCAGCGAGCACTGCGAGACCAGTGAGCAGGAGCCGATTCCTGAAGGAGGGAACTCAGGAGATTGAAACTGTTTCCTTGGCCTCAGAGGACAATCGAGCCACAATCCCGAGTCCATGTTTGCTCTTCCAAAGCTGAAACCTGGCCAGATGTCTTCATACAGAGAACATTGCTCACACCCACCCAGAAGCCCAGAAACCACGGTGGCCTGTGGAACATTAATTAACCAGCTCTCTGATTATCTTAGCAATCCTCTTCACAACCAGCTATGTCTCCAGCTCTTTCTTGAAGGAATTAATCAGCGCAGCTCAACACAGTCGATGTTGCTGTTGCTGCCAACAATGTCTGTTGGTGGTGGAGAGGATAATAATCCTTGCACTTCATACAGCAACTTTCACATCGGGAGGCCCTTTCGAATTGCTTTCATAGAAGTTAATGCAAAATATAGTGACTGTGTGTTTTGTAGACGAATGTGGCAGCCAATTTGCTCACAGCAATGTTCCACCAACAGCCATGAAGTGAATGACCAATTTTATCTGGGGATTGCTGACCAGGACACTGAGAGAAACTCTCTTCTCTTCGAATAATGCCATGGGATCTTTTATGCCTCACACAAACGTGGCCAATTCCAACAACAGAATATTTCTCTGTAAACGGTTCTAACAGTGCCTTCCCTCCTCCCCACAAGCAGTAAACTCTAATAGATGGGATCAATTTGCATTTTTAAATATACAAGATTCCTCCAGGGGATTAGTATTACGGAGTTCCCTCACGTTCTCATTATGTACTAATCTCATTATTCCATTTTACTGTCAGCCATGAGCCAGCTAGTTTATTAAGCAGAGGCTAATGTGATGACTTTCATTTTTTTTTCAAATCAGAAACTTTGCTTATGAACACAAAAATGTTTCAAGCGTTGGGTCGTGAATGAATAGCCTGGAAAAGTACAAAACTCTTCCTTATTCACACTGGGAAACAAGTGCAAACGTTGAGTGAATGGCAGTGCCCTGGTTCAAACATACTGGTAGAACTGACAGCCTGGTTACAATAATCAGTGCTGGTTTGTACGCACATATTTACTGAGATCAAAATGTCCATAAACCTCAGGTGGAAACAGTCAATGAAAGGAGATTTTGGTCTGAACTTTCACTGAAGTCTTGAAGTTATTTCCTTCTGTGCGAAGCGAATGGAATGCTTTACTCAGTGACTCAACCAAAACATACTCTCCTACTGCAGCCCTGCGACTAGAACTGATTATTCCTCTACTATGTCCCTGTAATGGGAGCCCAGCGTGGTTCCAATGGAATGGCACAGCAGTGGGTAGGAGCAGCCTCTGATGGCCTGGTTGGGATCGCACATTGGGACTTGGCGCCCATGGCTCTGTCTTGGTTTGCTGCTGGATAGATGGCGACAGTGGAGCTATGTGCTGCTTGGCCGGGAGCCTGCATCAGGAAGGAATGGAAACCAATCTCGGCTGCCAAAGTCACAGCCCTGTAATCACCACATTGTTGCCAGCTCTTTGTAACTGACAATTTAATCAACCACATTATAGATCTGAGATGAGTCAATACCAGCAAACAGCCTCAGGCCAATACAAATGCTCATTAACCTATCGTAACCTTGAAGAAACGATCGGTTTATAATTGATCCACTATTGTTTCTTCAAACACAAAGCGAGCAGAAAACAGATGCTGGAGCTCTTGTAGCTCTTCTCGTGTCCATTTCCACACTAAGCTGCATGAGCTGATGATCCCCATCCTCGCCAGGCTTCACTGGCTCCCTATCCCTCAGAGGATAGAGTTCAAGATCCTAGTCCTCACTTTTAAATCTCTCCATGGTCTTGCTCCTCCCTACCTCTGCTCTGCATCAACACTTTACCAACCTGCCCACTCCCTCCATTCAGCAGGCACTGGCCTGCTCCATGTCCCCCACCCTGTTCTCTCCACCATCAGCATTCGGGCCTTCAGCTTTTCTGCCCCCACCCTTTGCATCTCCATTCCACTTTGCCCCTCCTCCCTTGTCTTCTTCAAGGTCCATCTCAAGTCCTTCCTCTTCAACCGTGTCTTCAATCATTTTCCTTCCTCCACCTCACTTGCTCTCCACCCCTCTTGATTCCAGCCCCCAGCTCGGGTGCAAACGTTGTTGAGAGACTAAATCTGTGGACATTGCCAAAGTGTGGCACGGTCACTATCATGGCTATCAGCTCACATCATTCAGTATTGTAAAGGTTTTTAAAGCGAGTGTTTGGAATGTGAAACTCCCTGCCCCAAACTGGCTTTCAGAAAGCCAGTCAAGTGTCCGCCTTCCCTAAAGGCTGTAAAATCCTATCATGCTGGAAACCATGTTGAGACAGGGTCTAACAACAACAAGCATTCATATAGGGTCCTTCACGTGGGGTAATGTCCCGGAGCTCTTGACAGTGGCGGAATCTGACCCCGAGCCAGGGGGAGAGGGAGTGGGGAGGTGACCGTAAGCACCATCAAAAAGTAAGGTCTGTAGGCGGGATTCGAAAGTGGGGAGGGAGGGGGTGAGGTGGAGGGATCGAGGGAGAGAGTTCCAGAGTTTCGGAGCATAGTGGCTAAAGGCACGGCCACCATTGGTTGAGCATAGGGGAGGGGGGACAAACAGGAGGGTCCATCAATTCTTTGCAAAGGGCTTGGACACATGCTTGCAAAAGAATGCCTACTGAAGGGTACACGGGAGGAGGCAGGAAAGTAGGATTAGCCTCAGTGGCTAATGTGTAGAAAACCACCAGCACAGACACAATGGGCTGGATAACCAGGTTTGCACTATAAGAGCCTGAAAATCTATTCTGCAAACAGGAATTATACATTTATAATAATAAATAACAATCCTTGTATTTGATATAGCGCCTTATCACGTCATCAACACATCGCAAAGCTCTTCACAGAATATACTGTAACGTGAATTGACTGTATATTTTATGGACAAAATTTGTATTCACAAATGACGGATAGATGTGAAACATGATCATTAGAAACTGGATCACGCAGTAGCATGCAGGCTCCAGAATATCCTTCCTTCCAGCTTTGTGCGGGTAAGGTTAATCAAACTGACAGATGATTAAATATCCCAGCAACAGCACAGCAACAGCAAAACTCTGCAGACAGCACAGCTCACCTTGTATGTTCAAGATCTGCTCCACGGTGACATCAGTGAGCTTCTTTTTCTGCAGCTCTGCTCGGATTCGCATGGCCTGGTTGGCATATGGCGTCACCATCCCGATGCTATTCTCATCCAGCTTCCCCCAGGCCACTGGCCATTTCTTCTGCAACTCTTCCACTTGCTCAGCCACCTCCAAAACCTGAAACAGATTAAATTCAGCATCAACCTTTCCGTAAACAAATACAAACAGATGCTGGGAATCTGAAATAAAAATAGAAGTGGCTGGGATCAATGAACACTCAGCAGGTCAGGTAGCATCTATGGAGAGAGGAAAGCGAGTTAATGTTTCAGGTCGATGACCTTTGGTTAACACACTTTCCTCTCTCGTGAGATGCTGCCTGACCTGCTGAGTTTTCCCAGTGACTTCTATTTTTATTTCAACCTTTCCTTCCCCTCCCCAGGATTCTCTCAAATCCTCTGAAAGACGTTAGTGCGGGGATGCAAAAAAAACACAATTGCTTCTGAGTGACTAACACAACTTATATAACCGTCACACAGAGTATGTCAGGTTTCAGCTATCAATGTGCTGAGCAGCGGGTATGGTGTGTGTGGAGTAGCCTGCACTGAGAGGTCAGTCACATAGCTACCATCAGTATTGTGGTTTGCTCTGAATCTTAGCCAATCCGCGATATAATAATAATAATCCTTGTATTTTATACAGCGCCTTATCACGTCTTCGAGACGTCTCAAAGCGTTTCACAGAACATACTGTAAAGTGAATTGACTGTATATTTTTTGGGCGAAATGCAGCAGCCAATTGCGCACAGCATCTGTTGTGAATGATAGAAACAGGCGTGTATCTGCTTCTTTTTAAGAACAACACAAAAAAAACTGAACAAAAAGCATAAGAATTTGCTGGCGAAAGAAGACCAAGGTCCATCCAGTTTGCTTTCCACCATCCTGGCAGTCGCTTATACATATCATGTCACAAACTATATGCTATATCCTAAAATATTATTTCCTAACAGAAATCTATTTAATTTGTTCGTGAAAGAATCAACACTTCCTGCTGCCACCATCTCCCCAGGTTCCGTGCATTTACTACTCGCTCACTGAAGTAGTACTTTCACAGATTTGTTCTGAATTTACCCCGGTTCAATCTCAAGCCGTGTCCTCTGGTTCGACTTGAAAGAACTTGACGGTCCTGGGAAGCTGCTGGCTGGGGTAGATTAACCTCCACATTAGTCTTTACTGTACAACATTCACTCTATTTCTAATCAGTTCTATTTTATAAAGCGCTGTTCCAAGACGCTTTTATTTGACACGAACAGCACTATGTAAATGTAATGTTATCATAAAGGTGGTTGTGGAGTTGAACAGAACTGCTGGCAGGTTTATTTTTGGGAATGAGGTAAAGAAACCCATTCTACTGCCTGCTTAACCTAGATGTTGTTAGTAAATCGTTTACTGAACTTCTTGCTACCAAATGAAACAAACAAGTGCCTGGAGGGGCAGATGCCCTTGTTTCTATCCATGCTGAATGTGAACATCAATCAATAAAGTGATATTTTGCTTTCAGGAAAAGTGTGCAGTGGCTAATATTTCACTATCATCTACCCACAAAGCTCTGATAGAATTCTGAACATAAATTTAGGATTTGGTTTTATGTCAAACTACTGTACTTGCAAATTCTACATTTCTGGAAGTAAATACATTTCTACACCGAGTTTTACAGTAACTGACTTCACAAGCGATGGGGATTTTATTGCACAGTGAAGTTTGGTCTGCGCTGGCCATTCTCGTGCTGTTTAATAATATATAATAATCCTTGTAATTGATTTAGCGCCTTATCACGTCTTCGAGACATCTCAAAGCGCTTCACAAACATACTGTAAAGTGAATTGACTGTATATCTTGTGGGAGAAATGCGGAAGCCAATTTTTTTTTTTTTTAAGGAATATTACCTACGGAAAACAAATCCACCAATTGACTGACAACCGGGTTCCTACTTACTGCTAGGTAAACAGAGGCGTGTGGAGTAAGGAAACTTGCCCAATGTTTTGCCCTGCCCGGGAATGAAACTTAGGTCCTCTCTCTTGTGAGGCGAGTGCTCTAACCACTGAGCTACAGGATTCTCTAGCACCATTGCGGGTCAGGCCCACACTCACAGCTGCTGTTGGTTCGGAACTTTACCCCAACATGTGCAGCATTTGAGGGGGTGGGTTCAGCCTCAGGGCAGTGGTCCTCTCACAAAAAGGCAACATAGGAAATGCTAACCGAAAAAAGACCAAGGTTCATCCAGTGCACCTTCCACCATCCTAGCAGTCCCTTGCACATGTCAGGTCCTGAGCTACTCATATATTGTCTCCCAAAATATTATTTCCTAAAAGAAATCAATCTAATTTTCATTTGAAAGAATCAACACTTTGTGCTTCCACTGTCTGCCGAGGGAGCTGTTCCATACATTTACCACTCGCTCACTGAAGTAGTGTTTCCGCAGATTAGTTTTGAAATTACCCCCTTTCAAGGGGAGAGTAAAGGAATTAAACAGAAATCATTGAATAAGCCAGAGAGCAGCAAAGGCAGAGACATGGGAGCTGGCAATAATGGGGGAAAATGTACTGTGTTCAAAGGAGCTAAACTATAAATGGGAGAAAGGAGAAGACACACAAAATGTCATTGGTTAGTGTAACATGGTGAACAACCACAGCACTGTGTCCTGGATGTTGTGCCGATTCAAGTACATTCTGCTGTGATTCGGTTTAGTTTACACAATAGAACAAATTCCAATGCTTCCAGGCGAAAACTACAAATCAAGGTAACAACACAGCCATTAATCATCTCAGAAGCTACACATTGTTCCATGTGACTGAGTATAGTATAAAAACCCCAATCCAGTATATTTCACTGTAAAAGTGAGTATGCATCTTAGAGGAACAAGACTAATGCAGTGGTATGATCAGGATGCTGCTGGCAAACAGAGAATGAGAGATTATGGATAAGCAGCTGAAACAATCTTTATTGCCTTTCTGAAAAGCAATAACGTAGAGTTCAAATCGAGTGCAAGATTAACAATCCTTTATACTAGTTTTCACTATGCCCAAAGTAATTAATCCTATTTTACATCCCAGGAGCAGATGGAAAACAGACTTGGCTATCTTCTGCTCAAATACAGGGTGTTCATAAAGTCCTGTTACCACCACACCCCCAACTCCTCCCTACTGGGCTTTTTTCTTACAATGAATTTTTATTTTCTGTTGCAGATGATTGGAGTGTAACAATGTCTGATACCAGTAACTTCCTTCTCAATTCATCCTTCTTACGGAAGGCTTGGCTCCAAATACAGCAACAGATTATTATCTGCCATGATGCTCACACTTGCACACTGATCCTCTGGATGTCTAAATATAGTTAAACACTTGTACTAAGTACAATTAAGCACTTCTAAACACAATTATTATCAATCTTCCACATGTTTTAGTTGTTGGTCAGTGCACTGTAGAAAAAAACTATGGGGGTAACAGGACTTTGTGAATACAATGGATATTGAACTTGGGATCCAACACAGAGAAGAAAATCATGGTGACCTCACCTCAGCACAGTTGTAATAACTACAGCTGCTTCTGTCCTGTACATCTGCTCCCCAGGCTACGAAGAACGTGAGAGGAAAGAAGTCCTTGTGGGCTGGGTGTTTGCTACTTGCAATCAGGCTTCCTCTGTAGAACAGTTCTGATGCAAGACTGGTGCAAAAAGACAGAAACAGCATAATGAACTGCAACTCACATGGGACAAAAACTTCACAACACGACAGCCAGCTTAATGCTCCACAACTCAACATTCAAAGCACACACCGCGAGGTTTGCTGGGCAACAAGAGCATAAGACAGCTGCTCACATGAGTGGCTTCAGCAAAGTGATAACTCCTCAAGTAACCACATTTAGAGTGGAGAATGATTGCTTCAGGTTAGGCTGAAGATCTCCTCCCTGCATTGCAGCCGCATACCCTTTAATGCCCCAAAACTGCCTAATAGCTTCGGTCTTGCATCTCGCATGCAGACCTGTGTTTTCCAGGTAGAGAAGGTAGTTAAGGGCGGTGAGAAGCTACCCTACGGGAGATGGCGCTGCATAAATGCAAGTTGTTGTTGTCACAGCCGAAAGGGGTGGGGAGGAAAGAAATGAAGGATCTGTAGTTACTGGAGCAAAAGGTTGTTCAACAGTTTATTGCCAATTGACAGGATTTCCACTAAAAGGAGCAATGACCAATACTTCACTGGGTTGACTCAGAGCAGGATTGCTGGCAGATTGTGAGTCATGGCCTTCAGCATAGAAATAGGGGAGAAAATTGGAGGAAATCAAGTGCATAGAATAAGCAAATAAGGGCATCTGTCAATCCATTATAGAGTCCCCAAAATAGATGGCAATTCTAATTAAAATATGGTAAATAAACAAGCCAGCATTCAATCTACCTCCAAACTGTCGATATCGCATTTCTGATAGCAGAACCACAATAGTGTCAGATGATACCCTTTCTGGCAAATTTCAGCTATGATCAGGTGCTAACAGGAACCAGATCTCAGGAACAATTCAAGAAGGTACCATTCAGGAGTGTGACAAATGTACGTGCACATTTCATTACCCAGAATTAAATACATTCAGATGAAACATTCAACACATTTGTTCAGAGATTTGCACAGTACCTGATGATAGCCTCGTGTGATCTATATTGCTCTGATAAGGATACGTGACAGCAGGAGTCGGCTGGGTAGAGCTGTGACAAGCGCTCAATCAAAGAAATGTGCAGGTTTCGTTCTCGAGCAAATTCACTGTACACAACAGGATTAAGCTAGGAGGGAAAATGGAAGCCAGGTTACCATCTTCTAATAACCTTTAATCGTTAGAGTTACTAATTCATACAGAGCTGAACTGATGACATTGTTAAGAATCACAGAATCATATAGCACAGAAGGAGGCCATTTGGCCCATCGGGCTTGCGCTGGCTCTTTGAAAGAGCTACCAATGAGACCCACTCCCCCGCTCTTACCCCAGAGCCCTGCACATTATTCCTTTTTAAGTACCTCTTCAATTCTCTTTTGAAAGCTACTATCGAATCTGCTTCCACCACCCTTTCAGGCATTCCAGACCGCAACAACTTTCCAGGTAAAAAAAATTCTCCTCGTCTCCTCTCTTGTTCTTTTGCCAATTATCTTAAATCCTCTGGTTACCGACCCACCCGCCAGAGGAAACAGTTTCTCCCTATCTACTCTATCAAAACCCCTCATAATTTTGAGCACCCCTATTATAATATAAATTTCCCCACATGGCTGGGTCACAGTAAGGAAAGACCTGTGTCAATATAGACGAGCTATACATACTGTAATAGCTAGACCTCACTATACTTTCACACCTCCTTGCAGGAGAAACAGCAGCAGGAATATCTCTCGGATATAGAATGGTGGAGGGTGTATGTGGGGCAATTAAAATACATGTTACATGCTGTAGAAGGTAACAATTAATGAAGCAAAAGACAAAGTTACATTCATTTTATTAATGATTTAAACTTTTACTTGAATGTGGTCACTTCCCAGATGGCAAACCCTGTGCTGTTCAGAGGGCTGAAGTGAGGCCCTTCAGAGGAAGGAAGCCTGATTCACCTCCCATTCCTCCTCACCCTAAACACGAACGCTCTGCCACAAGTGGTTATTGAGGCCATGATATTGAAAGCATTTAAAAGACAATGAAGTGTGAGCTTAAAGGTCCAGAGAAACAGCAGGGACTTGTGAGGAGCATGGCTGCAGGAGATGAGCGAGCACCAGTTTAGAATCAATAGACTTCTCCTTCTAAATGCAACCCAAAAATATTCAGTTTAATTAGCGTTGTCTCCAGACATTCACATCCATATCTACTGGTTGTCTGTTTATCCAGGCTGTGGCACTGAGCCAGTGAACAGCTCACCAGACAATCTTTACTGCACATCCTGCACTGAGCAAGACCAATGTTTCAACAGACATTTTATCCAATTGTAGCCATCAATTTGTTCACTTGTTGGGAGCTCTGAGTATCAGCAGTGGCTGCTCTTCACTGTGAGAACACTGTACCGTTCAGCACACTTTTACATCAAACACAAAGAAAATCGGACGGCAAGTAAAATTTTTCAATGTTAGATTTAATTAGGTTCAATTAGATAGGTACTTGAAAAGGAAATTGTGGGGGTACTTGCAGGGCTATGGTTAAAGAACAGGGGAGTGTGACTGATTGGGTAGCTCTTCCAAAGAGCTGGCACAGGACGATGGGCCAATGGCCTCTTTCTGTGCTGTAATATTCTACGATTCTATGATTTAAACACAATTTCTTGCAGTTGTACACATCTAAGTCATGTTAAAATCCATTCAAGTGAAGTTGGTTTCATGAACTTGCTTTTTAATCTTGGGAATGTTCTTTCAGGAATTTTTAAATAATTGTGCAAGTCAGGCAACCTAAAATTGAACCAAAAGCATATGCAGCATATCACTACAGCAGCGTGTAATCATCTGGGAATTCTATCCACTTAACGGCTTTCTTTTAGCTCTCAATTTTGCAAAGTTGTGGTGTCAACAAAACTGGATAAGTAGACTCGGGGCCACAGACTGTGATTAATTTTGTAAAAGAGAGAAAACCGTGAATAGATAGAATGGCATAAAACACTGAATGTGAGGACTGCAGGAGATTTATAATTGTAAAAATATGAGTAATTAAAAAAGGAAATATTTTAGTAAAAGTCATGACAATAAATCCAAACTGTCATGGAGTCACAAGAGGCAGGCTCTGACTGATCTGTTGGGTATCTTCACTGTTACACAACCACTGAATGATGGCGATGTGTTTGACAATATATTAACCTGACCTTTTAAAAGCATTGAATTAGTTGCTCGCAGGTGACACCGTGAAGCCAAAGCTCACAAAACACCAGATAAAACTATAAATTGGATTAACTGGGTAGATAACAGGAACCTGGGGAGTTAATGATCAGCCCTGAAAATGTTGCTGCTCTTAAAAAGGCCTGAAAGTATCCAGTGGTGCAAGGAACCTGAACGTTTCACTGGGAAGAACTCCAGTCTTGCCTGCAACACTGTACAGGGCAACCATGCAGCTTGAAACCTTTGGGTCAAAATAGATGTCTTAATTCTCAGTGTCCACAACAAACTCAGGAAATCCCCACACACTACAGAAAACAAAGGTTGGGGTGGGGGGGAGATATACATCACTAGCAACAAATGTCTAACTTTAGCAAAGGGATCTCTAAACAACAGTGATGTCAAACTAAATTTGCTATGGTAATGGATTAGAAAAATTAGAAATAGATTTGTGTGAATGCTATCAGTCCTTCTCTGCGGTTGTTCTGGGCAATATTATCGATGCTCTTTTTTTTGTGATGCTTTTTTTGTGCTTAGTGCAGAGTGTGCTAATTCCACATGCATTAAGATAATGTGAGTTAAGCAATGAATCTGTATTTGTGAGATAGGATAACATTCACCCTGTGTGACAGCTCTGTGGCCAAAAGCCTTACCAAGAGCTTTGTATTCCAATAGGCTCAGCCCTAATGGGAGATTCAACATTTTTAAACCCTCTCGACTTCTAAATATTTCTACACAAATAAGCAGACTTATGTTACCAGACATGCACCAGAACAAAACAGCTTCTGAACAGTTAGTAATTTAGAAATCCCCTTCAGTAGCAATTTTAACGGAGCATTAATATTCCAGCAGAAATGTAGTTGTTATCTTGATGAATATCCTAATCATTCTCTTTCTCTCCATCACAATCAGGAAGGAGAAAGTGTTAGTTGTGATTGAGAGGCGATATATTTCAATACCAATTTTGATTAACAGTTGCAATCAAGCTTCAGTAAGGGCAAATCTCCAGTCTTAAAAGATGAACAAGGGCAAGATGGCAAGGATGTTCTTCCTGCTTAGGTAAGAACAAATTGGACACAGGGAGGAAGATAAATGGAAAGATTAAGGTGGATAGATATGTTAGGTAAGGATATCAAGGGATATGGGGCAAAGGCAGGTAATTGGAGATGAGGTACAGATCAGCCATGATCTTATAAAATGACAGAAGAGGCTTGAGGGGCTGAATTGGCCAACTCCTGTTCCTATGTTTCTAATGAAAAGGTAACCTTCTTCATCAGTGGCATTTCATTTATTCCCTGCTCCCCCCCCACCCCCCACACACACAAAAAAAAAAATCTGTCCTGTTGAGCAAACAATTTAATGAGTATGCTAGAGATTTTCTAAAAGATTTTGCCCAGTTACCCCCAAAAAACAAAGGTAGGCGATATCAAAACCTCCCATCATTTTTCTCATGGCAACGAGAACATCTAACATTAGAAGGCAAGCACACAGGTGTGCTCTTTTCAAAGTCGTGTAGTTTTAAAACGGAATCCAATTAGTTAAGGGAGAAGCATCTTGTGTGCGGATTGAGAAAAATGCAGTGGCTTTCATTAATAAGCCAAAATCTATGTTGGTGGCTCTGGGTTGGATAGGAAATTAGTTTCTGATTTGAGCGATAGATGGCAGGCAGTAAAAGTACAACTTTACAACAGAAATCAGTTGAGTTGGCACTTGAGTTGAAAGAAGTCACATCTAAGCCATGTCCTCCAGCCACTGGGATAGAGCGCTGGCTTCCCTCATCTGGTATATAAACCGTATCAACCTGTCTGCTCCCTCCACTCTGCTCCATGTACCCCGCCCAACCCGGCCCACCATTGCCAGTCTGGCGTTCAGCCTCTCTCCCCCCACCCTTTGGAACTCCATCCCACAGTCCCTTTCCTTTGCTCGCTCCCTTGCTTCCTTCAAGACCCTCCTGTTCATCCGCACCTTTGGCCAAACTTCTACAGCTACCCTCCCTGCCCTCCACCTTTCCTGATCCCGACCCCCAGCTCGGGTCCAAATCCCTGACTGTCCTGCGCCTTGGGACATCTTCCCGATGTGAAAGACGCTGTGTAAATGTAATATGTTGTTGTTGTTGCTAGTACATTGTATCACACCTTGGCAGCACACAGATGGTAATACTGACTTCAAAATTGTAATTGACCAACTTGTGAAAACAAAAAACAAGGCTATTTTTTGTTCAATAGCACAAATAGACAGGAGCATAAACATAACGAGATTTGTCAAACAGAGGTATAGTTTTTCCAAAAGTTATGCTGACTCACTAATTGCAAATGCTAAACAGTTGACAACCCTCACCGTGACAAACAGTCATAAACTGGAAGTTTAATATTGATGACAAATCAAGGAGTAAGGGCCACCAGTCAAGACACGGTGAGCACTTTCCAATCCATCACTCACTCCTACAATCATAGAATCTTACAGCACAGAAGGAGGCCATTTGGCCTAACGTGTCTGTGACAGCTCTTTGAATGAGCTGCCAACTAGTCCCACTCCCCCGTTATTACCCCATAGACCAGCAAATGTTTCCTTTTTGAGGACCTATCTAATTCCCTTTGAAAGCTATTATTGAATCTGCTTCCACCACCTTTTCAAGCAGTGATTTCTAGACCATAACAACTCCAATTCCAGACCGTAACAACTCTAATTCCAGACCGTAACACCTACTTCAAAGCAGCAAAGAACAACTTAAAGGAAAGGCAACCACAAGTAACAGTTATAATAAAATCTACCTGCATCGGATCTCCAGCCAGAACGATTCGAGTGGTTCGATCAGCCAAGCCCAGAGCCATAATAGTTTCACATTCCACAGCTTGCGAGGCATCATCCAGTAAAATATGCGTGAAGTATCCTGTAGTCAAAAAGTGGAGGGTTTAAACTTTGGAACAAAACCCAATACAAGGCAACATGTAGAAATATACACTGCTCTGAGCTGCAGTCTGCAAAGATTGTCTTCCACATTTTTTGGGGGAGCGTCTGTATCCAAACCAAGCTGACGTTTCCATGCATCCCACCTACACATAGAAATTCCAGAGAGTGAAATGCACTCTCTCTCCCTGGAGGGACGCATCCTGCTTACCTAATTCCGGAAAGTTTTAGGCACAGGTTGGCAAGAGCCAAAGCTTGGAGACCCCAGAGCGTGCATTGGGGTAACTGCTGGAGTTTAACTAGCTAAAACCGCAGTTTGCCATTGATATTACTGTCCGGCGAGCTTTCACATTTCTGACAACGGTTAGTCGAGTACACTAGGTTAAATCCTAATTACCAAGTAAACTCCCTTCATTCCAATAAACGCTCCTAAATGCTGGACTTTTACATTGGGCCTGGGCAGAGAACTTTTTCATTGCTTGGCAATGTAGTAGATACATTGAGAAACACAAATCAGAGGATTGATTGCCCTCCTCACTAAGCGTCATTGAGAGACTCATTATATTGAATTGGTTTCGAAACATGACACACACTGTTACAACTAGACAGTGTCACTCAGAGACTTTGGGCAAAAAACTAACATGAGCAATCCATTACCCGCTCCTTGTCAATGTGAGCTTGGACAGGCTCTATCAGTGAGGTTTCTCCAGAGCCTGACCAATACTCTCAGCCAACACATTAATTGAGATAAGTGTAAAGCAGGTAAACTTAGTAGCACTTGTTACCTAGTTAAGTCTCTAGTAGGTTGAAGTAAAAATGATAGCTGTAACCTCCAGACTGCTCAACTGCCAAAGTTATGGTGAATCCTTAGAAATCTGGGTTCGCTTCCCAAAACCCTTGAGTTTCAGCCAACATGCAAAATACCAAGCAGTCAGCTCCCTTGGCCAAATAGTCTTTGCATCAACCAGTGGCAGAATTGATGGTGGCTTCTGCCTCACCAACCTGCACAAATCATTGTCATTGATATTGATTCAAACCAGTTCAAGCCAAGCTCACATAGGAATATCCTTGGTCAATGATGTTTAATGCAGACTTATCAGTCAAGACCTGATCCTGTGCTTGAGGAGGGAGGGAGGGATCCAGAGTGATGATATAATTAGGAACATGGTACCAACACTCTGGCCTTAACCACACTTCCTGGATACCTGTTCCAACTGTTAATTCCTTTCTGGATAAAGAAACAATCATTTCCTGGTATCTGCTCTGAAATTACTCTTTCCAAGTCTAATCGTACATCCTCTTATTACACTGTCATATAATATTAATAATCTTTGCATTGATAAAGCGCTTTATCATGTCGTTGAGACGTCTCAAAGTGCTTCACAGGATATACTGCAAAGTGAATTAACTGTGCACTTTGTGGGTGAAACTAGACAGCCTTGTTGCATCTGAAGGTATTGTTCTGAGTTTACTTTTTCAATCCAGTTTGACATTTTATACACTTCTTTAAGGTCTCTTTCAGGACTGAAGACCGAGCTTAATTAATCACTCCCCATAGCTCATTCCTCTAAACATCCCCGTTGCTCTCCTCTGCACTGTCTTTGAGGCCTGGGCATCCCCTTGTGTCACAGCAACCAGAGCTGTATTCCAGGTGTGGCCTGACCAATGCACTATGCAGCTTGAATATGACTTCTGGGGATCTGAATTCAACTGACCTGGCAATATAGTCGAGCATCCCGTTTGCCTTGTTTATTGCTGCCTCACCTTATTTTTGACGTTGTGAACTTAATATCCCGAGATGTCTTTCAGCTTCCCCCTTGGCAAGTTCTATCCGATTCAAGGAGTATGTACGTTTCGTATTCTCACTTCCTCTATGTAGTACCTCGCATTCATCAGGTCTCAACAAAGCTCTAACCTAGTTCATAATGGAGCTCACATCCAAATACCATGAGTTCCTAATAATGACTGACAATCTGTGAAGCAAGGATCATAGGAACATACGAACAGGATGAGGCCATTCAGCCTCTCGAGCTTATTCTGACATTCTATTAGATCATGGCTGATCTGTGCCTCAACTCCAATTATCTGCCTTTGTCCCATATCCTTTGATACCCTGACCTAACAAAAATCTATCCACCTGAATCTCAGAGAATTTCAGATTTTCAAATGTATATTGTTGCACAAATACTTATGTTATTGTGCTACCAAAACATTAAAAAAAAAGCCTAAAAATACACAAGTGAGTGGCATTTTGGTTTTAATAGTAAGCAGTGTGTATGCTGTTCATTCAGGCAGATGTAGTAGAAAACATGTCAACCATCTAGAAAAGGAAATAAAGGAAAGCGGAACAATGGAGTGGGAATACACACATCAGGTCTTCAACACAAGACACACAGTCACTTTTACATCGATTCAGCCCCATTCAGAAAAAAGAAACAGACTTGACATTTGATTGCCTGATGCGTTTGTAACCCTTGACATAGCGAAGCAATCAAACAATAAAATTTAAAAAAAGCAAAATGTCAACGCACGCCCGTCAGGATGGCATCCACATGATGTTTACATTTGTCGGAGCAACTTTCTGGCTCTGTGAGAATTTATAATAATAATATTCCTTGCAATTGATAGTGAGTTATCATGGCTTCGAGACATCTCAAAGCGCTTCACAGAAATATACTGTAAAGTGAATTGATTGTATATTTTGTGGGCGAAACGCGGCAGCCAATTACGTATAGCAGTGTCCCACAAACAGTTGTGGATTGCGTAACCAAATTATTATTATTTCAATTTTTTTGAGGAAGTATTATGCCCAGAAAAGCGATCTGCCAATCAACTTAGAACTGGGTTCCTACTTACTGCTAGGTAAACAGAGGCGTGTGGAGTAAGGAAACTTGCCTAACGTTTCGCCCTGCCCGGGAATCGAACCCAGGTCCTCTAGTTTGCGAGGCGAGCGCTCTAACCACTGAGCTACAGGACTCCACGCAAATGTTGTCCTGGGAGACTCATTCCCACAACAAAAACAAACATGAGCAAGAGAACTCCAAATTCATTCTGATTTAAAGTCTGCGTACTATCTATGTGCACTGAGCACAGACAGAGATAAAGCCGTGATATTTTATGTAGATGTGTGTAAAAGTGAGCATACACTTCAGTAAGCATTTGGGAATAGAAACAATCCAGTTGGGTGATTATCCAAGCGATTCCTCATTATAATAATAATAATCCTTGCATTTGATACAGCGCTTTTCAAGTCGGGAGAACGTCCCAAAGCGCTTCACAGAAGACACTGTAAAGTGAATTGACTGTATATTTGTGGGCGAACGCGGCAGCCAATTGCACACAGCAATGTCCCACAAACAGTCGTAGATTGAAAATGACCAATTTATTATTGCTTTTGGCTTTGGAGGGATTATTATTAGGCGTGTGGAGTAAGGAAACTTGCCCAAGGTTTCACCCTCTGCCTGGAATTGAACTCAGGTCTCTCGCTTGCAAAGCGAGTGCTCTAACCACTGAGCTACAGGACTCCACATGCAGGCACCACAGTTGGATTTCAAGAATATTGTCACGTTAAAATGATTAATCAAGTCCTTTGTTTCTCCCACACAAATCTGCTGACTTCACTTTTCTAAAGCTCTCACTATTATGGGTCATAAAACAAGCACATGCTGAATGCCATTCAGAAGACACTTCAATGATAATTCATACTTCTTCCCCAAAGCAGCCATTTCCAGATCTGCAGCTGGTAACGTTTTGTAAAAACACACCCAACAAAAGCTGGATTGCTGTTCAAAGAGCCTCTTTTCTTAGGCGATGTGTTTGCTAATTGCAACCAATTTCTCAGTTACAGACACAGCGTGCTCTTCAAATTACCGGCTACATCATAAAATAATCAGAACAAAACAGGCACATTGCATATCAATCATTATAACAAGGACACAGCACCTACCCTTATCACTCCATAGTTTACAGAATTGTTGGATACCAAGTCTAACTTTAACAAAATAATCCCAGAATTTGATACAGTGCTTTTCACACCCATGTTCAATTTGACCAATCACATATTGGACTCAATTCATGTCTTTGGGGCTCCATCCCCTACATCCCATGGGGTTAGAGAGACAAAGAGCTGAAACCGTCAGGAAATGTCAACCCAAACAGACAATTTTCACCCATTGTTTCACTGAAGCAAACATTGTGACGAGGGCTTTAACTGGGATGAAAATTAACAATTGCTGCGCTAATAACTTGCAGTGTGTGATCGTAAGGGTATCAAGGCAAGGGCGAGTAATTGGAGTTGAGGTACAGATCGGCCACAATCTTATAGAATGGCGGAACAGGCTTCAGGGGTTGAATGGCCTACTCCTGTTCCTCTGCTCCCTGGTTTGCTTTCAGGACACAACTGTTGGAACCAACCAACACTAGCATCAGCAGCTCAAGACAGCTCACTGTATTGACTAAAGGCAGCATCAATGTGGGAGCTGAGCACCGGAGAGACATGTCTAAACATTGTCAGAATTTTATAAACAGTGTTAAACGTCTTCACATCATCAGCCTTTGATTTTGAGCAGTGTAAAGCTGATCATCAACAATCCAAGGACAAAGAAAATTGCTTTTGTCTCTAGTAACAGTGCTGCATGCTGCCATTAGCTGCTTGCTTGTACAAAGGCAACATGCTGCTGCTCAGCCCCCCAAAGAATAATCTAAAAGAAGCATTGATTTGTGAGGCTTGATCAATCTTTATTAAGCTGACGCAGCATGGGCCCTGCCAATCAACATGTCCTCGTACTCAGAGGTCAAAACCAGTTTGAATTTGCTAAATAAAGGGCAGCGGTTAAAGAAACGCTTCCTGAATTTATCTGGCAAAAAACGATTGTGACGCCTATTTATCAGGTATGGAAAAAAATTTATAGGCCCGCCTAAGCCAATCTTTTAAAAGGTTCACAAAATAAACTGATATGTTTGCCTCTGCGGTTCCTACCTCTTCACCAAACAATTTTAGATAACATCAGACATCAATCTATCCTGGCCAACAATCTCCCAGGGAAAATTGGTCATTCACATCATGGTTGCTCTTGGGACACTGCTATGCACAAATCGGATGCCATGTTTGCTTACAGATATAGTCACTACACTTTATGTGATGCGCTTTTAAACGTCTCAATCATGTGGCCTTCACACCTACCTTCTGAGTGTCAAAATACACACTCCACCTTACTAAGCCAGTCCGGAACCTTGGCGTCTTGTTTGACCCTCAACTATTCTTTCTATCCCACATCTGCGCCAAGTTCCGCTCTGACGTCCGCTGGGACGTCCTCCCGAAGTGAAAGGCGCTCTATAAATGCAATCTTGCTATTGTTGTTCCCCCACCTCTGCAACATCGCCTGGCTCCGCCGCTGTCTCACACAGTAGGCCGCCGAGATCCTCATACACACATTCATAACATCCAGGCTCGAATACGCAAACTCCCTGCTTGTTGGCTTCTCCAACTCCCTCATCCAGATCTGTGTCCTCTCCCGCACTAGGCTCCGTGACCCTATCACCCCATCCTCGCCCGACTCCACTGGTTTCCCATCACACAGAGGATACAGTTCAAGATCCTGGTCCTCATCTTCAAAGCCCTCCGTGGCCTTGCTCCCCCTTAACTCTGTGACCTTCTAAGTAAGCCCTGCTAACCTGCCCTCTCCCTCTGCTCAGCGGGCTCAGGCCTGCTTCATGTCCCCCGCCTCGCCCGCTCCACCATTGGCGGGCGGTCCTTCTGCCACTCTACTCCCACCCTCTGGAACTCCATCCAACAATCCCTCTTCCCTCCTTCCTCCCCTGCTCTCCACCCTCCCCGATCCCAACCCCCCCAGCTCCGGTCCGAAACAATGATTATCCAGCGCCTTAGGACATCCTCCCAATGTGAAAGGCGCTTTACACATGTCATTTTGTTGTTGTTGTAAATGCAGTTAAAAATTTGTACTGGATACTATTAAGTAATTCTAAATACAATTATCATCAGTCTTCCACATGTTTCAGTTGTTGGTCAGTGCACTGTGTAAAAAAACACATGGGGGAAACAGGATTTTGTGGACCCCCTTGTACAATCAGCTCCTTGACTTTACCTCTCCACCTCTGTGGAGAAACTCCTAACCTCGGAGTGTAAGCCAGTGCCTCAGAACTGCCTCACACTGAGCAATACACCCACACCAGTGAGTCTACAACCTAACCTCCTCACTGACACAGCAAGTTAGTATGCCAACATCCAGTCTGGATCAAGGATTCATTGATTTGCAGCAACATGCATCAGAAGCATATTTAGCTTACACAGTGCACTTTGGTGCTCTTATTAGTATTCCTGTTGCAAGACTCTTGTGACAGCAGACATGCTGAGCAATTGTTGGTTTAAAGTGTACAAATCGAGAAAAAACACTTAATAAATCCAGCCTCTACCTTATCAACTGTCATCACATTTCTACAGGGGGCAGATTAGCTGCTGAGTATTTCAGCCTAACAACAGTCACTGCATTTTCAAAGTAACTTTATGTTTGAAGCGCTTTGTGATCTTGCAACGCGATACAGCCAGTCATACAATCAAACACAAGTGAAAATAATGACAAAGTCTGCTTTCATTTGAATGCAATGCTCCAAGTACCTAGCTTCACAATCAGAAAGCAGTTAAACAGCCTCCAAATGTTCTCAACCTTATTATATTCTGTAAGTACATGGTGTTTCCTCTTTTAGAGCACGACTGAAGGCCTTTCTCTTCGACCGTGCTTATGGGCATCTCCCCCACTCCCCTCAGCTCAGCGACAGGCTCCGCCAAATTTAAGCGCTCAGACGCCGCCCTACGTGAAGGACGCAGTATAAATGCAAGTTGTTGTTGTTATAAAAATATTTGTGAAAAATATAGATATTCTCTACTTGCACTTCATGATTCACTGTGACAATGTGAATACGACAGTGTTTGCCGATTGCCCAGGAATCATCCCTGTGATCTCGGACTTACACACCCATCTGTGGAGTCCATTGCGGATCCGTGACTGTCCAGCACCTTTGACCATCCTCCTGACATGAAAGGCGCTATACAAATATAATTTGTTGTTGTTGCTGCAGTGGTTAGAGCACTCGCCTCACACTAGGTGGAACAGAGAGGACCTGAGTTTGATTCCCTGGCAGGGCGAAATGTTGGGCAAGTTTTCTTACTCCACACGCCTGTGTTTACCTAGCAGCAAGTAGGAACCCGGTTAGCAGTCGATTGGCGGATCGCTTTTCCGGGTTTAATAATCCCTTCAAAAAACTAAAACTAAATAAATAATAATAATTTGGTCACTCAATCCACAATTGTTTGTAGGACGCTGCTGTATGCAATTGGGCTGCCGCATTTCGCCCACAAAATAAACATTACAGTATATTCTTTGAAGCGCTTTGAGACGTTTCAGAGATGTGATAAGGCGCGATATCAAATGCAAGAATTATTTTTATTATTATTATTACCAGGTGACTTTTATATTAGTGTTAGAATGGCCTCTGGTGTTTCCTTTTGAAATTCCATTAAAACTCTGGCGGGCAGTGGGAGAGAGAATTGAGGTGGATTAAGCTGCTGACTCACCATGTTGCAGGTCAGCCTGGCAAAGGTATTTCGCTGAACTCACAGTGGTCACAACAATCCTGCACTTGAGGACATCCTCTTTTCTCGGCAACACAAACGAAGACTGGTTTCGAGCCAGCAGACAATAGCGCTGCACGGTGGGCTGCACGCTCTTCACGCTCTTGTTTTTATGATAAATTCTAAAAGGACAGGAGTCATTTCAGTACAGACTGAATACATTCAAGTTAACAGCACCATCATCGCAAGAGATTAAGTGCAACCACAACAGACCGTAGGATAAGCCTGAGGAGCTCTTCTCCTCTGCAGAGGTATATAAGATGCAAAACAGTGTACAATGTAAAAACAGATCCATGCTTTCAGACACTCCATGGTAGCAGGGCAAGACGGCACAGGATCAGGGCAATTTCAAAACAAAAACTCAGTGCCTTTCACATCAGGCAGGATGTCTCAAGATGCTGGAGAGTCAGGGATTTGGACCCGAGCTGGGGGTTTGGGATCAGGAGGGGTAGAGGGCAGGGTGGGTAAGGGTAGGCGGGTGACCAAAGGTGCGGTCGAAGAGGAGGGTGCTGAGGTGTGCCTTGAAGGAGCCAAGGGAGGGAGAGAGGCGAAGAAACTGTGCAATGGGAGTTCCAGAGGCTGAAGGCCCGATCGCCGATGGTGGGATGGATCGGGCGGGCGACATAGAGGAGGCCAGAGCCTGCTGAGCAGAGGAAGTGGAAAGGTCGATAGGGCAGACAAAGGGAAATATTTAATAACAGACAGAGCAAATTATTTCTCTACACTGTGGTAATTAACAGCTGGAATAGGGCAAACAGGAAGAACAAGAGAGGCCTGGATGATGTGATTTAGTTTTGTCCCAGCATACCCCTCCTCATATCCTCACAGAGTAAAGAAACCTAATTTTAGCAATGTGTGTCCTTCAGTCGTGATGTCTCAGCAGTGGATCACGTGTGGGAATGTTGGTGCTGAGATCACATTTATACCACAAAACCCTGTCCCAAACTACTAAAAACAGAAGTCACTGGGAACACTCAGCAAATCAGGCAGCATCTATGGAGAGAGAAAAGTGAGTTAATGTTTCAGGAAACGTTAACTCGCTTTTCTCGTTCCGTAGATGCTGCCTGAGCTGCTAACTCACTTTCCTTTTTCCATAGATGCTGCCTGACCCGCTGAGTGCTCCCAGCCACTTCTGTTTTTATTTCAGATTTCCTGCATCTGCAGTATTTTTCCTCCTGTCCCAAACAAAACAGCTAAAGGAGTTCATTCCCGCTGGAAATATAAATCCTGGGCAACAGAGGATTAACAATGGGGTTTATGGCAAGGCTAGTGGCCGGAGTTTAACAGTAATGATCATTTCTTACTGCTGGTATTGTCCTCACCTGAGAAGTCTGATATCACTAGCGTCATGTTCAACAATAGGAGAGAGGTAGTCCTTTAGGAATGAATCTGCTGCAGTATCTGAATGCGTACAGAACAGAATCCTGAGACAGTAAGAAATGCAGTACGTCACCTCGATTTGTAATACAACGTACATAACATTTATTCAGTATCCACTACAGCACAATGCGGTACATCTGTATTGCCTCATTTGCCCCTAACCCACACTCTATGACTTCAGACAACCTTGTGGTACTGTACTGAGCCACACAGATCAGGATCACGCACTGATCCCCAGTGATTTTATCAACCTCAGCCAAAGAGAGGAGAGATGACCGTCAAAATTATCATGTCCGATAGCTGGGAGAGGGGAGAGAAAGCTATACTTGTGGAGTCCCATAGCGTAGTGGTTAGCACACTCGCCTCACAAGCGAGAGGACCCAGGTTTGATTCCCGGGCGGGGCAAAAACTTAAGACAAGTTTCCTTACTCCACACGCCTCTGATAAGGTACTATTTCAAATGCAAGGATTATTATTATTACACAAACAGGGCTTCCATTCTGGATGACTGTGCAGTGATCTCTGACGAAAGTGTGCACAAGGGAACCAAATTACCACCTTCCCAACAAGTAGACACTCATAATTGCTGGCTGCTCTGTATAACCTTATCTCCCCCTGTCCCACCCCAAGCTATCACCAGCTTCGGTATAAAAGAGACAGATGAATAGCAAATGTATGAAAATCAACTGCATTCTACCTTTTGTCAGACTTTTTCATCAAGTGCTTGATTGCCTGAGCCAGGGTGAATGTTTTGCCGGTGCCACACGGACCCATCAGGAGAATGGGTGGCAGGAGGAATGTTGCAGGAGCAGTAATGGCACCAGCTGCTTCCCTCTGTCTGCAGTTCAGTCGAGGGTCCAGTAGTTCCTCCCACTCTCTGTGTGAAGAAAGAAGCCCAGCATTGTGGAAAAAAAGAGAGGTCAGTGCAATGCTAGATTTGTGCCATATCTACTGTGCACAGATCCTCCTCTTTCCCATTCATTTGAATATCCTCACACTCGTTTTGAAATCCCTTCGTGCCCTGGCACCTCCCTACCTCGCTGTTCTACTTACTCCCCTCCGACTCCGCTCGACTGGCTCTGGCCTCCTGTATGTCCCTCGTGCCCTAAGTTCCACCATTGGTATCTGCGCTTTCAGCCATTACACCCCAAAACTTTGGAACACTCTTCCTCTACCCCTCTGACTTGCCCCTTCCTTCCCCATCTTCAGATCATGCCTGAAAACTCTCCTCTTCCACCGTGCCTACGGTCACCTTCCCATTCCCCGGTGTCGTGCTCCGCCACTTGTTAATCATTCTGGGACGCTACCCTGCGTGAGGGGCGCTGTGTAAATGCAAGTTGTTGTTGTTATCTTGTGCTTTTGGGCTCGATTCATTCACTAATATTCCCAGAGCTGCGTCAGCCCTCCAAGTATGGCATCTCCAGAGAATTCTCCCAGCGCCAGGCAGTTGTTTAAGCTACTCACTCACTGCGAGACTGAAACCAGCTTCAACTTCACAGCTTTAAAATCACTCCAATATCAGGAGCACTTTGGTTTCTGAAATATTATTTTTCGCCCACAAAATACAGTCAAATTACTTTACAGTGTATTTTGTAAGGCGCTTTGAGACGTCTCGAAGACATAAGGCACTATATCAAATGCAAGGATTATTATTATTAATTCTATACGACTAAATATACTTAAACTAAAAACATTTAGTGCCCGTTATCTGCTCACGTAATTTCCCTCTCATTTCTGCTTCTTCCCATTTGAACTTTATTCAGTATGTAATACACCTTTTCTCCTTAAAAATATAATTTCAAACACTTCAGGTGCCCATTTTACCTTGCTTTCCCTAATCTCATCCTACAGACTGAATTCTGTTCTGGACAAATCAGAGAACAGTTTTCTGCAGAGGCCATTTGTTTCAGCCAAGTGAGATGACCATAGAATCCTACAGCACAGAAGGTGGTCATTCGGCCCATCATGCCTGTGCCTGTGCTGGCACTTCGAAAGAACTATCCAATCAGTCACACTCCTCCGCTCGTACCCCATAGTCTTGCAATTTTTTTCTTTTCAAGTACCTATCCAATTCCCTTTTGAAAATTATTATTGAATCTGCTTCCACGCCCCCTTTCAGATAGTGCATTCCAGATCGTAACAACTCGTTGGTAAAGAAAATTCTCCTCCACTCCCCTCTGGTTCTTTTGCCAATTATTTTAAATCTGAGTCCTCTGGTTACCAATCCATCCACCAGTGTAAACAGTTTCTCCTTATTTATTGTATCGAAACCCCTCAAGATTTTGAACACTTCTATTAAATCTTCCCTCAACCTTCTCTGCTCTAAGGTGAACAATTCCAGCCTTTCTAATCTCTCCACATAACTGAAGTCTCTCATCCCTGGTATCATGATACTCTGTTACAGGCATGTTTCCAACACTCTCAGTGTGACAGACTGAGAAAAGAGGCTGAGTGGATTTTCTTGTCCCCAGCCCTGACAGCCCAAGAGTTATATACCTATCAAGTGGATGATACAAAAATGTGCTTCGGAGCCTGTGCCTGGGAGGCACACTCCTTTCTTTTAATGAACAAGAAGCTAGCTTCTGTTCAATCTTTCCCCCAGCTAAGATCAAACAAGGTTTTACTTCTACGAAAGGACTGCTACAACCACCAGCTACTAAATATATTTTATATAGTCAATTCACTTTGCAGTATATATTGTGAAGCTCTTGAGACATTCTGAAGATGTGATAAGGCACTCTATCAAATTTAAGGATTATTATTATATGATTAGCCTACACATCGCAGCTCTTGATAATCAAACTCATGGTTATTTTTTGGTAAGAAAGGATGCTCAATCCATTCCTACAATCTATCTGTGGGATTTCCACGTTTACAAAAATACAAATGACAATACAAAATTACATTTGCAAAGCGCCTTTCACATCGGGAGGACATCCCAAGGCGCTGAACAGTCAGGGATTAGGTTCCAATCGGAGGGGGGGGGGGCAGGGAGGCAGAGAGGGTAGGAGGGTGGCCGCGGGCACTGTCGAAGAGGGTCTTGAGGCGTGCCTTGAAATGAAGGAGGCAAGGGAAGGAGCAAGGTAAAGGGAATGTGGGATGGAGTTCGAGAGGGCATATTTCCTCAAAATATACGGTCAATTCACAGTATATTCTGTGAAGCTCTTTGAGAACCCTTGAAGACGTGATAAGGCGCTATATTAAATGCAGGTGTTATTATTATTATAATAATGTGGTTCATCTGAGTTACAACCCTCTTCTCTCCCTCACGTGCTGTTTTCCACAGAATTATATGATCAGGACACATTTTGTAAAGGTGCAAAAAAAAAAAAACCACCTGCAAAATACGACTAAACAAAACGAGACACTGAAATGTGTTGCGTACCTGCTGGGCAGATTCAGAGAGAGGAGAGAGGAAATGTCTGGAGAAACCAAGCTACAGTCCTTGAGGTTATCTAAAGCAAGGTGCATCTCACACAGAGGCAAACGGTTCAGCTGGAACTGCAGCTCCACCTGTTGGAGAGAAAGAGAAAAATATGCAGTGCACAAATAGGGTGTGAAAGAAGCATTGCACCTCAGGTAAGTACTGGGAGCCAGGTCCCAGCATCGCGGGAAATGTCTGGGCTAAGAGGGCATAAAGCACCTACCAGCATCCTACAGGGTGTCCACAAAGTGCCAGTGTTGTAACACATTTGGATGTTGTATATTCTTCCTCTGTTGTACTGATTCCAGAGCCACATCGCAGATCATTTACGGAAAGGTTACTCGCAGGCATGTTTGGGCTTTTCAAGAAAGTCAAGGGTTTCAGTGTGTAATTTAGCACCTTTTTGGGTTTGGGATGATTGGAGAAGGTGAAAGGTTGGGGACAAGGTTTTGGGAGTAGGGGGGGCGGGGAGGTGAAAAGAAGTGACAAAATCTCCCCACCTCCACAAGTCCAATGTCAGGCCTTAGTTGGCCTGTTTGGTTGATGGTCTGTGGGGGGTGGGGGGGGGGAGGGGGAAGGGGGTGCGCAGGAAAGAGAGAAAGCAATATAAATGTTGTAGAGAAAGAATATTTTAAGGACTTCACACAAATACAGTATGGAATACTTTCATCTGAAGTTACCTCTATATCTCGCTCAGGTCGAAGCTTCAGATCCTCACAGCATTCTTTGGAGAGTCGCAGTAGCATACACTCCCTCGTCCTGTCCTCCACAAGTGCTTCATAGACTTTCTCCTTATTCCCTTGACTCAGTCCCAGGCCTCGCTTTTTGCTGAGGGGCATCAACAGGACGCTGGTGACTTTCTCCATCACCAATCTCCCAGCAGCAGTGTCTTTGGTTATGACAGTGTCACTCAGTAGAAAGCAAGCAAAAAGCTGGCCGTTCTGGACATGACGAGCAGCACCAAGATTGCCGGGAACTGCGTAAGACGTCATTATGTGCAAATTTGCTTTGATATTAAACCTAGAATGAAAGGGAACCATTTCAAGGTAACAAGGAACTGGACACAACTTATTATCTTAATAATAATCGGGCCTTATCACGTCTTTGAGACGTCTCAAAGCGCTTCACAATATATACTGTAAAGTGGAGTGACTGTTTGTGGGCGAAACGGAGCAGCCAATTGCACTCAGCAGTGGCCCACAAACAGTCCTGGATTGAATGACCAAATTATTTTTATTTTTGTTGAAGGGTATTACCCCCAGAAAAGTGAACCGCAAATCGGCTAACTTCCGGGTTCCTATTTACTGCTAGATAAACAGAGGTGTTTGTAGTAGAGAAACTTGCCCAACGTTTCGCCTTACCCAGGAATCGAACCCAGGTCCCCTCATTTGCGAGGCGAGTGCTCTTACCACTACTCTGCAGGACTCCATAATAAATCCTGTGAAGCGCTTTGAGACGTCCTCCTGATGTGAAAGGCTCTGTATCAAATGTAAGGATTACTTTAAGAGGGATTGGGAAACGAGGCATCTCAAATATCTTCATTTTAAAATCTGATCTCAGGTCTTATGAAACTCTTACTTGCTTATATCTTTGTTTTGTGCGTTTTCCTCTATGTAGAGAAGGTCGTGGAAGCGAGAATGATAGTTGTGCCTGTTCAGAACTTTGTCTAGAACTGAGCGGGTGAAGAGTTGGTCAGCAGCAGCAGGAATCTGATAGGTAACCAGCAGGTTCAAATCCAGATCGGACAGTTCTTGAGGTCGGAATTCAACAATTTGTTTGCAGGTTGCCTCCCAGCGCTGCGATGTGGTCAGCGATTGCTGCTGATGGTGTGACAGGGCTTCTGCGGCTGTGAAGGTAACAAAAACAATATAATATTTTAGCTTTTTGGTGGAATAGATAGGGAGCTCACTAACCATTATTTTCGACATGTACAGAACTTATTTATGTTGTATTTTTTTTTAATTGGTGAGCAAGGATAGGCTTTGTTCGCTCCCAATAACAACCCTCAAAAAAATAATAATGTGGTCATTCAATCCACAATTGTTTGTGTGGGCAACTGCTGTGCGCAATTGGCTGTCGAGTTTCGCCCACAAAATAGGCACTACATTTTGCAGTATATTCTGTGAAGCGCTTTGAGACATCTGAATAAGCTCTGTATTCCAGTATCTCCCCTTCCTCTATGTGAGGGCAGTTCACGCTCCACAGATCGGAAATACTGCAATACCAATCTTGGGAAGTAAAAGGAGAGATTTCGAACTTCTTCCAGTGAGTTGTCTGGGTGTGAAATGATTAACTGGGGTATGTTGGAGCAGAGTCAATTGGGGTATTTAAAAAGAAGCGGACAAGCACATGCCACATCACAAGAGGAGATGGGGAAAGAGCAGGAAATTGTGACTAAAGATGGAAGGCTTCTTCAGATATGAAGAAACAATAATAATAGTAATCCTTGCATTTGATGTAACGCTTTATTACATCTTCGATACAGCTTAAAAGCGCTTCACAGAATATACTGTAAAATGAATTGACTGTATATCTTTTGGGCAGACACAGGAGCAAATTGTGCACAACAGTGTCCCACAAACAGTTGTGGATTAAGCGACCACATTTTGTTTTAAAGATGTTTAATTATTATTTTTTTGGAAGGTATCCCTGGAAAAGCGATCCGCCAATCGACTAATAACCACGTTCCTACTTACTGCAAGGTGAATAGAAGCTTGTGGAGTTGCCTAAAGTTTTGCCTCGCCCAGGAATCAAACTTGAGTCCACTTGCTTGCAAGGCGAGTGCTCTTACCAATACACTACAGGACTCCTCAGGAAATAGGCAGAATGGGTTCTATTGGGTCTTGCATTAACATCTAGCCCTAGACTGTAGAAGAGCACCAGCCAATGATCATTTACTTACCTTTATCCGATGGCGCGGATACCGTAACCGTCTGCATCAGCACCGGCTCCGAGCCGAAGTCAAAAAGAATGGTTTGCTGAAAGTTTCCAAAGACTTGGGAATAAAATTTGATGGCGATTTGGTAAGAGTGCTCCTCAATCCTGTTCTGGCCACTTGAGTCTCTGCTCCATTCTTGACAGTGTGGTAATATGGAGTACGGGTGCAGACTATCAGAGTCCCCAGCGGCGATAGAAGCGATGTGGAAGCAGTGTGTGTAAGAATTACTCAAAAAGGCAACTTGATGAAGCAAACGTGGAGGCTGTTTGAACACATTAAAAGTACAATTTAATAAAAGGTTGCAAGGTTATGGGATAAGAGTGGGGGAGTGGGACTAGTTGGATAACTCTTTCAAAGAGCAGTCACAGGCACGATGGGCCGAATGGCCTCCTTCTGTGTTGTAGGATTCTATGATAAAAGGTTAAAGAGGGGCACTAAACATAAGCACTCATTTAAAGACAGTACAGACTTATGAACAAGATTTTATTGACTACTATTATTTACTTCAGTGGTGAATGGAGGAGTTAATGAAACCCAATGATCTCGACCACATTCAGAACTGAACAGTCACGAAGGCTAAAGCAACCCACTGATTCTTTCATGTTATTTCAGCTCCCTCACATGGTCAGTCTTGGTATTTGCTCCAGATTGAATTCCCTCAAGAATAAATGAGCTGCTGTGCAAAGCCTAGTAAATGCAAGGATTATTTTAGTTGCCAGCACCTCGGGACATTCTCCCGACGTGAAAGACGCAATACAAACATAATGTGTTGTTGTGTATTTAATCGTAGGTACAGATTTACAAATACTATCTATCTCAGCCTCTCTCTTCTCTCCGAAGTCAGTCATCACAAACTGAGTTTGGACTTTTCTGCATTACGCTGAGACATTAAGCACCAGTTGCATTTCAACAATTTGATTTGATCAGATTAACATAACACAGCATTATTTATGTCACGTTTTGAGCTGATTACTTTTGGAAACCCACCAGTTGAACTTACATTGCAAGTAAAAGAAAATATCCAAGCGAAGCTGTATGTTCTGCCATCAGAGACTTGATTGAGCTCACGACTTGATTCCACTCGCACCCCCTCAAGCACTCTGCTCACCTGAAGAGGAAAGTCAGAGAGAAATGGTAGCAAACATACAGTCGCCCACTGTTTGGATCGTATAAGATCAGGTTGGAGCAGAAATACAAAAAGGCCACTCATTCTGGCTTGGTACCTTACAGACCATGCATATCTCAGTGCCAGCTTCTGCATGTGAATGGTACATACCAGCTGAGAGGGAACTCACAGAAACATAGAAACGAGCGGAGGCCATTCAGCCCCTCTAGTCTGTTCCGCCATTCTATAAAATCATGGTTAATCTGTACCTCAAGCCCAATTACCCGCCTTTGCCCCATATCCCTTAATACCCTGACCTAACAAATATCTATCCACTTCAGTCTTGAAGATGTGAATGAATCCAGCATCCACAGCCTTTTGGAGAGAGTTCCAGATTTCCACTTCTTTTGGAATGAAAAACTGCCACTGATTTCACTCCTAAATGGCCTGGCTCTAATTTTAAGATGATGCCCCTTTGTTCTGGATTCCCCACCAGAGGAAATAGTTTCTCTGTAGCTACCCTATCAAATCTCTTTATTATTTCAAAAACCTCAATCAGATCAGCCTCAACCTTCGAAACACAAGGGAATAGAGACCAAGTTTATGTAACCTCTCCTCCTAACTCAACCCTTTAAGTCCTGGTATCATTCTGATGAATCTGCGCTTCACCCCCTCCAGAGCCAATATATCCTTCCTGAGGTGCAGTGTCCAAAACTGAACACAGTCTCCAATTGGGGTCTGACCAAGCTCGCTATAGTTAAAGCATCATTTTCTCTCCTTTATATTCCAGCCGCTTGAAATAAAGTACAACATCCCATTCGCCTTTTTGATAACTTTTGTACCTGCGAGCTTGTTTTTAGTGATTTGTGTATGTGGACGCCCAAATCCCTTTGCTCTTCCCCAGGTATTAGTTTCTCACCATTTACAAAATATTATGTTTTGCTATTTTTGGATCCATAGTGGATGACTTCACATTTTCCCTTATTGAATTCCGTCTGCCACAGTTTTGCCCATTTATTTAACCCATCCAAGTTCCTTTGAGACTTCCTGCTCCCATCTACACAATTTACTGTGCCTCCTAACTTTGTGTCATCCGCAAATTTGGATATAAAACTCTATTTCTTCATTCAAGTCATTTATATATACAAGTGAAAAGCTTGTGTAACACCACTTGTCACATCCCACCAATCAGAGAAGCTTTCTTTTACCCTTACTCTCCGTTTCCTGCCTCCCAACCAATTACTAAACCACGTCGCAAGGTTACCTCCGATTCCATGCGCTTTTATTTTTGCTAATAACCTCTTGTGCAGAACCTTATCAAATGCCTTCTGAAAGTCCATGTAGACGACATCCACAGACACTTTCTTACCCACCATGTTGCCCACTCACTTGATCTATCTAAGTCTGTTTGTAACTTCCTGCTCCCATCCACACAATTTAATGTGCCTCCTAACTTTGTGTCAAGAAATTCTTCAAAAAATTAAATTAGATTTGTCAGACATGACCTACTCTTCACAAATCCATGAGACTCTCTTTGATTAACTCAAACTTGTCCAAGTGCTCAGTCACTCTGCCCTTGATGACTTGATGATAGATTCCAGTAACTTCCCCACAACTGAAGTTAAGCTGACAGGTCTGTAGTTACCTGATTTCTCCCTCCCTCCCTTCTTAAATAATGGGAGTGACATTTGCAATTCTCCAATCCAAGGGCACAATTCACAAATATAGAGAGCTTTGAAAAATTGTGACCAATGCATCTGCTATTTTCTCCCCTACTTCTTTTAATACCCTGGGGTATAATCTATCAGATCCTGGAGATTTGTATATCTTTAGTCCCATTATTTTCCCCATTACCATTTCTTTATTTATATTAAATCCATTTAGTACTTCTCTTTGGCTTATTTTTAGGTTCCCTTGTACTGCTGCTACTCAATGTTATTTAGTCATGTGTGGTATGTGTGCATCAGACCATGATTGCACATATATATTGTAAACAAGGCAAAAGCAGATCTTCCAAGCTGAGGGCAGTTACAAGGATGAAGACTGCTAGGCACTGAAGGCACATGGCGTACCTGGGTTGGGGATTCAAGCTGCTTTAGGCTTCCAAAAGCTTTGGATTATCATCGGGGTTCCGGTACAGTGTGAGATGAAAAACTACTAAATCAGTGGAGAGCCAGACAACCTATGTTATCCATACAAGAGGTCCCAGGTCAGGCAAACAGTAACTTTTCTTAAAATCCCTTTTCACTGTTTTATTCAAGTCAGTTTCTTCTCCCCGCGTTTTTACATCTGATTTTTTTCGGTTCCGTTTCCAGTGAACCACATGGACAGCACCACACTGTGGCACTGCAACGAAAGTGAACAATTAATTACAGTAACACTCAGTGGTGAGAAGTGGTATTGTGGAATTGAACAAACTTCACTGCTTCAATCTCAAACTCTGAGCAGTGAACGTTTGACCTGATTCAATGCCAAGCTATGTGGTTTTAAATGGTCAGATTCCAGCACTTACCCCAACGCACACTTTGGGGTCCCCAAGCTTTGGCTCTTACCAACCTGTGTCTAATACTTTCCGGAATTAGGTGAGCAGGATGTATCCTTCCAAGGGGGGAGAGAGAGAGAGAGAGTATGCATTCCATTGCAACAATCTATCTCTGGGATTTCAATGCGTAGGTGGGATGCATGGAATTCTCAGCTTGGTTCGGATACCCTTAAGCACAGTGATGGGTTTCCGCATGTGTCAGATACTCAGGCTGGCTCCCCCACAAAAAACAAGTCTCAACCACTTTTTGGACCTTAAACTTTTTTCCATCTTCACTCTTCAATTGTCAGTATCCAAATCTCTTTTAAATGATTTAATTGTCTGTTTCAATAACCATTTGGGGTAACTTATTCCACATTCCACATTCCGATTGCCCTTGTTTAAATATTATTCTTCTAACCTTCCCCTTGTTTTTTCGGTTCAGTTTATAAAAATCTTAACTTTTATGCTAAATTTCTCAGATGGTTCTACATTTATTGGAATTTAATTGCATTTAATGGCCAAAAAATACTTTTGCAATATGAATACATGAAACACTGCATAATATTAACTCAATAAAACTTGCAATCTAGAAGGTAAATCTTTTATCACAGGTTTCCTTGTTTAAAAAAATTAAGATGCTTTTTTAAAGTTAAGAATGATCGGTGACAAAAACATTTCTTAAATGGGAGAGGAAACTCTTTGGATATGGATTCCCAGGCAGGGCGAAAACATTAGGCAAGTTTCCTTACTCCACACGCCTCTGTTTACCTAGCAGTAAGTAGGAGCCCGATTGTTAGTCGATTGGCAGTTCACTTTTCTTCCAAAGCAATGCAATGCATATTCTTACCACTCTGTCGGCACTTGGGTTATTTAGCCATTTCTCAATGAGCTTTTCGCTGTAACTGGTGCCCTGCTGTTGCTCCCTCTGTTGTTGATACTGAAGCTGTCTGTAAGCATGCCGTTCCCTCCATTCCACCAGCTCGGGGTCAGAATGAGCAAACACACACAAGTCCTCAAAATGACAAGCTCCATATTCCAAATACCTATGTCAAAAAGACTAGTTTCAATGCTACAGGCAGACATTTAACACAGATCCTCAGATTAATGTATAGTATAACAAGAAGCCCATACACATCATACACTGTATTAGTGACAAACTCTAGGAATTGCCACCGTTATTGTCTATATAAACATGAATGTGATTCTGTGTAGTCACACCACCTTGTCAAATTGCCATTCTCTCTACATAAGCCTAGATGAAGGACTCTATTGGACCCTCCTGAGTCTAAGACCCCGAGACCAACTACAGTACACCTGCTGGGATCAGCCAACTCAGTCAAGGTGGGGAAGGGGAAAGAAGAGAGCGGTGGGGGTATCACGGGGAGGGAGAGGGAGCATTTCACATCACATGGGTGGAGGGGCAGGAAAGGTACAGATTAACTTTTGCCAAGCACTGATCGATGGAGTGGAGACCAATGAATAATGTCTATCAAGCACACAAGCCTTGGAATGTGCACAAATGCAATTTGATTCTCTTTGGCTTGCCGCCACACAGTACAAAGTTGTAGTAAGAATGATTGAATGAATCGCATCACAATCCATGTATTGGAAGGAGAAACTCACCTGCAACACAAAGAATATTCATCAATTCCAACAACGCCTCGCGGGGGAGGGCGGAACTTCCACCGACAATCATTTTCTGAAAGACAATTGCAATCATCACATTTGTTTTCTGTGTAAGATCCTCAGCTCCACCTACATTCTAGGGAACAACCATTCACTTGTTCTTTTCATGAATACTTGGCTTATAATACACGGTAGTTCAGGGAAAAGGTGTTTGAGGATAGGATACGACTTTCCCTTTCCCATGTTGTTCCGCTAAAGACCAAACACTCACCTTGTGGGCAACGTCAGGCATCAACTGATTTCAGACTCCTGACTTGTAGACATCATGAGAAGAAAAACACCTCAAGTAGCACTTAATGTTACAGGATGGAAGATCCTGTCTGGAATTTCACAATGTCAATCTCATGGACACAAAGTATTTTGTGGTAAGAAAGGAGGAGTAGAATGAAAGGCCATTCGTCCAAGCTGCCCAGAGGCTGGTTACAGATCTGCTCAGTTGAATCCGACCAGAAAGGTTCCAGCACGTCACCCTGGCTACGACATACAGATGTGCCAAAATGTGGAGAAAAGTAAACAGAATGGAAACATACATGTCAGACCATCTTTAGCTGATCAAAAGATGCTTGTAGTTTGGGGGAAAACTATCCAACTTCGGAACTAGAGTTCAAATGCAGTACTAGAATGAAGGACAGAACACAGCATTGAGTCAGTCTGACTCAAATCGGCTGTTTTTCGTCGACAAATACAAAGTGACTACACTCAATTATTATTATTTTTATTCAGTGACAGAATCACCAAATCTGGAAGATGCACTTGCAAGGTGAAGACAAAGTGTTGATAATAATGCCATTGTTACTTTTCAACTAGTTTTTTTTTATTCATCAGTGAATTTCAACACAACCAACTCTGCTGTTTCCACAACTANTTTTTTGGGAGCTTGTCAAAAAACATGAGTGGTGGGGGGAGAGGGTGTACGCCGGGTTAGCAGAGAGCCTTGAAAAATGTGCCATCAGTGATAGTCAGATATCACGGTATTCTTTCTAAAAGTAACATAACTTATTCAGCTGCTGCACCTAAGCTTCATGTTGTTCAAACCCACCTTTGGTGTCTTGCTCTGATGAAAAGAGAGCATTATTAGTCGAAGCCTGCAAAGAAAAATAAAAGTGGCATCAATAATACAGGGAGAGTTGATGACTTTACTCAGTCTCAATATCCTCATCAATAAATAAATAAATAAGTAAATAGCCACTCTCTCAAAATGCCCACCATGGTTTATGGAATTGCTCTTGTGAATCCTACAAATAAAGCTTTTAAATCTTTTGGAATGCCCCTTACCATTCTTCGTCTCTTCCGGTACTGCACATTCCGATGTAATCTAACACATAGTAATATTAATAATACATGCATTCGATATAGCGCCTTATCATGTCATTGAGATGTCTCAATGCGCTTCACAGAATATACTGTAAAGTGAATTGACAATACAATTTGGGGGCAAAACGCAGCAGCCAATTGGGCACAGCAGCATCCCACAAACACTGGATTGAATGACTAAATTAGTATTATTATTTAATTGGAGGGACTATTACCCCCGGAAAGCAATCCGCCAATCGACTAACAACCAGATTGCAACCTATTGCTTAGTAAACAGAGGCATGTGGAGTAAGGAAACTTGCCTTAGATTTTGCCCTGCCCGGGAACAAAGACCGTATCTGCAATAAACTCAAATATAGATTGAGCGCAGGTCATTATTAAATGACATTACCTGTCCCTCTCTCCTCTATACCAGTCACGACACGCACAACTAAATGTGTCAGGCACTACTGAACACAAAACTTCACACTTCAGTACTTAGTGACAATAACACCAGTGGTGTGTTATAATATCGCACAGGCTCAGCATGGGATCACAATTGTTAGGCCAGGGATAAAGAGCTTTGTTCTGTGTGTAATCCACACTGTGTCTCGTCTCAAAAGACAGCATGCAGAATCCCCAAAAGATTAAAACAACCACCACAACTTGCATTTATATAGTGTCCTTCACCCGGGTTAGTGACTCGGAGCGCTTACAAAGCAATTATCTGATGCATTTCTAGAAAAAGTGTTCGGGAGCCAAGATCCATGGTTTTGCATGTGGTACTTTAAGCCATTCTTACCTGCCAATCAGCCAGCAAGTGCACAAGCCGCCTCAGATGGTTTAAGGAAACTCCATTCTGGAAGCATAAATCGACATGTGCTTTGTGTGCGCTATGAATTCCACTGAAATCATGTTACTTATAAAACAAATCTCAACCAGCAAAACGCTGACCTACCATACAGTCCGCAGTCTTACAATCGCACAAAGCATCAAAAACCTCCTTCAGTTTGCCCTCTAGAACTAGTGCTGCCAACACATCTCTTAACAGGTTTTCTCCCAGAACCTCGTGCATCCATAAGACTTGAGAACAGAACAGTTATTTTAGCACGTGCACAGTACAGTGGGGAACGAAAGCTACTTAGCATCACAATACACATTTAATAATAATCTTTGCATTTGATGTAGCGCCTTATCACGTATTCAAAGTGCTTCACAAGATGTACTGTAAAGTTTAATGACTGTAAACGCGGCAGTCGAATGAGCACAGCAATGTCTCACAAACAGTTGTGGATTAAGTGACCAAATTATTATTATTTTGGGGGGAGGGATTATTAGCCCCGGAAATCAATTCGCCAATCGTCTAACAACCGGGTTCCTATATGCTGCTGGGTAAACAGAGGCGTGTGGAGTAAGGAAACATGCCTAACATTTCACCCTGCCTGGGAATCGAACCCAGGTCCTCTCGCTTGCGAGGCGAGCGCTCTAGCCAATAAGCTACAGGACTACAAAGGCTTTTAGATATACAAATTTAAAGTCATAGTCAGGATAATCCTGGGAAAATAAACTTTCTGTTTAATTACAAGTTACATTTACATACAATAAATAGAAAATAGTCACTCTGGACAACTTACCACTTTTACAGTCCTCTTCTGCCTCCTTATAATTTTTCTGCAAGTAAATCCAAAAAAATTGTTTCATTCACAGTCAGAATCACACTCAAAGGGGCATATTAAAAACTGAATCTCATTAAATTTCTCACTAAATTGAAGTTTCAAACAAGTTACACTTTATATCTTGAACATTTTAACACACGAGATGTGGAGGTACTGCCGAGACTAGAGATTACTTGTTACCTTCCACATATACCACTCCCTTCTTACTCTTCCTCCCTCAAAAGAAACACTCACACAATTAATACGCAAATACACCACGCTCTCGCCCCATCCCTAGCTATCTACCCAGCCCAACATTCTGGCCTCTCTTCCCACTCTAGTCTCTTTGTTCACTGTCTTCTCTCCAGAAGCCTTCAGCCACCATACCCTGGGCCTGTGGAACTCTCTTCCTGCCTCTTTTTCTGCCTTCTACCTCCAACAAGCACAGCTCTTTGACAGTCCATTTAGTCACTCATTTCCGTACTTGACCTGCACCACTACAGTTGTCATTTGCTTTGAGATACTTTTGCAATTAAAGACATTTTAACTGTCTTTTTACGCCTCATTCAGCCTGTGGCTCAACCCAAGAAAACATCCTGCTCGATCCAGGAACAGTAATTCACAAACGTGACAAAAACAAAGTTATATCAGAACCGAGCTTTCTTGTCCCTCAGAATAATAATGTCTCCGTGCCTGTGAGGGAAATCTATATGCATTTATGTGCCCCGCAACCCTGGAACACTCTTCCTCTATCCCTCCACCTTGCCCCTTCCTTCCCCATCTTCAGATCGCGCCTGAAGACCTTCCTCTTCGACCTTGCCATGGTCGGTCACCTTCCCCTTCTCCCCAGCTCGCCATTGTGCTCACGACTTTCAAGCACTCTGGGACACTACCCTATGTGAGGGGCGCCATATAAATGCAAGTTGTTGCTGTTGCCTCACAGTAACAGATCTCAGAGTTCAAGTGACATTAATAAACTGATGAAGCTTCACTTATTACATCTACAAAATGCAGTCATTATACTTCATGGTAAATCCTGAGAGTTCCTACTGATGTGAGAGGCAATATCAGACACAAGGATTTATTTACATACATTCACTGTACATTGATGTTTTACCACATGTGGCGTCCCTAGTAACACATCGACAACTATCATCCATAGTTTGAGAACAATGACTACTGCATAATTCAGCGTAACACTGGGTTGAACGGTGTTGTGCCAAGTGGAATTTAACAGTCAGCTAATGTCGGTACTGATAATGATTATGACTAGCATCTGCCCTTGTGTCAGTGAAGCTAATAGGCCATTAAATGAGGCTTGATACCATCACTACTAAGAGGGAACCTTTCCTGTTCAAATGCCATCATGACAATGCACACTTTTTGGACTCCTTCCCCCATCCCCCAGCACGGAATCCACAAAATGTGCCAGAATTTAACTGGAGTGATAAGTCAGAAATAGGTGGGGCTGTATGACCCCTCCCACCACATTTTCCAATGGTGGAACACTAAGCAGTGGCAAGATTAGGTTGGTCCTGTAATGTTCCTGGTGCCTGTGGCCAGATATGGAAACAAAGGTATTCAGTATTATGCTGTCCATGCATTCCATTCCTCAAAAGAAACAATCAAATTTGTAAGTGTGAGACTTGATCTCCATTAGTAAACCTAAAGAATGAATAGAAAGGAAATTTGATCTTGAGAACTTGGGCAAATAAGAATTTCTCAAAGTGAAACCACCTCAAATTGATGCCATTGCAACTGCTTTCACTGTAGCTTTTCTTCTGCAGAATTCTCTCACCAAAGAGGTATGTTCCAGCAGGTAATAAATATAACTGGTTTGATATAGTACAGGAGACTATATCCAAATTGAGCTTCTTTCCTAGGTAGAATAGGACATAGGACTCCCTTCAGCACTAATAATCCTCGACATCTCCCAGCTTCTGTTCTATCCAGCAACCACAAATTTGTTTCTCAGTCAGGTACTAGTAGTGAGTTCATTAAATGACTATACAGAGTTGTTGAAGTCAGATATGCACACAATCGCAAATGAAGCACTTCATCAATCTTTGCATGTCATCAGAAGAGGGTGATGATGAAGGTCAAGCAACTTCCTACAAACTGTAAGGGAAATGCCAGCAGCAGAAGCGCCCCGGTCACATCACTCTTCAGCATAGCCTATTTGCTTGCTGGATGACATTAACAGAACATGAAAAAACATGCCTTTTGTCAAAGAACAGTGGGCAATAGTAACAACAACAAATTATATTTGTATAGCGTCGGGAGGATGCCCCAAGGCCTGGATAGTCAGGGATTTGGACCGCTGGTAGGAGAATCTATAACCAGGGGTCACAGTCTTAAAATTAAGGGTCAGCCTCTGAGAACAGAGTTGAGGAAACATTTCTTCACTCAGAGGGTAGTGAATTTATGGAATTCACTACCCCAGAAGGCTGTAGATGCTCAGTCCTTGAACATGTTCAAGGCTGAGACTGATAGATTCTTGAAAAATAGAGGGATTAGGGGATATGGTAGGTAATCAGTTAGGTGAGAAGATCAGCCATGATCTTATTGAATGGCGGAGCAGGCACGAAGGGCCGAATGGCCTACTCCTGCTCCTAATTCTTATGTTCTTATTTGCACTCACCTTCACGACTCTGCTCCCGCTTGTAAACATCACCTTCCAAAATATGGATTCAGCTGACTGAAATACTGCCGACACCTTCGACACCCCAGGAGTGATGCAGAATCAAACTACACTGTTCTAGACACAGTAATAAGCAATACAATGTACACTAAGGAGAATTCAGGTCCAAATCCGTGACCATCCAGCGCCTTGGAACGTCCTCCTGAAGTGAAAGGCACTATACAAATTTAATTTTGTATTGTAATTCAGACTGGCTGTAAAGTCATGAAGTTTGCAGATGACACCAAGTTGGGGTAAACTGAAATCAGATATCTTACGAAGAGAGCTTATAGGGTATGCACATGGGCTGGTGACTGGCAAATGAAGTTGAAACATGTACTCCATGTATGGGATAGAACTAGCCAAGGAGAAAGCTGAAAGATCTAGGGGTGTTAAGTTGACAACAACCTGCATTTATATAGCACCCCCTCACACAGAGTAGTGTCCCAGAGCACTTGTCAGTGGTGTAGCACGCCCCGAGTCAGGGGGTGCGGGGAGGTAATTGTAGGCATGATCCAAGAGGAAGATTTTCAGGCGCAATCTGAAGATGGGGAAGTTTGGATTTGAAATCTGTAATATTTTCCCAAAGTTCCTGAAACAGTAGAATGAACTGAAACACAGAGTCACATGGATCTTCATCACTCTAGGAACATCATGGCGCACGGCTACAGAAAGTTCTCACAAGTAATAACATGACCATTCTAACCAAGACCCAGAATAGCATGACCCCCAAGGATACCAGCGTGGTGGTGGCAGAAGACAATTCCAACTTACATTATGTTCTTCGTCTTTGTACCAGTACAAACATAAAGCAAAGGGTATTACTTCTTCGTAAGAAGAAAAAAAAAAGTTCAGAGGACAAGTTACTCCAGATCACGATAATTCCGAGAGGTTGGTTTCAAATCAATATTGACCAAGACCGTGTGAAACAGCACAGGAGGCAGTAGAGGGGGTGGATTAGGGTAAGGCATTCGGAGGACTGGAAAAAATGTGGAGTAGAATAAAAGCAGAAGACAATAGCAGATGGAGATAGTCCAGAATGGTGTGGAGATTTTTCAGAACTGTAAAAGAATTTCATTTGAGTTCCCTTCTCCAAGCTGGGGCATGACTGAATGAATTCTTAACCTGCAACCTCGAGTTTAAAAGAAACAAGAGCACCTCACGAATCATGGGACAGATTAAGTAACAGCAAGTCTTTCAGGGATGTAGAGAGGGATATTGGATGTTAGAAGACATTCTCATTTCACACAATTTGTGTCGGCATCATAGAATCATATAGCACAAAAAGAGGCCATTAGGCCCATCGAGCTTGTGCCGGCTCTTTGAATAGAGCAATTAATGTCAGTCCCACTCCCCAGCCCTTTCCCCATAACCCTGCAAACCCGTCCTCCTCAAATACCCCCAAATACCCGTCAAGCATGCCCAGAGCAGATTCATTCACGGTAAATCTCACTCCACTATACTGCTAAACATTTGTATCCCAAAATAAGCAGTATTTCTATTGTGTTTCTTTTCCCACATCAGCCACCGAAGTGGTCTCAAAGTAAAATTCAAATCAGTACCAAATAAGGCGCTGTTTTGGTTCCACTTGGAATTGGGTTTGAGACTTCTCCAAAACATTTCACATTATAGTAGGAGAAAACAGAGGTGACTTTCAGCCCATCAATCTGAGCAGTCTGAACTCTGTTCCCAAATTTAATAGGCTAGTGCTAACCGATTGTGCTACTCCACTGTGCTACCCGCTGCTCAAGAAAATAACAAATATAGTTTTCGTAAAATCACTAAAGAAAAGGAGAACTTATTAACCGTGGGTTAGGTCCAGCCACAAGTATTTTGTCCTTGGACAAATTCTCTCTTTTCTAGAACCCAAATACCTTGGGTTATCATAAACTTGGTCAGCATTCAGAGACCATAAAAGCATTGTTAAAAGATACCCCCAAAAAAACAAAAGTGAAATTTCAAGAACATTTTTGTGTGAAGTTTACAAACCTTTAAAAATAAGTCAACGGTGTCCAAGAATCACATGCAGAAATAAAAATGACAAATGATGTTTTTTAAAAAATTTATTTACAAAATAAAAATTAAAAAGAAAATGAATTAAATTATGTTCCCCAAATTACCCCACATGCATTTTATTGCATTATACCTACAGTGTGCAAGGTCCCACAGCAAAAATACATTAGTCAGTAAATAAATACAAAATGCAGTTTCTTCATGGGCTCTTACCCAAGAGCATGGTTTAACTACACAATATATTATCAATTATACCTATTTTACCATTTTACAATTACAGCTAGGAATGATGTGGCAAGCATGTTACTTCCCCAGCTTTAACATACAGTAGGTAAAGCTGTGGCATATTTACTGGTTGCCCCAGCAGTAACATATATTCAGCAACATCAATATGATGCAATGTTGACGCTCAACTGTTTAAATGTTAAAAGCAGTATGGGTTTGGTCATTGAATATCAATTTTAACATGTAATCTCGCACTAAACTTAATCCACATCAAATCCAAGGTTTTCAAAATGATGGATGGAATGAAGTGGGGGTTCAATTAACACAATATCAACAACCTTACTTAATGCCACATTTTGAAATTGCACAAGATTGGCATTGTACTTTGTTCCCTCTTAAATGCTCAATAGTATCAACCATTATAACTTTTCTATTGGTTTCTAAGGTTTAAATGGCACTGTCAACATGAAAGCTATGAAAACTCTCAAACGGTAATCCAGGTTGCTTGTCAAGTTTGTCAGGGGAAGATAATTTTGATGCACTAATCTCATATATTGTTACAAATTTAAAATAGAATTTAAACCTCCAGCAACAAAGGTGTTTGGAGAGAACTTTTACAATAGCACAGATGCCATCATCTTTATGCTTCACATTCATTCAGCAAGGCAAATCAAAAATCCTCCAGTTAATGAGTGAAAGCTTATAGTTAATGCTGGCTGGGGCAATGTAGTATCAGAGGCTATCAGCTATTCCACAGAATGTAATGATCTTTGGCTTTTTGAATCTCACTTTTTTTAAAAAAATCCCCACAAAACGAATATCAACTGGTAACATTCTACATTTGGATTAGAATAAATTGCGCTGTTCAACCTGTCAGGTCTATGATACACGATTGAAATTAATATTTCGAAATAGGCTTAGCAGTTTTGCTTTCTTTTAAATGTGATTTTGTTTTTAAAATTAATATATAAAGAAATATTGTGGTTAAAATCAAGTATTTACCAGCCGTATGAGGCAAGAGATTCTGTATAGCAATGCCTGTAGTCTAACAGCCTCAACTGATGCAGAAGTAGGAAAGCCAGTGTGGCTAGTTAGAGGCAGCCCTTCTTTGCAGTTATATAACGCCAGCTTATATTCCTGCCGCCAGACCTGTTCACATGCTTGGTCACATGACTCTGTGGTCCTTCTTTCTGCCATGTCTCAAATCACAGCCTGAAATAAATGAAAAGCAATTAGCAAAAAAAATAAACTCTTGCATCACACAAAAGAGTTAAACATACAGAACAATTAAGTTCTGGCATCACATCACTGGCCACTGATGGCTGAGACTGAAAATTTCTCATCATTTTCGATTCTGTCTCAATTTGGAAACCGGTTTTCCATAATTAATGAAAAACAGTTCCCAAATTAATTTCTGTAAGATCCTAAAATTAAGACAATATTCTGAAGCCTAAGACCGTTAGCATGTTGGTACCTCTGAAATCCATAGGATAGGTACAGTCTGCTCCCATTGTCCTGTAACGAGACAACCGAATAATATACCATAACAGCCTCCACTTCTTGTGGTGCTTTTTTGTTCAATTTGACTTAGATTTAGAAAGGAGTGGAAACAAATCCAGAAACATGCCTTCACTTCAATGTATGTTCACAGGACCAACGTGTTAAAAATCTCCAGATGGGTAAGTGGGGTCTTCTTGGAGATGAATTGGCTCCAAGCAGACATGTTTGCAAACAAAATGTTAAGACTCGAGCCAGAACTCTTTGGCAGTCCGGTTCCTCAGCTGGGGCACTGCTGATGACCAACTTCACTCGTCAGCAGGACTTGGAAGGGCAGGCCAGTCGCTGAGGGCAGGGAATCCTCCTACTCAGCTCCCTGCAAGCCAAAGCTCTAATGGGTAGGGTGGTCCCAGCTGGACAAACAGCAGAAAAGCTTGCCAGACAATGATATCAATGGCAACCTATGCAGTTTCAGCTGGTTAGATGCAAGCAAATATCCTAACCCACACTCTGGGGTTCCCAAGCCTTGGCTCTTGACAAGCTGGGCCTATTACTCTCCGGAAATTAGTAAGCAAGATGCATCCTTCCAGGGAGAGAGAGCGCGCATCCCATTCGAATAACCTATCTCTGGAACTTCCATGTGTAGGTGGGATGCATGGAATTCTCAGTTTGGATGCTCTTAAGTACGGTGGTGGGTTTCCATCAGACACCCAGCTGATCAAAAAAAATCAGGATCCCCCCCACCCCTTCCAAACTGCACTGACTTTTTCTGATGCATGTAAGCAAGCTAGTTTCCATATATCCATGCAATTCAAACCTCACGTGGCAAAGGTGCAGTGTAAAACCATCCAGTGAAATGGCTCGATGGGTCAAATCCTCCTACAGTACCAGGTGAAGATCTGCCCTGATTTCACTCATTTCCTCAAAACATGATAATATCAGGGAGAGCAAAGGAAAACTTTATTTTGATGTGGAGGGGAAAGGAGGCAAATCAGATACAACGCTGCCCACCCCCATTTATATTCTTAATTAGGAACCCAGTTGAAAGTCGATTGGCGGATCACTTTCCGAGGGTAATAATCCCTCGGAAAAAAAAAATCAATAAATAAAATGTGGTCACTCAATCCACGACTGTTTGTGGGACGCCGCTGTGCACAATTGGCTGCCGCGTTTCGCTCACACAATACAGTCAACCCACTTTACAGTATATTCTGGTGAAGCGCTGCGAGACATCTCTCGGAGGTGATAAGGTGCAATATCAAATACAAGATTATTATTATTATGAATTCATTGCGATCGGTTGCCCTGCGTCTCACACTCTTCTTTCCCACCCACCCCCCTCCCATATCCCCCTGACCAACAGCCACAGCCCTTTCTCATACACACAATAAAAAAAATGACTTTAAAAAAAACTATAATTTCCCTTCAGAAATCCGACCGCTCGTGAGGGCTATGACCGTGTACAGTGTAAGATGAGCTCCCACCCCGCGGTGGTGGTGGTGCTGGTAGTGGGGGACTGGCCCTCTCTTCCCGCGCGCTATTCTTTACCAACAGTGTGACAAGGATGGTCTTTTTTTTTCCCCCACCATGTGAAGAAAGTTTTTTTTCTCTCTCTCGCTCTCGCACCCCCTTGAATTAATTCACGAGGACCGAAGCGAAGGAAGGAAGGAAGGAAAGGGGCGGGAGGGAGGGGGTGGGGGGGGGGGGGGAGAATTAAAGCAGAGATATACCCACCGCGGCTGCAGCGAGCGCCATCTTACAGGGAGAGGAGAGCAGGCGACGGCGGCGCGAGCATCCGCCTCCCTCAGCCGTGGGTCAGAGAGGCCGGTGATTGACAGCTCGCCGGCCTCACTTCCGCTCCGGCAGCCGTTGGAGCCGCCGGTGACTGACAACAGCAGACTTTTCCCCTCGCTTCTGGGTGGGAGGGCGGGAGGGCGGGGGGGGAGTCCGTTGGAGAAACGGGTGATTGACAGCTCGGCCCTCCCCTCACACCCCGCTGAAGCGGCGGCGGCGGTGGTTGATTGACAGCGCGCGCCGGTCTCACATCCGGTGGTGCGCTCTCGGCGGTGATTGTGACGCGTGGGCCCCTGCGGCCGGGCCTGGGAGACCCCTGGCGTTATTGCGTTGACGGCGCCATTGTTGTGGCGGAGAGCTGCTGTCCGTTAGAAGCGGCGGCACTCGCCTCAGACACCACCCTGCACCGGTTCCGTTTTTGTTTCCTTTCTCCCCTTTCCCCCACCCCACCCCTCCCCCCACCATCACCCAACTCCACTGTAAAAAAAAACCCAAAGGGTTCGAAGTATTAAGCCATTTTTTTCAGCGTAAGAGTCGGTGCAGTTTACGCGAGGATGTTTGCGAGAGACGCGGTCGGGCCTTCTGCTGCCGCCTGGAGTTTGAGCCTGTGATTGTAACCCGCCAAGAAGGTGGGCCTGTGACCGCCCGGGGCTGTGCTTTCCTGCACCTCTCCGTCCCCTTTGTCCCATTTCCATTCTCCCCCCCCTCCCCCGCCCCCGACACCACCGTCCTTTCGGAGAGAGAGAGAGAAAAAAAAAGGCGCGATGGATCCCACCTGCTCCTGAGGAACACGCCGGAGGAAGAGACGCAGCTCTGGCCTCGGGCCTTGTCTGCGTACGGCTTCTGTTTCTTTTTAAGTTTTTTTTTTGTAATTTCCCCCCACCCCCACCTCACCTCCCCTTCTCCCTTCGTTACGAGTTCGGACTTTTTTTTAAAAAAAAAATCCCCACCCATCCGAGGGAGAGAATGAGAGTAAGTGAGCTCCTCCCGAGGTCGGTGTCTGAGTGAGGAGGGGGAAAAAAACACGAGTTTCGTTGCAACTGGATTTTGCTTGAAAAGAAACCGAAGGAAGAGGAAAAGCGTGGACACGTTCGCGGCCTCCTTTCCCTGTAACATTCGTGTACATGTGAGACATTTAAAACTAGCCACGCCGACGTCTACTGCATTGCGGCTCGATAATATCAAGGAAGAGGAAAAAAGCGAATATTCCCGAACTTTATTTTGAGGAAAAAACCTTGGACTTAGTGCAGTTTCATGGACATTTAAACTATACCATTGACTTTTGAACTATCCAGTTTATTTAGTGAGTAAATACAGCTAGTATTTAATTTTGTGCTATGTGCAGTTAAAAAGGAAGTTATTTCCTGATTTTTCTTACAATACAGTGTTTTCTTATAAATGCTTTCCAGGCATGGAGACTTATTAAATTGTGAAAAAGCGGATTTTTTTGTTTTTGTGTTTTGCAGTGTTAAAAGGTTAAAACGTTTTTCTTGTGGGTAAGGCTTGGTCCCATTCAAACAAACAAACAAAATGTCGTGTGTGCATTACAAATTTTCCTCTAAACTGAACTATGACACGGTCACTTTCGATGGGCTTCATATATCTCTGAGTGATCTGAAGAAGACCATTATGGCCAGGGAGAAGCTGAAGGCGGCAGACTGTGATCTACAGATTACCAACGCACAGACTAAAGAAGGTAGAACCCTGTTTTGCAATTTTAAAACCCAAGTTTTCCCTTTGTTTAAGTGGGGTCTTTAATCTTTTGTTTCTGATTGTAGGCAAGATGGCGCCGGGTTGTAGGTGGATTTGCCCGTTTTAATAAGAACATCAATGTTCTTACTGCAAGTTGGGACATGGCAAGTCGGGGGTGCAGGAATCAGTGGGATAAAGTGTGTCAGACGCTATATTACGTCGTATCGTTTGACGTGATTTTCTTTACCGCAGTTGCCTAATGTCCATTGTCTTCTCCAGCGCCATCTGTTATTTCTCAGTGTTCACATTTTGAAGACTCCTTACGTTGAGAGGAAATTGTGAAATTCATTCTACGGGTTTTGATGTTCAGGAATTATTCGAGGGTCTAATGGTTATAATAATATTATAATAATATAGCGCTTTTCAAGTCGTCTAGACGTCTCGAAGCACTTCACAGAATATGCTGTGAAGTGAATTGACCGTATACTTGTGGGCGAAATTTAATTCACTAATTAAATTCACTAATAGTAGCTAGTTATTTAATAACTATTTCATCTTGGAGGTCTTTCTTAACCCATATAGTATTTTATGACATTTGGGCATTGGTAAATGGTAAAGGCTTTGAATTATGTCAGCAATTTTGAAGGTGTAACCCCCTCCCTTTCTGCCTCAAATGCTGATTGCAACATGTCACCACAATTTTTTTAAAATTCTGTATTTAGTATTGATAAGTTTTTTTTATTGAACTTGTCTAACTGAGCTGCGATTTCCCTGATGGCCTAGTTGATAAAGGCGCCACCCAGTGCAGCATTGAGCTTCACCTTTGGATTGGTTGCCGCATTTCGCCCACAAATATACAATCACTACACTTTACAGTCTATTCTGTGAAGCATTTTGAGACGCGGATTGTTGATCCTGCTCCTTAACATACTGTTATAAGGTGATGTTGGGCATAGCATGTGTGCAAACTCAACTCGTGCCACAGTAACAAGCCATTGATAATAATACTTGCATTTGATATAACGCTTTTCACGTCTTCTCGGAGTCTCAAAGCGCTTCACAGAATAGACTGTAAAGTGTAGTGATTGTATATTTGTGGGCAAAATGCGGCAACCAATTGCATCCACAAACGTTCCCACAAACAGTCGTAGGTTGAAGTTGGTGTAACCAGTCTACAGCAAATGCTACACGCTGATGCAAAGTTAAACATTTTGGAACAGTTGTTCTCAAATTAACATGAAGTCCATTGAAAGACTAGATTTTAAAATAGTAATATGCTCCAACTTTACAGGTTCCTTACTTGTATAATAATCGGGATATACTCCCTGTGACAAAATGGCAGCCAGTTCTTTCTCAGTGAAGCATTGTACCCGCAGACCTTTTTCTCATAGGAGCTTTGTGTCAGATTTGCAAATATGTTTATTTTGTACTTCTCTTTGAATAATGAATTCTGGAGTAAAGAAATTGAATTAATTCTGCCGACTTTTTGCCTGATTCTGGTCTCTTGTAAAATATTAACAGATCTTGTGATTTCATGTGGCTTATTTATTGGAGACCTTTCTTTTGAGTCCATTTTGGTGTCATTGTGAGTCAACCATTGTGTAAGACTCTGTCGTGTAAGTGTGGAGGCCACCTAAATACCTTCAGTTTCTTCATGTCGAGCAGCTGTTAATCTTCCATTGGATTTCATCCACCATCTTGAAAAATCAATCACAGAGGATTAAAAAAAACTCAAAACTGCTAGTTTAAGAAAATAGGAACCTTTAAGATAAAACACAACTGTATCATGTGACATTAAGTCTTATTCTGGAAATCAGCTGAGTAAATCATGAAGATTAGACTTGGTAACTTTTTTTGATCTGTCGACAAGAGCTGGCTTCAGGATGAAGTGCATGTAGGGTAAATAGTATTTTACTATACCTAACTGCATGCGCAGTAATCTTTGTATTTTAGCAAAAAATGACAGAATGATTTTGATTATCCTGAACAATAGTATGAACTCCCATTTTGCTCTTGTAGTAGGTTTAGGAAGAACTGTTAAGATAATGAGGTGGAAGAGATTTTTCTGGTCAGGTGGGTAGATTTTGGATGTTTTGGTGAAACTGTCATTCATCCTTGTACCAGTTGCACTGCTAAATCCCTGTCTGGAATTGCTTTCTGCTCGTTCAAGATTGCGTTGGGTGGTTTCTTAAATATGTGCTGTAGATTATTTCATTTTTTTGAATCTCAAATAGAATTATGTCATTGTCATGCCATGTCATTCTGCTGTGATTTAACCTCAGCTTACTTTGCCATGTCCCTATATATTCATGAGATAAATTGGTATATCAATGAGCAGGGTTTTATCATAGAAAATAGCCCATATGTTTATGCGTCATTCTTTAGATTTTAAATATTGGGCAAATACTGTTGGCCAAACAGACCTTCCTGCTTTAATCTTAATGTTGTAAGTCATAAAATGGTTGTGGCTCGCTTCTATTGGCTCATTAGATTGTTTTTAATTGGTTTATAATTCTCAACTTGGGACTGAAAGGATTGCTCTTCTAAAGAGACAGCAAAGATGCATTGGGCCGAATGACCTTCTGTGCAGTGAATTTCTACGGTTCTATTGGATGGATGCTGCGAGTATGTTCCTCTTCCAATAGATCCTCCTGAAGAATTGCAAGTCAGATTGTGTAGTTTTTCAATGTTACTTGACAGCATCAGCTGAAACAAAATTTCTGTACATTTGTTGGTGTCTGGGGTAAAGGCGATTGGTGCTTATTGTTCGGCACTTTCAGAATGATGGATTTGTAACTTTTTTCACAGAGTACACGGATGACAATGCCCTTATCCCTAAGAATTCATCCGTGATTATAAAAAGAATTCCAATTGGAGGAGTGAAGTCTACTAGCAAAATGTATGTCATGTGAGTATTCAACAACAAGATTATATTTTTATAGCGCCTTTCACGTCGGGAGGACGTCCCAAGACGCTGGGCAGGCTTTTTATGCAAGAAAGTAAGAGTTGAATGTTTAAGGATGGATTTCTTCACGGCACCAGTGATTGTTTTATTCTTCAGTTTTATTATTCAGCATGGTTAGTTTAAAAATAGTTGTTTTCAAATGGGGATCTATAAATAGTACTTAATTTTTTTAATGATTGGCATTCTGACATGTAACACAATTACATGTGAGCAGTTAAGAGTTAAGTGCATGCATTCTTCAACAGGTTATAACCTTCCTTTGATGTTACTAAACTGAACAGGAATTGCACATTAATTTCTTGCATGTGTAGAAATTCAGAAATTTTGCTGGTATTTTCTGTTTCATCTTGTCTAGATTCAGTTACAAGTCTGCCTTGTGTAGATAATTGCACTGCCCTCTCGAGGTTTAATACATTGATTGTATTAGAGTTGTAGAATACATACATTTTCTCGTTTGAAGAAAGGCCAGATTGGTTAAGCAAGCTACTGATTGGGATGAAGGTAATAAACAATAGTTGTCAGCAATGTAAGGAGTGGATGCCACGTTTGCAAATGAAGAAGTATGACCGTACAGTACCATATCACTGATACTAAAAAAGGCAGAAGGCAAAAGGAGCTCTGGTCGCAGATGGAGAGCATATCATTTGATGACCCTGACTATGGGAGGGAGTTGTCGGAAGTGAAGGGGTAAATCTGGGTAGCAACAAATTGTTCTTCAACAGCCTGGAATGGAAAATTAGGTTGTTTGCTGGAAATCATGGAAGGATTGAGTGAGGCGTCTTGAGAACTTTATTAATGATTGGAAAGATGTGATTCCAGTCCAATTAGCTGCAAAGGGATTGATGTCCAGAGGGAGATTTCTTATTTTAAATTGGGATTTCCACTTTGTAAAATTAAAATTTTAATTTTAAATGTACTTTTTGTATACATACAGTGAAGTATTATAGAATGTAGAGTGTGTGAAAAATTGGATTGAAAGATGCAATAAAATGATGAAACGGGTCTCAGAGCAATGCTGGAAACCTGTTTTCTTAAGTGGCTACGTGCCATACATATGCAATGACTCATTGGTGTTGCTGAGCACTTCACAAACAGCACAAATATTCTGCAGCTGTAGTTTTTCTGTGTCCCAGACCTTAAAGTGCACACTGATCTGTCGTTCAGCATGAAGTAATGGCTTAGTGTCATAATTTATTACGATCATTGACAGTAATTCTTCACAGTGTAGAATGTTCTGCTATCTGTCTTGTTTTTAGATAGGGAAAGGGAAGTCTGTTTGAATCATTGACCCCTTTACAGAACCAGGAATTTGTCTGTGACTGACAGATGTGTTGCATTCCTTGAAGAGGAGAAACCACTGTGTTCAATGCTGTAGCAGTGCCTTGTCCATTCGGAGTGGTTTGAAACTTATTTTCCCCAGTCTGAATCTTTTTCAGATTAACTTATTCAAGCTCTAGTAATGTCCCCACTGTGTTCATGTTGGCTGAGAACTGAAATGTTGTATAGAATACCAGGTGTTTGCTTCTATGTCAATTGTGGTTTTTTTTGTAATGTTGATATTGAGATAATATATGACTGTAACTTCTTTACAAATTGTGTTCTGCTTTCCAGAGACCGTTCAGAACCAACAAGTGGGACGTCGAAAGCAGTATGTAAAACACAAATACAATCTGAACCTTTCTTTTTCCTTTTTGTTAAATCTTAAGTTGTTTTTTTAATAACTGTTAGATTATAATGTGTTTCAGTGAATATGAATAACAGTAGCAACTTTAAATAATACACAGACTAAGTTAATATGGCACATATCTGACCAGGATATGTATTGTAATGCCTACTAAATGCATTTGTGGTATTTTAAAAATACTGTTGGTAACCTTTAGAAACGATTGCCCTTATCTGCACATATTATCTGTATGTGTGACTTGATAATGGTGCAAAATAATAATTGTATTTCACATTGAAAATGATAGTTAATTTCTGTATGACACAGAGTTGTACAGAGAACTGTTTGTCAGAGTTTGTGGTTCAACAGTTTGCTATGGTGAACATGAAACCATGTTCATGTGATGTCTGTCTTTATTTAGTATTTCATGTGTATAGGCTATTGTGTGCATTTTGTTTCTTCAAATAAAGAATGTTTGAAGTGTATATCTTCCATTTCACATTGTATCACTGAACTTTTTATGATTTGATAGGTATGATTTCTTGTTGGTCAAACAGGTTGTTTAACACTGATAAGGCACATGAACAACCACATTAGACTTCAGTATCTAATGGTCATAAAATAGCGAGTTATAGATCTGTACAATTTAACCCTTTCTATTTGGATGCTATATATTTAAAACGCGCATTTTTTTACTTGGAGCTCAAACAAATTTTAAGATTTGACAAGTAGTCCTATTACTAGAAGAGTTTGATGCCTCAGTTCTTTCTTCTCCCAGTCATACTTTGCAATAAATGGAAGTCACTAGGCTTTTGTAGTGCTGTTTTGGTGTACTGAGATATTTGTATTGGTAAACTATGTTTGAAATGTTCTTAATTTTTTTCATCTGCTGCACACTACAGAAATCCACTGACTTGTCCATTTTAAGCTTAAATCTAATCAATTTAGTTCTATGCGGTCTGAGATAAATGGCAAATGCTTTTTGTTTGAGCCTTTTTTAAAGTCTTTTTTTTAAATCCGAAAACTAGCTATAAATTTTCATCAGGTCAATCAAGTACCGTCAAAGTTGAGTTGTTCCCCTTTACAAAAAGGTGACTGAATTGACCACCACTAAGTGGAGTCTTGGTTTTGATTTCAGATTTCTGCACCTTTGGAGTGAAAAATGCCTTTTAAACTTTGCACATAATTTATCTGCCCAAAACAATAATAATCCCTGCATTTGATATAGCGCCTTATCATGTCTTTGAGATGTCTCCAAATGCTTCACGGAATATACCGTAAAGTGAATTGACTGTAAATTTTGTGGGCGAATTGTAAATTGTATTCATCCCCTATCTCTACTCTGTTTGATGCTGAAACTGGTCGTGGTTGTATTAATGTCCAGATTAAAGCATGACTTCAAATTGAGTAGCAGAGTTATATTAGCAGAGTAGCATTTTTAAATTCTCATGGTGTTTTCATTGCAGTCAAGATCGGCCTTCGGTGCGCAGATATTTTTCCTATCTTGCTTTTTATTTGGGCTTCTAACAAGAATGGATCACTGGCAGGGGAGATGGAACTAGTGAAAGTTCTATAATTGCAGCACTGAGATCTGAGCCCTGCATCATATCAGCAAATTAAGAACAATTTAATCGGTTATAATAAGTATGATGAAAACATTTGGCTTCCCCTTTAGAGAGGAAAGGTGGCGCAAATTTGCCAGCTAAAGTTGTTAATCAGGGTGGGAACAGTGGTGGGGACTGAACCTTTCTAATAAAGAAACGAAGGAGAGGGGCAAATTGGATTGTTCAAACAAAGTAAAATGAGTGATGGATTCATATGTTCCAGTCAATGAATAATGGGTGAGTCCATTCACTCCTAGCCAAGCCTTGGAAAAGGAACTGCTTAGGTTTGTGACTAGCTAAAGCTTGCATCAAAATTCAATTTGCATGCTTCACATTTTTAAGATGTGGATTTAACTGCAGAATAATATTGAAACTTGCTCCAGAACCATTGGGTCCAAAGGCGGTTGGAGCTGTAAGAATTAAGTTATAATTGGATCCTTTTTTCTTGCCTTTCCTGAATATTCTGAAATCCTTTTCTTTCAAATAGGACTATTCTGGGTCAGCTGTCAGTACCTTCCCCATCATCAATGGGCTGGTAGTTTTCATTCATAGTCTCTGGATAGGAATTGAGAGTGGAAATGCATAATAATCTTTATCTTTAACCCAAGCAATGGCATCAATTGTAGTACCCAAAAGCCGCACTGCCCGTTTCACTCTGTTCCTTCGGTACACGTTGCAGGTCATGCATGGGACCTTCCCAGTTTTCCTCTTTCATAACTCTTGACCAGAATGAGAGAAACTGTTAGAAAGGATATTCCTTAAAATATTGAAGATTCTTTGCCATTCTTATTTCCATGTTCTCATAAGAAATGACTGTATAGATGGTCTCCCCCAGAGGAGAGAAGAACAACTGAGGAATGGATATAAGCTGAAGGGGAAGAGTTACTTAACATTGGGTTTTGTGATCTTGTTCACAAGCCGTTTGCCTGACAACCCAGTTATTTTGTGCACAATAAGTTCCAGAAAGGCTTGCCAGATTTTGTAGAATTGGGTGAGTATGGAAATAAACTGTTGACGATTGCAGGACTTTTGTGAGTAGCTGGGAGCAGGTATGTGGGTTCAGCATGCAGTGACTCATCTGAACTGGAATGCAATCAAAATCCTCTTGTGGTTATCCATCGCCATTCCTCAATTTGTCACTGCAGGGACACTGGTTGGATTTCTTCCCAAATGTTTCAAGACTTGGAGGTGCATAGATGTTTGTTAGGAAAGGGTATCAACTATAGCTTATATAGTAGTTAAATGTAGCTTTGTTTTAAGGAATGGTATATATGGAGCAAAGATAGGTTAATGGAGTCGAGGTACAGATCAGCCATAATCTAATTGAATGGCAGAACAGGCTCGAGGGGCTGAATGGCCTACTCCTGTTCCTATTTGTAACTCAAGTTAATCATTATGGTGTAGATTTTCTTGGGAGTCAGCCTGTTGGATGAATATTTGGGTATCAAGAAAGTGAAAGGACAGGAAAAGGTCAATCAGTCATTCTCTCATAAAATGCTGAACATGCTTGTCGGGCTTTGATCGCCTTATGTTCTCGCTTGGATTGCTAATTATAATTGTGCTCCAGGAAGACATTCTTGTAAAAGTATTGTGATTTATATTTAAAAGATTGGTCATATAATCTGCTAGGACAATGCTTGCAGATAGCCCTGATACCTGGATAAATTGCAAGGGGTTAGACCACGCATTCTACTTTATGAAGTAGTTATGCAGTACTGTCCTGCCCGTTGTCTGGATTACTGGTACATATTGCAGGGGTAGCCCTTCTCAGTAACTTAATGCCAGTCATGATTATCTTGAACGGTAAAGAAGTGCTTTTATAGTAGTTAAATGTAGTTTTGCTTTAAGGAATGGTATATTTTAAAATTTACCTTTTCACAATGTAATATTGGGATCTTTCTTGTGGTCTTCAACTGAGCATTTGTTACTTTAGTTATAAGAACAATTAGAGTTAGGAATTGATAGACGAAAGAAGACCAAGGTACATCCAGTTTGCCTTCCAACATCCTGGCAGTCACGGGCACAGGTCATTTCCCAACCTATATAACATATCTCAAGATACTATTTCCTAAAATAAATCTTTTGAAAGAATTCTTTTGAAGGTTCTGATGGAAGATATTTGGGATTCCCAATACTTTTCACTTCAGACTTAAACCCATTTAGCGGTTTCCAGTCTGTTTGGGCTCAGCGCAGTTCAGTTCATTTGCAAGTTTAAAGTGGTGCTGTTTCTTCACCTTTGCATTAGATTTTCTTTTGTATTTAATATTTTCTGTTTTTTAAAAAAAAACTTGTAATTCTTCCTTCATTCTGTTTTAAGTTTTATTCTTCTGCTCTTGGAGGCATCAGGGGAAGGCAAGAGAAAGAGGTTTCAGACCTAGTTGCCAGACTGCTGGGAACGCTAGGAAAGGTCAGTGTTTAGTTGAGAGTAGGCTGTGCAAATATAATATCTTAGAATGAGCATGTGTGTGTTTGGGGGTGGTAAGTGATCCAGTTGAAGCAAATAAGTCATTGCTGCACTTAAAAGGCTCCACTTGCTGTATGCACATGTTTATCTAGGGATTTCACTGTCTGCCCATTCCTGTTACAATGCAGATCTGGTTACTTCATGTATATACCAGGATTCCACTCCCAATTGTCTATCTTGCATTACAAAAAATTTGTGTATCAATTTGCTGTTTCTATCCTGGCAGTTTGAACATGCAATGGGTACTTTTGTACTGAAGCTTGTTTGGAAGATTGCAGTTGAATGAATGCAAACAATCCCACTCACTGCACCTCCTGCCTTTTGTAAGAGAAATGGTATTGGTAAGTGGGGGGGGGATAATTGCTAGGACTTTTTTGGCATTTAGATGTGCTTCAAATGGAGACAGTAGAACCTGTACTTTTGGAGAAAATACAGTTTTTTGGTGTAAAAAAATTTCTAAGCTGTAGAATATTTGTATCTCAGTAGGTGCTGAAGTTTTGTACAGTAAGATGGACAGGTGGTGTGTTGCATGCTGAAACAGTCAAGGTATTCAGGTCACTCTTTGAGTCACCACATCTGTGTGACAACTCTGTAACTTGGTCCATAGAAACAGGAGGAGGCCATTCAGCCCCTTGAGCCTGTTCCACCATTCTATAAAATCGTTGCTGATCTGTTCCTCAACTCCAATTACCCACTGTTGCCCATTATCCATTGATATGCTTACAATACAAAATCCTAACAAATATCTATCCATCTTATTAGTCTTGAAAATTTGAATGGATCCAGCATTCACAGCCTTTTGGGGGAGAGAGTTCTCAATTTCCACTACCCTCTGTGTGGAAAAAAACTGCCTCCTGATTACGCTCCTAAATGGCTTAGGTTTAATTTTAAGATTATGCCTGCTTGTTCTGGATTCCCCCACCCACCAGAGGAAATAGTTTCTCTGTTTGTAACCTTCGAATCCCTATATTACTTTAGTCCAAGCCTGCTGTAGTTAGTAAATGGAAGGTACTGTTGAGTAATACAGGGTGTGTTATCCTCTGTCAGTATAAAGGCCCTTCTCCTTTCTGGTAGCTTCAATCTGTATCCAGTTAGATTCCTCTCATTCTCAATCTTTATGAGGGGAAAACTTTGATAAACAGTTTAGCCTGTGGACTTTTCTGTGTGAGTCAACCGGCTCTTCATGGTTCTAGGTTGTGCACTGCTGCTGACTAAAAGTAGTATTACAGGATATCTTTAATACTGTAATGTTAGCCATGTGCTGACATCTAAACACCATTTTAAAATAAATATTTTTAATACTTCACCTGTGGTGGCTTTTTTCCCTGTTGGTTCTATTTTAACTTTTTACACTATTCTAGTGACTAATTCTAAACTTTTTAAATCGGTTTCTTACCTTTTCAGCTCCTACCATCGTTTTTGGATTTGCAAATGTTTAAATTTCTATAAAATTCTAGTTTTGCCACTCTATGACATGCTCCCAGCTGTTTAAACTATATTACTACACCTTTTTAAGGAAATTGAGGGTATGTCTCCTTTTTTTATAATCCAGTATATTGTTCCTGGAGCTGAGTGAGTGACATCTCAACTCTCTATGGTTGCTGCATTAAACAGGCTGCAGAGATGTACAAATTGCCAAGTGCTCTATCAATGAGATGAGTTTTAAATTGTTTGCTTGAGTTGGGAAAAGGATCCACACCCCTTTCGTTCGACTGGTATTGGGTATAGTCTAGATTAGATGGTGGCTAAAGCTCTCTGTAGTCCATCACATCTATGCATTCAATTTCACTTTTGAGAAGATTGTCCCCTTTCCCATGCCAGCATACTTGTTACCTTGGGTGAGTAAAATGTCAAGTGGTCCCATTTTGCCCTGTGGTCCCTAAAATTGTGTTGATACTGTACTGCCATTTTAATGGTCAGAATAAAGAATACCCAATTGGTCTGGATTGAAATAGAGATGAGCTTTCTTTTTCTGTTTCCCTTCCCCTGCACTCCCCTTTATATTGCCGCACTGCTAGCGTCAGCAAATGTGGAAGATGGGTTGGCTTCCAGGTGTGGCAATGCAGTGAAGGGAGGTTGATATACTGGGATGATCGAAGGCCAATTTGTGCATTAAAATGTAATGATTCTTGCATTTGATATAGTGCCTTTACATCAGGAGGATGTCTCAAAGTATTTCATAGAATTTACAACAAAGTCTAGTGTAATGGCTATTTTGTAGGCGAAATGTAGTCTGAGACAGCTCAAATATATTTGATGTTCGGTTCCTAAGAATCTGAATAGAGGAGACTTCAATCCCAAAAGTCTGGGTTTGATTTCAAATTGTCTTTGAAATGAAAGTGTCCTTCATGTAATATTAGTATCTTCTTGCATTTTGACTTTGCCACGGATATGTATTCCTCAGTGAAGTGATCCAGAGTAGCTTGGCTAGTAGTAAGAAATCTTCTGTAAAAATAACTTGGATTTTCAATCTTGCTCTGCTGCATCATGTTGAAACCATTAATTGGATTAACTGGATCTTATGCAGGATGACTACTTAATTCAAGGGAGTTGTCTGCATATAATATTTTTAGCATCTTCATTTGGTCACTGAATGATACTTTTTTTTTGGTCAGCTGGATTTCCCACACATGCAGAAACCCATTAGCATGCTTAAAAGTATTCAAACCAAGCTGAGATTTCCATGCATACCAACAACACATGGAAATCCCAGAGATAGTGTTGGAATGGAATACGTGCTCTCTCCCTGGAGGGATGCATCCTACTTACTTAATTCTGGAAAGTATTAGGCGCAGGTTGGCAAGAGCCAAAGCTTTGGAACCCCAGAGTGTGCAGTAGCTGCAGTCTAACCAGCTAAATCTACATAGCTTACCATTGATATTGTTGTCTGGCAAGCTTTCCAACTGCTTGCCCAGCTAGGGCCACCCTATCTGTTAAGGCTTTCGCTTACATGGTTAACAGGAGCTGAGTAGGATGACTCCCTGCTCCAGTGACTGGTCTGCGCTTCCAGGTCCTGCCATTGATCTAGGCTGGCTGTACGATCTTTAGCAGTGCCCTGGAATACTGCGAACCCACCTGGCTCGGGTATTGGGCCCCCGAGCCCGCCACAGAGGCCTGGCTAAATTCAGACATTCCATTGCCAGGCATATCACCTTGGAGTCAGTTCAGCTCCAAGGAGACCTCACTGAGTGTATGGTGCAACTAAGTGCTGATATTTTTAGTTAATTGGGTCTATCCAGGATTGGGTCTATCCAGGATTGTGGTCAGTAACTGAAAGACCATTTTGCTCATGTCTTGATGTATGCAGATGGAGCTGTTCTTAGTGTGCCTTGCTTCATCACTTTTGGAAAACCTTACTTTCATCTGTTATTCCTAACTTGAATTTGCAGTCCAGTAGAATGCAAATCAAGGGATGAATGCACTTTGACTAACTTTAGCAGCATATTGCAGCTGCAGCTTCATTTGCGCCAACCTTGAGTCAACAAATCGGTTACGTGCTGTCCACAGTGCTTCTGAAGTTGTAAAGATCACAATCTGGTAATTGTATCGCTGCATGTTACACTCTGTTCAACCAAATGGAGCTTTTGAAACTTGCATTTAATACCCAGTATTTTATAGTTTGACAGCCTGGCGCTATTGAATTACAATGCCCTCTGTAATCGGGTCAATATTTCCTGCTGTAGGTCTAATAATCCATACCAATTCCAATGCTGCTACCTTGCTAGTGCTAATTTAGCAAGTCGGTCACATATTGCGTTCCAAGCAAGTGCCAGCCCATGTATCGTGAGATGATTGTGATTGAAATGCAACTCTTGGCACTTAGCTTTTATCAAAGGTTCATAAAGGGACTTGAGCAGCTAACTGCTGTCAGAAATTGGGCCGATTGGTCCTCTATAGTTCAGCTCCCTGCCAGAGTACTTGACAAATTTTAAAGTATGTTGTAAAAGTTACCTTGCTTTAGGAAACCTATTTTATCTAGATAAATTGAAGGTACAGGTGGTACTATAAAAACTGTTCTATAATGAATAGGTAAAGTTTAGTCTGATTTACACTTGGCTAAACACATGTAGAGGCAAGGGTGTTGAATTATTAGATTTTGGAATGTATAGGGTGAAGTTTGATCAAATGGGAGGGAAAGTGTAAGGCACCAAATTGTAGGTTTATTCCAGATTTTTTATTTGCAGAATATATTTTTTTTGTGTGGTCAGGCTATTTCTAAACAATTGATGCCCCGAACACTGGGCTGTGCGATAGTACATATAATTTTGTTTTTAGTTGAAGTTAAATGTGACTGATGAAACAACTCCAGTTTACAATGCCTTTAATTGAAGACTGATCCTGAGCAAGTTCTCATTCTTAGACCATGTCTCACTGTTGACAAGCAAGAGTAGATTATCAGGACTAATATTTAGATTTAAGTCCAAGTATTCTGTGCCTATTTTAACCTGAACCATTTATGTAAGGTTGTAATCACTTTCAATTTAGCCCTCGACTCAAGATTAACCACAAATAGTAGATTCTGAAGGGAAAAGGTGTACTGTACTTTGGACCTTCAAATGCTCTCAAGGAAATAGATCAGTGTTTTCTGGAAGACAGTAATCAATCCTAGAGCAAACTGCTTGCAACAACTCTGAACTTCCAGATGTAACACAGATCGTCCCCAACAATACAGCACAGTTTATAGACTTTGTTGCGCAGGTTCTTGCTTGACGGGAAGTTCGGCTGAGATTTTTTTGCATGCGTTCCAAATATCTCATCAGAAACTCCTTTTGCACTTAAGTTCTTCATAGCACAGTGGCAGCTGTATATATTATGAAAGCATCTTAAAATGTTTCAGGGTTTCAATATATTGTGAATAATTTTTATCAGGTTTTCCCCACAATGCCTGTACTGTACAGCTTGCACAGTAATAGAATTGTGAGGTGTAGTGTATGTAGTGCAGGGTCAAAGAGCTTTATGACCAGACAGTCTGTTTGGGGTTGAAGAATGTGCCTTATCATGGTTTAAATGTGAATGTGTATTTAATTCTTCCATTAACAGATTGATGACTCTGGAACATCTATCACTCTGGCCCAGCTTACAAAGGTATAAAATGTTTTTTTTTCCCGCTGTTTTTTTTTCCCCTTGCAAATTCAACATTTGCACATTTTAATTGTAATACATGTCGCACTAATCTGTAATTGTTCTATACAGCACAGAGTTACATAAATGCTTTGTATACTGTGTTGCAGAAATTAAATTGCATTTTATACTGTCATTAAAATAAACTGTAATTGTTTTAGTTATGTGTGAATAGTAGTGCTGTGAATCCAAGTTACTGGAAATGTTGATCTTTGCTGAATATCCTGTAAAGAGTGAGTGATATGGGGGATGATGGAAGGGGAGTCCCTCGACTGCCTCACCTAGCTACTATAATGCTCGCACACCTCGGTCAGCTTCAAAAAGCAGCAAGATAGAACCCTAGGTATAATGTCCTTTATCTGGGATATTATGTATGAATATTAAATCGGGTATTTCGCCTGTTTTTTGAACACCGCACCATTAAAGAAGGCGGTAGAAGAACAGAAGCCCTGATCACTGGATATAGTGATCGGTACGAAGGTTCTCACCTTTAGCACCATCAGATCCGTGTGTGGCCATTAATAAAAGGACTGTTCTGATCTCTGCAATACAGCCAAGAGTTGCAAATCTGCTCTGTTAATGTTATTGAAAGTACAATCTTGTGTAAAATTAACTGGATTTTGCAGTGCTGTCTCGACTGAATTGATCTAAGTGTATGCTGATCCCCAATGTTGTATCAACCCATGCATAGCTTAGCTGTGACCATGTAAATGTAAAGCACTAAATACAATAAACTATGTTCTCTTTTTAAGACCAGATGTTGGAAAGAATGTATATGGGTGATCATTTGTTTGAACACAGACTGTAAACCTGTATGAAATATGGTGGTGTGTTATTGCAGCATCTTGTGCAGCTGATTGACAGGGAGAGAGCAGTTTTAGTTACTTAACGAATGCTTGTGGTTTGGACAAGAAAACACCCGTCTCAGATATTTTGAATATATTTGTATTGACAAAACTTAATTTAGTTGCCTGCCTGGCTTGTACTAGTCCCTAACATCATCTGCAAGTTGATTTTCTTCACATACACACATAATCGTATATGCACTAGTGTCTGCAGTTGACAAATTTCTGTCCTGTATTTTCTTCTTTTCTCTTGTTTACTTTCTTTCTCTCTTCTTTGCCCCCCCACCCCCCTGGACCCCAAGTTTAGAACCATGCAATAAGTTTACTGGTCAATGCTGAGTTTACTGGTTTCAACCAAGTGTGAATGGGGGTGGGGGGCTAAATTGGCTCCAGCCTTCCCAGGGTTAGGGAGGGGAAAGCCAGCCGAGGTCCTGTTCCTTCTGCATCTTCTTGGTTATGAGTGCGTGCGTGTGTGACAGTTGGGTGGGGAGAGGACAGGCGCTGTTGTGACTCCAGTTGAATGATCTGACAGTGAATAATGGGAACTTGAATGGGGTACTGCAGGCCAGCCAGTACCCATGGAAACACACCCCAGCATGGTGACCAGGAACATGGGCATGTGCTAATGGGCAGAAGATTAGTGAAATAATTGGACATACTAAAGTTTTTTTTTTAAGAAAACTGTATTTAGATAAATGGAAAAATTCTTTTCAACATGTTAGGTAAAATGCTGTTTGGGTTCAAACAAATCTGTTGTGTGAGGAGTACAGTTAAACCCTGATAGGATCATCTCCCATTTGTTGTTTATAAAATTGGGGCTAAATTACGGGGATAACTCCTGGCTCAGTACTGAGGTTCTCTCATTTGAAGACAGCGCAATGTTGGGAGCCTGACTGGAGAGATTGCTGACAGTTTTGTTCAAGTCTTCATTTAGTTCAGCTGTTTGTGAGCATTAGCTTGCTGTTTGGTTTGTTCTAATTCTGGGTGTTTCTTCACGTCGTGCACAATTCCTCTCAACTATTGTTCTAAAAGTCTTTGCGAGGCACTTAATGGTGCAGAGGTTTAATTTCATTCTGAAATACACAGAGTAGTGGTAGAGAAAGCTCTTGTGTGAAGAATCTATTAATCTTCTCTACACTACTTGGCAAAGGCCACCAGATATGTCCTACTGCATACAACTTGCCTGTTTATGCACTAGCTTCTCGTGTTTAGTCATTGTTACTCGGCTGTGTGGGTTGCCTGTGAGAATATCTCGCATGAACTGCTGCTTCCCAATTTTCTGGAGTTTGCTTTTGGCTGGCTGAAATGTGCAGAGAGAGGAAGACTTGGTGCCTTGTGTTGCTAATGTATATTTTGGGTACATGTGAAGTTTCAAGAGAGGTTCAGTGGAAGTGAAGTAATCAGAGATTGAGGATTCCCAGAACTTGTAGACTTGAGTTGAACAAGCTTCAATGCTCTGTATTGATGTATCCACTTTCTTAAGTCCTCTTTGTTTGGTACTATATCTGTTGAGTAAGCATATGCACGTGTCCAAATGTCACAAAGGTAGAATAACCTGTTCTCAGTGCCGATGTCTCCTTGCTGGGATAAGGGGTTGATGGCAACCGTGGTCATGTCAAGCATTTGGATGTTTTTGAAATTTAATAATCCTTGCATTTATTTGTGAGGTGCACATCCTTGACTGGCGCACGCTTTGGGATGTCCTCCCCACCCAAAAGGTGCGATACAAATGTAATTTGTTGTTGTTGTGGTAAAGTCGCTGAGATATTGGTGAGAATCTGACGCTGTACAGTGCTTTTAAAAAGGAAAGCACTTGCACTTTTACAGCACTTTGATGTTGAAACGTCTCAAAATACTTCACAGTAAATCAGTTACTTGGGTGCCTGATTGGCACAAGGTGGGTTTTGTGTTTCTGTTATTACAAAATAGTGTTAGGAGGTAGCAATGAGAGAACCTGAGTCACTGTTTCTGTGAATTTATTCTATTATATCCTTGACTCTTCTCTCTCCCCCCCCCCCCCATGCTCGCTCACATTCATACACACACACTTTTGGGTTGGGCAACAGCAGATGAAAATCAGCCTGAAGTGACCTCCACCCCTCACTCTTCCGTCCCTGTGGAGAATTGCCTTAATTCCATTCTGGTTGGCACAAACTTATTAGTTAAATCAGGAGCTGGTTGGGAGAAGAATCATGCTGGTAACTTCGCCCTCCCTGTGGTACACCATGTAACATTATCAACCCACCACTAGCCATCACTGTCCAATGATCACAATCAAACCCCTTTGCTTAAATATCCTGTAATTGTGAGAGATGATGTCACCAAAGGTGATTTCAGTTGAACTTCTGAACCTAATGCCCTAGGGAATGGCTCTGGATTATCGGTCATATTTGGAATGAAATGGGTGGAGATATGATCTTGCAGGGTTTCACTGTACCTGTTGTGTTTGTGTCAGCTGGTGACAGTGAACAGTGAAGTGTTGAGTGGCTGTGCCTCGAATAGCAACTGAGTCTTTGTGCTGCAGGCTATGTGGGAACAAGAACCCGAACAGTGAGTGTATAGGGTTATGTGTAAGTGAGACTTGTGCCATATAGAGCATCTCCCCCCACAGTCTTGTCACTTGGACATCAAGGAACTGGCTGCAGATGCCCACAACAGCACAATCCTCTCCTCCCTCCTGGTTTGGTTTGGACAACAGTTTTGTCACCTTATTTAATTTAAACTCACAATTGCACATAAACGTGAACAAAATTGTTGTGCTCTTGATTTACTTTTTCATGTAAACCCAAGTTATACAAAGAAGCTTCAGCAATGCCTGGATTTCACACACTGAACCAGAGGTTTCAAAGTTTACTTGTTTTTCTTTTGCTGGATTTGTCAACCAAACCCTGTAAAGCCGGGACTAGCCTGCAGGTTTCCATTCCATTTTACCAGCCTCTTGTAAATAACACTGGACTGAAAGTCAAATTCTGACGATTTGTAGCAATGACTTTTAGAAATGCTTATAGTGGTTCTCAAATGATTGACATTTTATTAAGTAAGACAATCATTTCGGGTGGTTTTGATCTTTGAAGAATGTCGCGTTCCAGGTTGTGTCCAGCCCTGTGCATTTCACTGGGGTCTTTGCTTTCTCTGAAGCACTAAATCTCACTCCATCTATGCCATAGAGGTTTTATGTCAGTACTATATGCTGCAGGTGGCAGGCTTGAGGAACTCCCCCAGATCATTGGCAAGCTGGATGGAAGGTAGTGTATCCAAATGGATTGTTTAACAGTATAAAAGTAATAGGGTCAGGGATTTCCTGCTGCTCTTTACAGGATGTGGACTCGAGTGTGTAGTAACGTCTGGGTAACCACTTTTTTGTAACACACGCCTATCAAACAGACGGCCAATCTGGCTGAAGCGAATGCCTCTGAGGAAGATAAAATTAAAGCCATGATGACACAGTCTGGTCAAGAATATGATCCCATCAAGTGAGTATTGGAGGAGATAAATGGATGTACATTTGATATTGCTTCACGTTAACGCGTAACGTATGTTACCTCACGCTATTTGTATCTTTGTTTCATAGTTACATGAAGAAGCCATTGGGACCACCTCCACCATCATACACGTGTTTTCGTTGTGGAAAACCGGGGCATTACATTAAAAACTGCCCAACTAATGGGGTAGGCTGACATGTCTCAATTCTTCTTAATTGCAATCTTGTATGTCATTTGGTATTGCACATGTCTGGCAGTGAAAGACGTCTGAGGTGATGGGATTTGTGACAAGCCAGCAGTTGCACAGTGTTAAATGTTTAATTTTATTCATGTATATTTTGTTTTAAAAAAAATCTCTTCAGGACAAAAACTTTGAATCGGTGCCAAGGATCAAGAAGAGCACAGGAATTCCCCGCAGTTTCATGGTGGAAGTTGATGATCCAAACATGAAGGGTGCGATGCTTACCAACACGGGAAAATATGCCATTCCCACCATTGATGCGTGAGTACTTGAGTGTGGATTGGTGTGTGGTCTGTGACCAACCACTTGATTGTAGATGTTAAGATCTTTCTAAGACAAGGACATATAAATGTCAGGGACTCCACCAAGTCTCTTCTGTGCCAGCCCTTGGCAGAAGTAAACCTTAACTGGCAAGCCAGTTGACTGTTTACTTGGTGTGGTATGTACGAGTGTGAGGTTCCCTGCACACTTATCAATCCCTTTGCTCAATGTTGGGTATTCCAAGGTCTCCCCTAAATAAATTTTAAAACAAAACTTGATTCTTTGACACATGAATGTCTTGAGAGCTGTAGTCACTTGCTGGCAACGCACTGCTCCTGATCCACTGGAGTCCTGTAGCTCAGTGATTAGAGCACTCGCTTTGCAAGCGAGAGACCTGAGTTCAATTCCAGGCAGGGCGAAACCTTGGGCAAGTTTCCTTACTCCACACACCTAATAATAATCCCTCCAAAAACAATAATAAAATTGGTCATTTTCAATCTACGACTGTTTGTGGGACATGCTGTGCGCAATTGGCTGCCGCGTTCGCCCACAAATATACAGTCAATTCACTTTACAATGTGTTCTGTGAAGCGCTTTGGGATGTCCTCCCGACGTGAAAAGCGCTATATCAAATGCAAGGATTATTATTTAACTCCACCCATCCCCCCTATACTCCTTCAACCCTGTCTCCCTCCTCCCTCACCGCCATCATTAGCAAACTCAAACCTACCATTGCTCCTTTGATCCCATCCCCACCGTTCTCCTCATCCCCCAGCTCCACCTTCTGACCCCTTTCTTGTCCGACATCATCAACCTCTCCTTATCCACCGGTTCAGTTCCCACCCCCCTAAAAACAGCCGTCATCACCCCCATCCTCAAAAAACCTTTCCTGACCCATCCCTCCTCTCCAGCTGCCGCCCCATCGCTAACCTCCCATTCCTCTCCAAGGTCCTGGAACGAGTTGTCGGGTCCCAGCTCCGTTCCTTTCTTTCTTGCCATTCCCTCCTTGAACCCTTCCACCCCGGCGTCCACGCTGCCCGCAGCACGGAAATAGCCCTGGTCAAAGTCACTAATGACATTCTGAACATCTGTGATCAGGGCTCCCTCTGCCACCTTGTCCTCCTCGACCTCTCTGCCGCCGTCGACCACTCCATCCTCATACACCGCCTCGCCTCTTTACTTATCTTTCAGGACCTGTCCTTGCCTGGATTGAATCCTATCTCTCTCACCGTCTCCACTTTGTTGCCTCTTAACGGTTTCTCCTCCAACCCCCGACTGTCATGTCTGGCGTCCCCCAGCGCTCTGTCCTTGGCCCTCTCCTCTTTAATATCTACATGCTCCCCTTGGTGATGTCATCCACAGACATGGGGTCAACTTCCATATGTATGCGGATGACACCCAACTCTGTCTTTCTGCCTCCACCCTCAACTCCAGGACCACTGGTGTCCTGACAGACTGCCTGTCAGACATCAAGTCCTGGATGAGGGCAAATTTCCTACAGTTGAATATGAACAAGACTGAGGCTCTCCTGATTGGCTCGTGCCAGCGCCTCAGCACCTCAGGCTCTGGCAGCATCAACCTCCGTGGTTGCACAGTACAACTCACCAAACCAGTCAGGAACCTCGGTCTCTTGTTCGACCCTCAACTGTCTTCTTCACCACATCTAAGCCATGACCCGCTCTGCCTTCCCTCACCTCCGCAACATCGCCTGACTCCGCCACTACCTCACCCCTCAGGCCGCTGAAACTCTTGTTCATGCCTTCATCACCTCCAGGCTCAACTATGCAAATGCCCTGCTTGTTGGCCTTACAATCTCCTCCCTCCACAGGCTGCAGATAATCCAGACCTCTGCAGCCCGTGTTCTCTCCCACACCAAGCTCCGCGACCCCATCTCCCCCATTCTCGCCCGACTCCATTGGCTCCCTATCCTTCAGAGGATCCAGTTCAAGATCCTGGTCCTCACCTACAAAGCCCTCCATGGTCTCGCCCCATCCTACCTCTGCGACCTCCTAACCCCCTACCAACCCGCCCGCTCCCTCCGCTCAGCCGGTCTGGCCTGCTCCACGTCCCCCACCCCACCATTGGCGGGAGAGCCTTCAGCCATTCTGCCCCCAACCTCTGGAATTCCATCCCTCAATCACTCTGCCTTGCCCCCTCCTTAGCTTCTTCAGGTCCTGCCTCAAGACCCTTCTCTTCGACCATGCCATTGGTCACTCCCCCTTCCCCTCCCTTCTCTTCGCCCTCCCTGACCCCAGCTCGGGTCTGAAATGCTATACACTGTCCAGTGCCTTGGGACATCCTCCCGATGTGAAAGGCGCTATACAAATATAATCTTGTTGTTATTGAGCTGGGGTGCACTCTTGGCACTAAACTAAACTTGTCAATCATTCTTTATCACCTGGTGTTAATGGGCCGGCCACCTGGAGGAAAGGTGATTAAATGTTTAATGGTTGCAGTTGTTTTACCCAGAGCCTAATTATTTTTGGGGGAGGAGAGAAAAGAGAGAGCCTTTCCTAAATTGAAGTCCAACAGCAAGCACACTTCTCTTCAAGTTCTTCTCCCATGCCAGAGCTCCATTGGAGAGCATCAATCTCTAGCTGAGCCCCCTGTTAATCATCATTACTTTATAACGGGTGCCCAACCATGTCGCCCGCAGAAGGGTTTTTAGGTACCCACGTGAATTAGAAAATGAATCATAACACGAAAGAAGTTTAATTTGCCTATTTCGAACATGCCGGCTGGCTTGCCTACGCATACTCGGCTACAAGCTCTGCTCATCCTTCTAGGAATCTATGTATTACACAGTGAATAACAGTGCACGTGTCTGACTTACTCCCCCATTCTTATATGGACCCGTCCTTATCAGTCCTAAGGTATGTCACCTAGTTTCGGCCATCTTACTGTATTGTTAAAGGTCAGTGTTGCCCTCGTGTTTTCGGTTAATATGAGTGGGTCTACCAAATAACATACAATTTCAACAGTGAATGGGAAGAGCAGTTCTTTTCGTTAAGTTTAAAAGAAAATATGTGTGTTTATTGTGCTGTGCTAGTGTGGCAGCACCCAAGAAACATAATGTCGAAAGACACTTTCGAACGAATCACAAGGACTTTGACGCAGATTTCCCACAATTCTGTTGTAAGAAAGAGTGAGTGATTTAAAATCTGAACCTGCAAATTCAACAGTTTTTGCCAAGCATGTTCAGAAGTCAAAAAGTTGTATGATAGCATCTTTTAAAGTTGCTCATACTTGCTAAAAGGAACAAACCTTTCAAAGATAGAGAATTGGTGAAGGAGGCAATGCTGTCTGCTGCAGATTCTCTTTTTGAAGGTTTTAGCAATAAGACAGAAATCGTGTTGTCAAGAAATGATTTGCAACTGTCACGTAACACTGTAACAAGGAGAATAGTCTATTTCACAAAATATACAATTTCAGTTGATGAGTGACCTTCAAACATGTGACTACTTTCCATTACAATTTGATGAGTCCACAAACAGTGATAATACAACGAAGGAAAAGCTAACAATTCTTCCTTTGAAAGGCAAAACGAGAGGTGAAGATATTTACAAAGCCTTCAAAGACTATTTCGGAAAACAACATTCCTCTCAAAAAAAATTGTCTGTGACTACCGATTGAGCACCTGCGATGGTAGGTAGCAGGAATGGTTTTATTGGACTCTGCAAGAAAGACCAGTCATTCCTGGCATTCATCACTTACTACTGCATTATCCACCAGGAAGCTCTGTTCAAAAGTGATTCATTTTCAATATGCGATGCATGTGGTGACTAAAGTAATAAATTTTATCCGTGCTGCAAGCTTGCAACACATTCAAAGTTCTTCTACGTATTGCTGAAATGGTGAGCTCAGTAAGTGCATTCAAAAGTAAACAACTTATGGATATCTCAAATGACGAAGAAGTCTTCTACACTTCCCAAATCTGAAGAATTTATTGAAACTGCTGTTTTTGATCTTGAGCCTTTTGTGGGACATCTTGAGAAGCTACAACAAGAATTCAGTCGGAGATTTCAAGAATTTAATACAATTGCACCAATTGTGAAATTCATTGTAAACCCATTCAGTACAGTTGATGTCTCTGAGACTGCAACATTTATTGAAAAATTGTTTCAAGCTGACATCGGAAAACTTGAGCTTGAAGTCATAAACATTCAAAGTGACATTATTCTACAGTCCCATGTAAAAGATGATAACTTCTGGAAACCTGTTGACAAAAATAAGTATCCTCTTCTAAGAAGTGCAGCATTGAGGATAAATTGTTGCTACATATCAACGTACCTTTGCGGGTACCTGTTCACCAATATGAAGTATATTAAATCAAAATACAGATCCAGACTTACAGATTCACATCTAAATGATTGTCTGCAAGCTCATCAGACAATCCAGATTTCAACATGTTGGTGGAAGAAATGCAGTGCCAGGTGTCACATTAATAGTAACTAAATTGACTTTCTGTTTGATTTTAAAAGGTTATACACAATCATAGTTTGTTGTTGTTGTCCCTAATTTTTAAATTGAGAATTTTATTCCCTTTTGTTCTGTACTACTCAGTTTGGTTCATAGACATAAATTCATAGAGTGCCCACTGTGGATTCAAAACTTCTCTCAGTAGCCCTTCACCCAAAAAAGGTTGGGCACTCCTGCTTTATAAGAATGAAGATTGTAACCATTTCATATGGAGGGAGGGAAACTTCTGCACATTGTCTGAGGTAAAGGTTTGGGGTAGGGGGGTGGTGTCCTATTAACTCAATAAGGTTTTTTCCTCTTTGGAGAAAAGTGAACTGTTGGCCATGTCAGCAGTGTGTGGATTGAAGATGGTTTGTATTCCAGGGAAGCGTATGCACACGGCAAGAAGGAAAAGCCACCATTTTTGCCAGAGGTGCCCTCCTCCTCCTCTGAAGAGGAAGATCCTATTCCCGATGAGCTGCTGTGCCTTATCTGCAAAGATCTGATGATGGATGCAGTTGTCATTCCGTGCTGTGGGAACAGTTACTGTGATGAGTGTAAGTCCCCGGCTCCCGTTGCTCTACTAACTGAGCTCTGAATTGCTGCTGGCAGTGTGTGACATCAAATCTGAGCACCAGAGTTTTCTGTGCTTTGAGTCGTTCTTGCTCAGGCAGTCATGCTCGCACCTCTGGGTCAGAAAGGTTTTGGGTTCAATGGCTTCGTTGGCTGTTCAAGGCAGATGTGAAAGGTCCCATTACACTATTCGCTAAGAGAAGGGAGTTTCTCCCAATGCCCTGGCCAGCGATTCTCAAGATTGATCACTATGGCTGGGTGTAGTGATTGGCTATGTGCAAAATGGCTGCCATGTCTGCCTACCCAAAAAAAAACGACTGCACATGATTTAGTGTGAGATGATTGGACGTTACAGACACTATAGTGAACATATTGGTTGTTTATTTAGTGATGTGGGTTCTCTTTCTTCCCCCCCCTCTCGTTCTCTCTCTGCACAGGTGTCAGGCAGGCACTGTTGGAATCAGATGAGCACACCTGTCCAACCTGTCATCAGTCAGACGTGTCTCCTGATGCTTTAATCGCAAACAAATTTTTACGGCAGGTAAGTTACACACGTGAGCAAATGTTTCAGGGAAGTGGCTTTTACGAAAGTCATCATTTAGATTCAATATGACTACTTGGGTATTCTTTAACTTAGCAAATGCAGGCAGATGCTGTTACTTGGTCCTGTGCAGTGGCAGTGGTGAGGGGGCCACTGGTTCCTCAGTTCATTGGTTCCTTCTCCAATTGGCCATCACTCTTAAAAGGGATATCGCTTGCAAGGCGAGTGCTCTAACCACTGACTGCAGAACTCCACAAACTCCTACACTTTGTGCAATGGAATGATTGTGGAGTTCTGCAGCTCAGAGCGCTCGCCTCGCAAGCGAGAAGTCCTGGGTTTGATTCCCGAACAGGGTGAAATGATGGGCAAGTTTGCTTACTCCACGTGCCTCTGTTTACCGAGCAGTAATTAGGAACCCAGTTGTTAGTTGATTGGTGGATCGCTTTTCTGGGGAAATAATTCCTTCAAAAATGAAAATAATTTGGTCACTCAATCCATGACAGTTTGTGGGACACTGCTGTGTGCAATTGGCTGCTGTGTTTTGCCCACAAAATCAACTGTTTAGAGCATTAGTCAGACCCCATCTGGAGTACTGCGTTCAAGTTTGGGCACCACACCTCAGGAAAGATATTGGCCCTGGAAGGGCTGCAGCGTAGGTTCACTAGAATGTTACCAGGCCTAAAAGGGTTAAATTACAAGGCTGCATAAACGTGGATTGTATTCCCTTGAGTTTAGAAGATTGAGGGGTGATTTGATTGAGGTATTTAAGATGATAAAGGGATTCTATAGGGTAGATACAGAGAAGCTATTTCCTCTGGTGGGGGAATCCAAAACAAGGGGTCATAGTCTTAAAATTAGAACCAGGCCATTTAAGATGAAATCAGGAAGCACTTTTTCACTCAAAGGGTAGTAGAAATCTGGAATTCTCTTGAGACATGCCTTGAAGGAGGCAAGGGGGACGTGAAGCAGGACGGGGCTGCTGAGCGGACGGGTTGATATGGGGTTAGCAGGTCCCAGAGTTAGGAAGGAGCATAACTCATGCAGTTCAATTTATTTTATATATAGGCTGTGAATAACTTCAAGAATGAAACTGGTTACACAAAGCGAACTCGTAAACAGCAACAGCAGCAACAGCAGCAGCAACAGCAGCAACAACAGCAGCAGCAACAGCAACCAGCCCAGCGACCGAGACAACAGCCTCCATCCTATCAGCTGCCCAGTCAGCAGCCTAGCCTTCTCCCCAGCCTGCTCATCCCTCAGCCAACTCTCCCAGTGACCAGAGGGATAATTTCTAAACCCCCAGACCTGCCCATCTCATCTTCTGGACACGGCCAGACCCTCATTCCAGCTACATCTCTGAATCCTGCTTCTGTCCCAAAGCGTGCTCCCTCGCCTGTGAAAACCAGCAGAGCGCCAGTATCCTCCACTGTTAATATCACTGCACCTGAAGTATCATCAACAGCTGCTTCTGTTCAGCTACCTCCAAAGCACGAGGAAGGGGACATGCTGTAAGTTCCTGGCCTTATTAGTGCCTGAGACGCTACCCTGCATGAGGGGCTCTATATGAATACCACTTGTTGTTTTAGTGCCTCACTAACATTTGGCTACCAAATGTACAGCATCTTAAGCTGGTTACAAATTCTGAGTTTCTGTAACTTACTGTTTTCTCTTGTCTGTCCCTGTTTTTTTTCTGCAGCCTCCAACCCTCGAGTAGATTCGAGTCTAAGCTCACTGTTCTATAAATATAACCCCCTCCCCCAAAAAAACCCTGGTCGATTCAAATCCAGCACCTGTATTACCTCCACATGCGTAACGTTTTGAATACAGGTCTAGTTTTGCCATCTGCCTGTGTTAAATGTTTGCTGTGAGTGTATGATGTGTGATCCCTGTGGTGATGGTTGTATCTTAACAGCAGACTGTTCCCCTTGCCTGCCTTTCAGAGAGCTCAGTAAGCCGGTTATGGTTACGGTTACCACTGGAATAGCCACCGGCAATCCCAACATGTGTGTTACCAGTACCTCTGCACTGAAGGTAAGCAGCTGTGCCATTTACCTTGGCTCTTGTTACTGGGCAATTTATTTTTCATAGAAAAGAAAAACTCCAGTACAATGCAGCAGCATTTGGAGACCCATAGCGCAGTGGTTAGTGCGCTCGCCTCACAGGCGAGAGGACCAAGGTTCAGTTCCCGGGCAGGGTGAAATCTTAGGCAAGTTTCTTTACTCCACAAGCCTGTGTATCTAGAAGTAAGTAGGAACCCAGTTGTTAGTCGATCGGCAGATCGCTTTTGGGGGATAATAAGCCCTCAAAAAAAATTGGTGATTCAACCCACGACTGTTCTTGGGACCCTTCTTAGCACAATTGGCTACTGGGTTTCACCCACAAAATACACAGTCACTCCACTTTACAATATATTCTGTGAAGCGCTTTGAGACTTCTCAATGATGTGATAAGGCGCTATATCAAATGCAACGATTATTATTCCCATGTAAGTGAATACACTGCTGGCCCTGATTTTAGCTGTGTGTTTTCACATGGAGACATCACTGTTTGAAGACGGTATAGCTTGAGTGTGTGGTTCCTCAGGCATCAGGAGATGACATGTCTTGTCAGTCGGCCAGACTGAACTCTCAGACGCAAAGTAAGTGTTTGTGTTACAGCAGCAAATGAAAGGTAGTGACTCTTGGCTATAAGCTGCAAATGCATTCAAGCCTGGTGTCAGGAGTTGAACTCAATCCAATAAACTGGTCGTTCACTTCATAAGCTTGTTTTTGGAACCTTGGTGTGCAAGATAGCAGCTGGATTGCCCTTTAAAAATGCATCATCACTACACAATTCCCTGTGAAATGCTTTCAGACATTTTTGTGTTGTAAGCACTCCGTTCCTGTTACTATCATCAAGCCCGTTTCATCCCAAGTGTGGTTAGTCATGTGGGTAGGGGGAGAACCAGTTGACTCCAATGCGGGTATTCCAGGATCTGGGAGTGGCTTTGGGCTATACTTTGATTTTAAACGCTCTGGGATGCCACCCCAAATGAGGACAACTATATAAATGCAAGTTGTTGCAGTGATTGTATGTTGACTTCACCATCATCTGTTCCACCTGCAGGGATATCAGGTTCCTGTTCTTGGTCAGCCATCATCACACGGACACTCCATCCCCACGACAGGTAACGCCACATTTACAGCTCGCTTCCCAATGCCGCCCATGTGAGGTTTTACAGAAGGGCTGAAATCAATAACCTCATCATTTTCTGTTTAGGTCAGCCAATGCGGCCTGGAGGCATCCGGCCTGCGGGAGGCCGACCTGGGTGGGAAGTGTAAGTATGATCCCTGCTCACATGCGCTCACAGTTCCCGAGTTTCAGCTCTCACTCGCTTTTACCATGCTGTTGAAACTCCTTGATCTCCAATTCTGGTTTGAGGGGAATACATGTTTCCCTCCCACTGTTTTCCTCCCAGGTCTGCAACAGCGCAGGTTAGAGTGAAGCTCCCTCTACACTGTCCGTCCACATTCCCAGGTCAGGGTTAGACACAGTAAAGCTCCCTCTATGCTGTCCATCCACACTCGCAGGTCAGGGTTAGGGTCAGAGTAAAGCTTTCAGGCTGTCCATCTAGCATTACTAGGTCAGCGACCGCACAGAGTAAAGTGCTTTTCAGTTTGTGTTAATGAGTCTGAGAGCCTCTTCCTTAGACAGTGGGTTAAGTTTCTGTCTATTGTCTCTTTTTATCCTTTTACCTTGAAGCCTGTTGATTATCAACCATTTTATTTGTGTTGCAACAGGGCATCAAACCGAGGACATCCCCCAGGTGACCGCTGCTTAAGGAACCGGGCTCAAGGCCTCGCCAATCCCCCACCAGTCTATGTGCCACCTCCCACCCTGTATCCCCCACCACCTCACCCTGTTCCTCTCCCTCCTGGAGTCCCACCCCCTCAGTTTCCTCCACAGTTTCCCCCTGGCCAGCCACCACCTTCGGGATTCAGTGTCCCTCCACCAGGATTCCCTCCTGCTCCTGCCACCATCACTGCCCCCTGGGTACCTCCTACCACCCCAGCAGCTCCTGCCAACGTGATTGGCACAGTGACCCAAGCACCACCTCTGTCCAGGGAAGAGTTCTACCGCGAGCAGCGACGGCTGAAAGAAGAGTAAGTGCACCCATTGTGGTCAATCTATTTAACGTATATAGGCACGGTCAAAGAGGAAGGATCTTCAGGCGCGATCGGAAGTTGGGGACTCTTTGTTGAGTTGTATACTTTACATAGTACTTGCTGTAGAGAATTATTTTAAAGCCCAACCATCAGTTCAGTCCTTGCATAGGTGCTCAGCACGAGGACAGGCGTGAGGACATTCCCCTACATGACATTTGATTTCAGCCACCGTTGGGCAGAGTGGTTTGGATCGATGTGGATTCTGAGGGATTCTTCTTCCTCTGTAACGCAGTCTGGGTCCATTGAGGGAAAACAACAAATATCCAATATCCTGAGCAGCTGGTGGAATGTGTTCCATTATCAAGCACTCTGGGACACTCCCCTTCGTGAGAAGCGCTATACAAATGCAAGTTGTTGTCAGGCGCTCTACCTGTGCTCTGTCCACACTAGTACCTAGGCCTACACTCACGTTCTCAGCAAGGGTGGCCCTTGCTGACTAACCTTATGTAAAATGTCCCCTTTCCTGAGGGTGGAGAGATGTAGATGAGGGGTCTGTATTAGCTCCAGTGACAGTTTCCTCTTCCCACAGTGAGGGAATGCCGGCAGCAAATTGAAAGGATTTAATTGTCATCTGGAACATGTTCACTTAGTGTTTCCTCGTCAGTGAAAGCTGTAACTGGACCGGTGGCTTATGTAGCCACAGCTCTGTGAGGCCCCCTAGGGGCAGGTACTGAGCACCACAACGTGATAATCATTCCGTGCCCACGAGATCTCACTTCTGTGCCCAGCAAAGCCAACAAGTGTAAACTCTCCAGTTTGTCTTACGTCTGCTCAAGTGTCTGGGACGCTGCCCTGTGTGAGGGGCGCTGTTGAGACAGATGCAAATTGTTCAATCTCATTGTTCATCTAGAGAGAGAACCGTACAGTCCAACTAGTCTTGTGACTGAGTGAGTCTACGGTGTGTGGGAGTAGGGGGGGCAGCGCCCGTAGGGGGGTGCCCAGATGTGGGGGGGGTGTGGGGAGTGGTGCCCGGATAAGGGCGGGGAGGGAGTGATGCCCGGGTGGGGGTGTTGGCGACACCCAGGTGGGGGGGGCTACAGGGTGTGGGCGGGTGTTGGAGCGTGGGGTGGAGGGGTGTGGAGTGTTTAATGGCTCTGCACTGTGTTACCTTGATGTCATCCGCTTTCAGAGAGAAGAAGAAATCCAAGTTGGACGAGTTCACTAATGACTTTGCCAAGGAGCTGATGGAGTACAGGAAGATCCAGAAGGAGCGCCGGCGTTCCTATTCCAGGTAATTCCCGCAGTACAATCCTGCACAGACACTGGGAGAGAGTGGGTGGTGGTCTCTTTCTCTGTCTCATCACACAACAGCTCAGCAGCAACCGGCACCTCACTGTCTGCTGTACATTGGGCCATAGCTTCAGGTCCTCAGTGTTGTACGTGTGGCAGCTGTCGATACAGAACCTTGCCTGGAGCTGTGTGTGTCTGCACGATCCTCCCACTGTGAAGCAAGTTCCCCTGAACCTGCAAATAAGAGGACTTGACCACTTGTAACAGTTAATGAAGCTTGACTGGTTGTGTACGTTCTCCTTAAGCCGTTGGGAATGTAACGAGAGCACAGGGCAGGGGCCTGCAATGGCCGAACCTCAAACTGTGACCCATGTGGAGGAGGGACCGGTTGCTAAGTGTGGATTGTTCACTGCTTGTGGTGTGTCAGGATATTAAGCACCTGCTTTTGCCCTTCTTTAGGTCTCGATCACGTTCATACAGTGGCTCCTCTTTCAGCGGAAGCTCATACTCCTATTCCAAGTCCCGGTCTCACTCCTCACGCTCGTACTCCCGCTCAGTCAGTCGCTCGCCGAGCCGCTCCTACTCCAGGTCTCCTTCCTATCGCAGAGGGAGTGGGAAAGGTCGCAGCTATCGCTCCAGGTCCCGGTCTCGTGGCTTTCACAGATCTCGCTCCAGGTCCCCGTCCTACAGAGCCTACCGCTCCCGCTCTCGCTCTCCCAACTACAAGCCCCATTCTCCTTACAAGCGCGGAGCTGCGCAGGCCGAGAACGACCGGGAGTATTACGATCATTACCGGGAGCCGCCTCCCTACGACTCCCTACGAGAGTTCTACGACCGACCTCGCGATACCAGAGACCCGTTCGAGAGGGAGAGGTACAGGGAGTGGGAGAGGCGCTACAGAGCCTGGTATGAGTATTACAAGGGCTGCAATAGCGGCAATCAGCCAAGGCCCAGGTCTCCCACCAACAAAGAGCACTTTTCTCCGGAACGCTTTGGCACCCCCGGGACCAGGCGGGATAACTCCCCGCACGGGCGAGGCCGCAGGGAGGAGTACGTGACCGAGCCGGTGGCCCCCAGGGGACGAACTGCGGGGACCGCCAGCAACTACCCTGAGAAATACTCCTACAGAGAGAGTCACGGTGTGAAGGAGCTCCGAGAATCCAAGGAGAAGGAGGTGACGAGCGCCAGCGCAGAGTCCAAGGGGACGAAACACAAGAAACACAGGAAGAAGAAGAAGGAGGACTCGGAGCCCCGTTCCAATCCCGAGGCTTCCCGTGATGGGAAGAAAGTCACTGAGGCTGCGGGCGACGAAGGCAAAGGCTCCTCCTCCTCGCTGCTCCTGCCTCCCAGCAGAGACGATGCCACGCCTGTGAGAGATGAGCCCATGGAGGGCGACTCGGTTCCTTACAAGAGCTCCTCGGAGAAGGAGAGGAAGGAGAAAGCCAAGGGGAAAGGGGAGAAGGTGAAAAGGAAAGCTGAGAGCAGCAGCGTGCCGAAGAAGGAATCCTCGGGAAAGGCGGCCAAGACATCCCAGGAAAAGACGGCAGAGAAAGAGCGAGAGAAGGAGCGAGAGAAATCCCCTCACAGCGAGACCAGCGCCAAGAGGGTGAAGGATGAGGTTCCTCAGAAGTCAGAGGGCCCGAAGCTACATTTGTTGGCCAAGAGCGAGAAGTACTTTCTCCCAAGAAAGGTGCAGCAGAAAATGGGGAGAGACTACCAGGAGACCAAGGTGGTTAAAGAGGAGAAACCAAGGAAAGATTACCAGCGGGAGGACAGCAAGCGGGAGGACAGCAAGCGGGAGGACAGCAAGCGGGAGGACAGCAAGCGGGAGGACAGCAAGCGGGAGGACAGCAAGCGGGAGGACAGCAAGCGGGAGGACAGCAAGCGGGAGGACAGCAAGCGGGAGGACAGCAAGCGGGAGGACAGCAAGCGGGAGGACAGCAAGCGGGAGGACAAGGCGGGCACCAGGGGGGAGGAGAAGGTCAAAAAGCCGGTCAAAGTGGACGAGAAGCCGAGCAAAAGCGAAGCCAAATCCGACAAACGCAAGAGGAAACCTGAGGAGAAGGCCAGCGAGAAGGAGCTGGGAACGCCGCCCACAAAATCCTCCAAAGTGGAGCCGGTGCCAGAGCCCGGGAAAGCCACGGCCAAAGGGAAAGGAGAGCCACTTCCCGACAAAGCCCCAGAGACGCCAGTGGTGGTGACCGACAAGGAGAAGAGCGCTGCTGCCGGCAATCCAGCCAGGAAAATCAGGATAAACCGGGAAACCGGCAAGAAGATCGTGGGCACGGAGTACCCGGCAGCCATGGAGGAGATCCCCGAGGTCACCGAGGTGAATGGAGCCAAAGCCAAACCCGAGAGGGTGAAAAGCAAAACCCGGAGAAAAATCCCCACCAGTGATGGCTCCGGCTCCACACTGGTGGACTACACCAGGTCAGTGTGTGTAGTGGGTGGGGTGGGGTGAATTGGGTCTGACAAGGTGTAAGATAATTGGTGGGATGTGACACTGAATGGCCCAGCACCAGCTGCTGAATCTGTTTTGAAGCCTTTAGGTTTCTTGCACTGATTCCATCTCCCACGATTTATTTTAAAAGCATCCGAAATGAAGGACGGGCTTCCTTGCGATCGATCTCCTGGTCAATCTCCACGCCTTGTTCATCCGTCTAACTTTCATTATGTAACTCTTTATATATGCTGTTCACAACTTTTTTTTCTCTTCACATTGTCTGTCTCTTCCTCCTCCATAACCTATTCTCACTCGAGCCTCTCACTCCCTTGCCCCCACTCTCAGTCTCGCTTCCCGTCCTCAGTACTGTCTATCCCTCCTGCCCTTCTACTTGGGTGAACCACCAGTGGGGCTCACTGTGAGGGTAAGTTGCTGCTGCTCACCCACTGCCTGTGGTGCGAGTCTCAACACAACACATACCCAAGTGGGATAAGCAAAAGGCAAAACGCTGCAGATGCTGGAATTCTGAAATACAAACAGAAGTCGCTGGGAACACTCAGCAGGTCAGGCAGCATCTATGGAGAGAGAAAAGTGAGTTAATGTTTCAGGTCGATGACCTTTCGTCAGACCTGCTATCTCACTTTTCTCTTTCCATATATGCTGCCTGACCTGCCGAATGTTCCCAGCCACTTTTGTTATTATTCCTTAGTGGGATCCCTAGTGCCAAGTTCCCCCACCCCCCACCCCCATTGGAATGTCTCATGACTTCAAAATAAAGACACGAGAAGTACCAATAGAAACCTATGTCAACAACAAATTACATTTGTTAAGCGCCTTTCACATTAGGAGGATGTCCCAAGGCGCTATACAAATCTCAGTGACTTGGCTGCAGTTTCTAAACGTGGTATTTAAAGGGATGCACACACACAGTGAAGGTGGAAGCCAGCGGATGCAGCTGTGAGGAATATCTATCTAACACTTTGTTTGTCTGCCCCAGCACCAGCTCTGCGGGTGGCAGCCCGGTGAGGAAGGGCGAGGAGAAGGTGGACACAAAAAAGACCGTGATTAAGACCATGGAGGAGTATAACAGTGACACCAGACCCCCAGCGGAAGATGAGATAGTGATCGTGCAGGTGCCTCGCTCCAAGTGGGAGAAGGAAGACTACGAGACCGATGAAGATGAAGGGAAGATGGCAGCAGCGGCTGCAGCAGCCGCTTCGGGCTCTGGCAAAGCCTTGGTACCTGGCGCGGGGGCCAAGGCTGTGAACCCAGGGAAACCGGCCGAGAGAGAGGTTGGCCTCGCAGAGAAACCACCGAAAGTCAGCAAAGACGCGAGCGGGGAGGAAAGTCACCAGGTCAGGCCGCCGGCCAAGGGTCCGCCTCCGACAGAGAAAGCGGCCAAACCCAAAGAGAAGGAGCACGGCCCCTCAGACAAGGAGACGTCTGAGAAGAGGAAAGCTTCAACTCTGCAGGACAAGGTGGTGAACACAGAACGGGACTGCTGCGAACCAGCCAACAGCACCAAGGCTGCCTCCTCGCAGGCCAAAGAGAAGCCAGCTGAGAAATCCGACCCGAGTAACCGAGGCTCTTCAAACAAAGAGCCAGCTCCCAGCGGGGACGGCAAGGTGGAGACTGTGGACAAGGAGCATCCAGCCTCCAAACGCAGGGAGGGCAGCAAGCGTCGGGACTCCCCCAGCAAGAGCAAAGATCCTCTCCCCAGCCCGAAGGGGAAAGATAAAGAGCAGCATGTGGATGGCGTGAAGAGCAGCGGGGATTGCAGGAAGAGTGATCAGAGTCCCGGGAAGGAGAAGAAAACCCCGCAGGGGGATCATCGGGCTGCATCGGACCCCAAAAGTGCCGGGGAGGAGACCAAACCCGAGCCTCTGGGCCGAGAGAGAGAGAAAGCCGTCTCCGAACCGCGGAGCACAAAAGAAAAAGAATCCAGTGGGAATAAACCCGTGAATAGGGCCGAGTCTGCTCCTGAGAAAACCGAGCCAGAGGCTAGTGTGGTGAGGAGCGACAAGGAGCACACACGGAGCAAGGCCCCTGGGCCACTCAGCCGTTCCTCCCGCCATTCCCGGCACTCGCTGGACTTTGCCAGGGAGACGGACGAGGCCGCCTTTGAGCCAGACTACAGCGAGAGCGATAGTGAGAGCGAGGCAGAGCAGGCCCTGAGGAACTCCTCCACGGCCACCGGAGAGGCCAGGGAGGCCAAGGTCAGCAAGAGCCATAGCAGCCGGAGTGGCAGCGGGAGCCCCAGCGAGAACCACAGCAGCAGCGGCAGCTCGGAGGACACGCAGGACAGCAAGAAGAAGAAGCGCAAGAAGGAGAAGAAGAAACACAAGAAGCACAAGAAGCACAAAAAACACAAGAAGCACTCGGGTGCCGAGACAGAGGCCGACAAAACCCAGAGACACAAACACAAAAAGAAAAAGTCTAAAAAGAACAAGGACAAAGAGAAAGACAAGGACAGTGACCAGAAAGTGCGATCGTCTGTCATCGTGCGAACGTCAGAAACTGATTAGACCTGTTCCCGTCTGATTGGCGTCTGATCAGATCCTGTAGCTGAATTGATTCGTTCTAAGCTTTGTAAATATTCACTGAGACATTGCTAGTCTGCGCTGACTCTACGGCAACTGGAGATTTTGTTTTCTGTAACATTGAAGGTTTATAAATTAGCAAAAATTTGTACAGAATTATGTTTGCCCATCGTGATTGGGCAGAATACGCTGCAAGGTTTTTAAGTGAACTATCAGACGACACTGGGAACTACTGTGAAAAAGTTTTTCACTTTTTTTTTATAGCCACATATAAGAGCTGACGGTGTAATTAATGTAAATGTTTTGGCTGGATAATTCGCAGTATACAGTAAAGGCTCGGTATGTCATCTTTTGACTGAATAAATTTTCATTGAATTCACTCTGGTCACACGCGCTTATTTCACAAAACCATCCACGGCTTTGGGACTCACAGTTGGGTTTTGTAAGAAACTACTGAATTCTGTACTAGGAGGGTGGGTTAGTGGGTATTCGGGGAGAATGAGGTCAAATGGGTTGAAGGGTGTCTTCAGACAAACTTCTTGTGATCTGGAAAAATTTAACAAACAGCAGTGAGAATTGAGAGTTCACCAGCAAATCTTGGGCTGGCAGCTTCTTTCCGTCTGCAACATGTTCCTCCCATGTCACTGTTTTGACAGTCCTCCTTGAGGGGGAGGTCTCTCAGTCCAGTTCCTGAGCCAGGCGGGTTTGCAGTATTCCAGGACATTCACTGCTGATGACAGCACAGCCCAGCCTGGCTCATTGTCAGGACCTTGGAATAGCAGGCCAGTCACTGGGGGCAGGGAATTTTACACCAGAATAATTCTCAGTTCCCATTAACCTTGCAAGCCAAAGCTCTAACAGCTTTGCCTTGCTGGACAAACAGCAGGAAAGCTTGCCAAACAGTATTATCAATGGCAAACTGATTTTAGATGGTTAAACTCAACCAGTTACCCCAATGCACACTTGGGTCCCCAAGCCTTGGATCTTGCCAACCTGCACCAAATACTTTCTGGAATTAAGTAAGCAGGAAGTATCTCTCCAGAGAGTGAGAGGGAGCACATTTTATTCCAACAATCTATCTCTGGGATTTCCATGTGTAGGTGGGATGCCTGGAATTCTCAGTTTGGTTTGGAGATTCTTAAGCTTGGTGATGGGTTTCCACATGTGTCAGACACCCAGCTGGGCAATAAAAAAAACACTCATTAAAAACTATTTTGCATTGAACAGCACCACTCATATTGGAGCATTTCACTGGGACAGGGTTTAGTGAGCACTTCCCTGGGTTGGACAGGAGGGAAGGGAAGTGGGAGGTGTGATGGGTGTGTGCGGAGGTAGAATTTGTTTCATAAAACTTGGAACAAGGAAAAGTGTATTTTCTTGCCCTCTGTACTTCTCAGGGGGGCCATTAGGCGGCAGTGTTGTCATATGTCCTCCCACCCCACCCCTCCCCAAACAGACACACACATTGGTTGCTACCAAGGCCTGAAATTACCACCTTTTCTCAACGGGAGAAATTTTGCCTTTTTTAAAAAAAAATGTTTAGGTTGCAGAAATCGTGGCAAATTCTTCAACCTTTGTTACCTGCTGTTTGTAAACGGGTAATGGCTGCCGATGCAATGCTCTTGTCTGTGAGCTCTGGAGGGTGGGAAGTGAGGTGGGATCACTGCAAATGTCTGAAGATGTGTATCTCATTAAAGCCCCCATAGTGGGCACGGAATTGGAGCTGAATCTCAGAAGACAGTTCCCCACAAACAGTGACTTGGGAGGTGGTGTTAATGAGATGATCCATTATAGTGGATTAATTCCATGCTGACACTTAATTTGCTAGATTAGAACATTTTTAATTGAATGTATTTCAGAAAGGCGGAGAGAGAGAGCTCTGGTGTGTGGTGTGTTCGGGCCGTGGAGCCCAGACTCCAGCCCTGCTCAGTCACTGAACCTGGCTGTGTGTCCTGTATAAACCAAGGCCATCCACAATTCTGTTTACCCAGCAGTAAGTAGGAACCCAGTTGTTAGTCAATTGGTGAGACGTCTCGAAGATGTGATATGGTGCTGTATCAAATGCAAGGATTATTATTATTATTCAGTGCCTTGTGACGTCCTTCCGACGTGAAAAGCGCTATACAAATGTAATCTTGTTATATTACTGCAGGGAATTCCTTTCACAGGCAGCTCTGCACACTGTCCTTTAAAGGGAGAGAACTTTTAATTTTTCCAGCACTTTCTCACATCAATAATCAGTTACAGTAATTGTTGACAGGTGGAGCCAAATGCCACAGCAGCTATTTTGCCTACCACAGGGGTCTTGCAAAAAGCCTTGCGGGAAATGAGTGATTAATCTGAAGGCTTGTTAGCCAGAATACTGGAAGAAACTCCCTTCGCTTTTTAAATAGCTTCACGAGATCTTAAACACCCACTCGAACAGGCAGACGGAGCTTGATTTCAAGTCTCCACAACAATGCATTGCTCCACACTGTGGTCAAATCCTAACATGGAGCTTGAACCCACATAACCTACCAACTGAGCTAACATGATACCTCATTTTGACTAAAATAGTTTACTGTGAGGTTCTACAAAAATCTGCTAATATTCACAAAAAAGGTAAATTTCGGGCTTGTTGTAATAGCCGATGAATGACATGGGATCAGTGGTGATGAGCTGAAAATCAGAGCTGATCAGCTAATTACTGGGGGTGAATCTGTCTCTCTACGATTCTGAGTGTAATCCAACAGTCCCTTCCCCTCGCTGCCTTCCCTTGGCTCCTTCAAGGCACGTCTCAAGATCCTCCTCTTCAACTGCACCTTCAGTTATTCTCCTACCCCTGCCCCTGACTCCTCCTGATTCCCCCCCCATCCCCCTTTGCTCAGGTCCAAATGCCTGACTGTCCAGCGCCTCGGGACGTCCTCCTGAAGTGAAAGGCACTGAGTAAATATAATTTTTTTGTTGTTTAGTAACAACTACTTGCATTTATGTAGCGCCCCTCACCCAGGATAGCTCCCAGACTTTGGTTCACAAAATCTCACATCCTATCTATCTCTCCCCCCAATTACCGGTCTGACCTGTGGTGATTAATGTATTTGCTATCAGCTGCTATTTAATATGATAAACATAATTTGTTCCCGGTAATTGGCAATTTATTCTAGTGTAAAATATTTATCCATGATTGAAAATGAATTGCTTTCTAACTACTAGTGCTAACAACTTGGTGTTAATTGGGAGGGCAGCACGGACCAGAGGAGCCTGTGTGTGAGAGACTTTCTGCTTCGGGCCCACAACACATTCATTGTTAAAAAAATTATATTTAATGTTCAGTCATTTGTGTTTGAAACCGAAATCCATCTCACCGCTGAACAAAGAATGTCAATGACTGACGACTTTTCCGATCTTTAATGATTTAAGCGCTCCGGGACCCTACCCTGTGTGAAGGGAGCTATATAAATGCAAGTTGTTGTTGTTGTTGTTGATTTAATTTTTTGATTTAATTTAATTCTTTGATTTAATTTAATTCACTGCAAAAATTGAATGTGTTGTTTTGTGCGCAATTGGCTGCTGTGTTTCGCCCACAAAAATACAGTCACTATACTTTCTGTGTGGTGGAGGGAGGGGCTGGGGGAGGGGGGATCCATTCAGTGTGTTTAATAGCGACAGGGAGCAGGAAACAGACATGGAATCTGTGAATAATATTTAATAATAATCGGTGTTCAGTCATCAATCAGTCCCCTGAGCCCCCCCCAGCTCCACTTCCCAGCCCCTCCCCCACTTCACAGCTCCACCCTCCACTCCCCAATCACTCCCCAGGGTAGAGTTCCAGAGTGCTCAAGCCAGAGGGGTGGGGGAGATATGTGTGTCCAACACCCCCCCCCTTATACACACAATCCAACCCCCACACACACATAGACCCCCCCCACCACACACCACAACCCTGCATACACACAGCCCCACCCCCCCACACATAGCTCCACCCCCACAGCCCCCGCACATACAGCCCACACCCCCACACACAGCCCCCACCCCACACACAAACAAACATTCACAGGGTGGGGGGGCTGCAGCCCTGTCTCCTGATCCATCCCAGTTTTTACTGCCTTTGTCTCATGCCTTTCACTCACCCACTGCAGGTGATTTGCATATGCTGCAGCGGGTGGTGGGGGGAGAGGGTGTGTGCGGGGGGGGGGGGGTGTTTGTGGGTGCGTGTGGAGTCTGCCTGCTCGGTGAGAGAGCGAGGAGAACCCTCCCCACCCCAATCCCCGCCCCACTCCTGCCCCCGCCCGCCCCACTCCCCCCTCCGGTGCTGAGCTTGTTGTTAATGATCGATCGCTGCGCTGCTCGCCGGCTCCACAGTCGGCCACACACACCGCAAACGAGTTTAGCATCCAGAGCCTGTGCGGAGCAGCCTGACACCCTGCCGTCAGACTGTGCGCTCGCTGTTCCCATGGCGACTGCAACCCCGGCGTTCCCCTGGCAACCACACCCTGTAAAGCGCATTGAGACGTGATAAGGCACTATATCACATGCAAGGATTAGCACCCGAACCTGGGACCTTTCCCTGCTCCCTCTGTCCTGCTGTAACCACAGTCTCTGAGAGCAGCTGACGCCCTCCGCTCCGCTCCTCTCCCTCAGGGCAGTCGGACACTCCCTGGCGCTGGTCGGACACACAGGCCGCGGGTCCAGCCTGCACACAAAGGCCTATTTAATCGCCGTGACGGCACATCTTGAGCAGGCCCCGATTAACCTGGAGCAGATACATAAAATATCAAATGCAAGGATTGTTATATATTATTATCATCATTATTATTAGGATATTATCACGTTTGGCAGCTCTTTTCCTTTTTCCCCCCCACCCGAGCGAAAAAAAAACTTAACTGTTCCTGAAATTAATATTCAATTTACAGAGCAGGGATAACGGCAGCAGTACAATAATGATAGTAATACTAATAATCCTTGCATTTGTTACAGCGCCTTGTCGCGTTGTTGAGACGTCTCAAAGCTCTTCACAGAAATGTGCAGTAAAGTGTAGTGACTGTGTATTTTGTGGGTGAAACACGGCAGTGAATTGCACACAGCAGCGTCCCCACAAACAGTTGTGAATTTTTTTAAAAAAAGAAAAGATTATTACCCCTGGAAAAGTGATCCGCCAATCAACTAACAACCAGGTGCCTACTCACGGGCAGGCCGCCGAGACCCTGATCCACGCTTTCATCGCGTCCCGGTTTGACTACTCCAACTCCCTGCTCACTGGACTTCCCAACTTTTCCCTTCACGAACTGCAGATTATTCGGAACTCTGCAGCTCGTGTCCTCTCCTGCACCAGGCTCCGCAAACCAATCACCCACCATTCTTGCCTGGATTCACTGGCTCCCCATCCCTCAGAGAATCAAG